ATTAAATTATATAATTAATTAATTATTTAATTAATTTAAGCTTACTTTAATTTAAAAATTATAGCTTTTTAAAAATAACCTTAAATTGCTTTTATATTTAAAGCAACTTTATACATTAAGTTAATAAAAAACTACCGCTAATATAGGAATAATACGTATAAGCATTGCGTGCCCACGCAATGGGTGCATATAGGCAATGCATAGATTTGGAGGTGCAAGGTCTAGATTAGTCTTATTAATAGCAGCTGCCAGCCGGTGCCAGCCGGCTGCCAGCTGGCGGTTACGTGCCCCGCGCACGGACCACTATAGCTAGCCTATAGCCAGACGGGGGAAGGCTGCAGCTTCGCTGCAACCTACCCTCCACACCATAGCCGAATCGATTACACACTCTATTTATTTATTACCAACCATACGGAAGCCAAACCAATAGCTAATCCTTTTATATATATTATTAATCTTTATAATATTAAAAATAATAATAAATATGCTTTTTTAAATTATTAAAAAATGCCTTAATTAAATTAAAATTAAGTAAATATAAAGATAAATATTTAAATTAAATATTAACTTAATTATATATTTATTAAAAGTTATTATAAAAGTAAAAATTAATATTATTTATTATTAATATTAAGTTAAACCTTAAAAATAATAATAATTTAAATAAAACCTTATTTTTAATAAAGTTAATAAAGCCTTAATTATTTATATTATCTTTATATATAAATAAATTAAATATGCTTATAATTATAAATATTAAAAGCATTTAATATTATATATTATAATTTTTATTATTATTAAATATAGGTTTTTTAAATTTAATGCCTTTTAATAATTTTTTTATATATTATAACTTATCTTTTTTATTTATATTAAACTTATTAATAAAGATAAATTAATTTATATAAAGTTTTTAAGTTTTAATAATTTAATTAACTTAAATAAAATAATTTTATTAAATAATAATTATATTTATAATCTTTTTATTTTAATTTATTTTTATAAATGCTTAATTAATAATATTTATAAAAATAAATAAATTAAAGTTTTTTAATAATTATTATTATATTTTATTTTAATATAAATTATTTTTTAAAGAAAAATAATTAAAAAGGGCTTAAGTAATAAAAAAGTATATTAAAAAGTATAAATATTTAAAATTTAAATTATATATATTATAATAAAAATTAATTAATTAAATTATTTTATATAAATTTTTTAACTTAATAATAATATTAAGTATTAAATTCCTTTTCTTTAACTTATAAATTTACATTTTAAAGTATTTTATAATTTTTATAATAATAATATTATTTATTTAATTAATATTTAATAGCTTTTAAATTATATAAAGCTTTAAAAAAGTTAAATAATAAGATATAATTATAAAATTATTATAAATTAATTAAAATATATAATATAATAAAAGGTATGGCATTATAAGGGTTATAAGATAAGTAATTATAATTAATAGTTAAAAAGGGCATGGTATAATAAGTGCATATGATTTTTGGTATGGTGTGTTATGTGCAGGCTACTAGCGCCATTTTGATACGATTGATTGCAAGTGAGAGTAAGCTGGCCAGGTAGGTAGCTAGGTACCCAAGGTTGGTACCTGACCATCCAGTCACAGCTTGCAGGAAGGTAAACTTCTATAGAGATTAGCCCACCAAAAGACAGTCGTTTTATGGCATTTCATAGCCAATCATTAGATACGAGGGGAATCATCTTTATTTCAAGATAGCTCATCCCAGAAACGGTTATGCCACAAGGGTGTCCTAATGCAAGTTTGTCGGGGCTGAAGTACCTACACAGTGGGAGCTGTCGCGGGGAGCCAGGCCTGTCATTTCGCCTTTGGGTTTGAATGAGGCGTCATTCTCCAACACGCTTGCCCACCCTAGAAATGGCGATTTCGTGCGGCCCTGGGGATGATTTCACATTTTCTCAGTTGATGCTATTTTTGACCAGTCCGACAATTGCTGCGGTATGGATCGCATGTATTTGCCGACCACTGGGACCGCACGGGTGCGGGTGCGGGCCGTCTAAGATACTTGGGTACCTAGACCGGACATGCGGTCCATTCCCTCCCCTCCACCAAGATCAAAGAGAGAGACGTGCAACATCCACACACCCACACACATACATCTTGTGCCTTTGACTCCTGTGAGGGCTGTGGTCCATCTCTGTGTCTTGTGGTGGCTTTTAAGCATGGTCCGTGCGCCAGAGCCGTGCCATGGCCAGAGCTCGCTCCGTCGTGCCCACGTTCGAACGCAGATGAGTCCACCATCACTCCATCGGTTCAAAAAGGAAAAAGAAAAAATTGGTAGCTTCTAGTCGCAGCAGATACAACCCTCGTGAAGACTTTATGCTGTAGCCAGAAGGACAAGGCATGGTGCTGCCAAGAAGATCCACATCAGTTCAAAGAGCAGTGCAATCGCAAAACTGCAGAGCCTGGGATACCTGTGTATACTTGGGCGACAAGGATGAGTCTGCCGATATCGTGGAGAACGTGAATGCTCGCTGAAGTGTTGGCAGGCTGAGCCAAGCTCTTGGCAGAGAACCTGGGCCCGGGAGGTTTTACGAGGAGATAAGCCAAAAATGTGATTCTCACTTTTTTCCACAGGGACAAATGAATTTGCCGCGGACGTGGATCGAACTTGGGCAGCCGGGTATTACATCTGCCAATAAATGGGTGACGCCCTCTCCAGAACTGCGATGATCTGTTCTAGAAACCATCTGGGGCTAGATTGGCTTGGAGACAACTATGCTCCCACGACTTGATGCGGTCTTGTTATTTACAATGTTGGCAGGGAAATGGGCAGTTGTACAGGTCCTGATTGAGTAAGCGCTGTCTGTAATGGATGAGAAACCGACTCATTCCTGGCAGAGTCGCCGATACTGGCAGCAAAAGCAAGCAGGATGACCTTGAACAATGGTGCATCCAAGATTTAGAAGAGGCAGAGGTCCAAATCGGTAATAAATTGGGAGGTGCAAGGCAGGCAAGAAGCTGGGACAGTCCAGTGCACACGTGTGGTCGCTGGTTATGAGGCAGTGTCTGTTGAGCACTCTGCCTTCGGGCATTTGTAAGTAGTCGAGTGGTTCACGCGTGTGTCGTAAATTGGACATAGCCGTTTGGGCCCCCGGTGGGAGAAGCAGAGTAGGTTCCGCGCGAACTGGGATCTGGAGGTGGTGGATAGCGGCTCGCGCCATAAGCCGGATGAGCGTCATGAATTGGCGAAAGAGTCACGGTCGCTTGAGGAGGAGGAGGAAAGTGGTGGTAGGGTGGCCTTGAGCGATCGTCTTCTTCACCATGAGGCAGTGGATAGGCGGGCTCTTGGGTTTCTCAAGGGGGGTGTGGTCCCTGCCGCCGTCCTGATCTGACATCCTAAACTGGCGGACTGTGCTCGGCGCCAGCCTGACAACGGCTCGAATAAGCCGAAGAAGCAAGTTGCAGGAGGGTCGTCAGGACACCTTCCGGCCTGACTTGACCATGGCGTCGGTGAGGGGACACTCTGCACAACCCAACATAGGGATGACATACTCGCCCGTCCGATTGATTCATCGGGGGTTCGGATCCTCCTGAACCGTATGACACTTCACGCAGGCAACCTGCAGTGTCATCGGGTCTCCTTTCGATGCATCCGACGCACGGAGGATCTCGGAGTAACTTACTTGCCACGTTCCCTGGCAGCTACCATCTGTGCAGTATACGCACGTATTTGAATGGGATCATGCCTTGATAGGAGCATCAGAGACCACTCAATTCGCCTAATTTTACTAAGGCGCCCGCAATAGCCATGTTCACTGGTAGTTGTGACGATGAAGGACCCAGCCATGTTATCCGGCTTTCTCCTATCCAGCTGAATTGTCTGCCCATTGCAGTACGCTTGTGCGTGCTCAAAAAAAAACTGCAACCTTGGCACTATGAGATACGGAAATTTGAATCGATCTGCGGCTCAATTTGGCGTCGTTCATGTCCAGTCTAAACGGTCTTATGGATCATCTGTCGTCACTGTAGCCAGCAACACCAATGACCCCCGATGGCATGGATATGCTGTCAATATCTAGTTTGATTCATGCTTGACTTATTGACGTGAGCCAGATCTCCTATCTGCCTCCTTCGTGTGCATAACACCATGAGCTGGTGATCAATCAGGTCCTGGGGATATTACAGATTGCTTCAGCCTCGAAGCAATGAGTCGGCCACAGTAATCCCATATTCGCCGTCAGGGGAAGCAATCCGGGGTGACTATGAGAGCGTTAATCTTGAAGCAAACTAAAGAGAGTCGACGCCGCAATAAGTTTTAGACGCTGAAGAATCAGGTAAACAGAAAATTTGAGAAGAGAACTTCGCAAGTTCGAGCATTCTACGAGAATTCTGTGGTATTTCTCAAGGCACTCAGAGCTTTAGCGGCTCACATTTCGTTTCCGTATGTTAATGGGAAGACCTGCCTAAGTTGTTCCAATGAGGGAATAAAGAAGACGATGTTGAGTTTAATACCATCGCAACAAGCGAACCTTACACTCGATCCGACGTGGGCCCAGACGATAGCTCCAACGATGTGAGCAAAGATTCTGATGAGTAGGTAGAAGGTATTGGTGCGGCCAACATGTCAATGGTGGATACATAAGAATTCATTTGTTCATTGCTAAGACTGTAGGAACCCGTGCGGACGAGATTATGGAGATTCTTTGTTGCCTTCAAGCCGCCTTCTACACAGTCATGCATCATCCTAAGGTAGACTTATGCATGAAACTAAGGGTTTTAAAAAAGTCTAGGTCAAGCATATCTGTACAGATTAAAAACGAGACCACTTTACAGATGCAGAATAGCAGTAGGATCTGAGAGTTGACACAAATTCTGTCGGTCCAAACCGATCGCAGTATGACAGTCTAAAGCTTTCAATAGTTCCGACCGTTACAGATCTGGCGGAGATAGCTATGTCTGTAGAACAGCCCATAGATAATGCTAAGGGAAACTCCACCAAGGCTGGTACAAGTCACCCTATAGCCGAACAGCTCAGGTACCCCTTCCTCCTCCAGTCTAACCCGCTACGGATCGGTACGCTGAACAGCTTGTCGCTGTCCACGAACTGGCCTCTCAGCATCTTCCACACAGGCACGTCTCTCTTCAGATCAGATGACATGGTGTCCGAATTAGTGTCCCATGCCCTCCAACCGTCACCCTGCGCAATCTTCCACCGCAGTACAACCGGGGGACTGGCGTGACCTAGATCAGGACCGCCGACCTTGCCGTTGGTAGCATTTTCAGCGGATGTAGAGCCTTCAGTGACGTCTTCGGTGGTTTCCATTACACTATTCTCTTCGCCGGCGACAGTGTGAACTAGTTTGTCCAGCACGAGGTATACGCGGCCGCCGGCGGTCATGCCGCTCTCCCCGTCGTTGCGGTACATGAGGCGGGCCTGCCGGGCCGGTGTTGACGTGGGGAAGTACACCGCATGTTGCAAGGTCATGATTGTATTCTCACCCGAGCAGTTGTCATCATTCCCACCAGAGAGAGCCACAGATGGGAAAACAGGAAGCATGATTTTGAGGATCTTGGGATCACACGTGAGTGGCGGCAGGGCGATGATGACTTCAGTATCGCTCCAGTGTGTCAGGGCTAACGGCAGGGGAACGTCGGCGAGGGTCTCGCCGAAGGTGTACGTGCACCTCTGGGGAGGGCATTCTCTCGAGAGGGTGTCGTCGCTGTTCCCCTCGTGGTTGAAGTTGAAAGTCGACATGGTCACGCGTGCCTCGGTGCCAGCCTTCTCTTTCTGAGGGACAAAGGCAATGGATAGGAAGTGGATGTAGTTGCCACAGGGGGAGAAGCGGAGTTCTTGGTATGCCTATGTTAGTAGCTGTTTTGATGGACGGACTTTTAGGTGTCTCATACCTCTCAAGCTTGCCATAGGGGCATCCTGGAGATCGGAAAGGTCTGGGAGGTGCTTCATCTTCTGGGCTCGCGTGGCAGTGTCGATGACCTCTAGTTGACGGGCAGTGTGGGAAACTGCTAGAAGGGGCAGCACGGGATGTACTGCACAGCCTATCTGTGACCAGACCTGGTGTGCACCAGACCACGGGTGCCATGAAGGATCACCATCGCAAGTCTTCAATATCAGACAGTCCGTGACATGACCCTCATCCACCTCAGAGTCACTGTCTGTATCTGAAGTTTCGTTCGCGGTCTCTGTTGCTCGACTGTGTGAAGCTGTTGACTCGGTGACCGAATCATCGTCTGAATCATCGTCTGATGAAGACTCAGGACTGACCGGTGCCGGGTTCTCAACCTCTTCTTCCTCTGACTCACTAGACGATGAATCACTGTCGTCGCCTTCTTCAAAGAGGAGGTTCAAATTTGCGTCAGGGAAATGCTTCTGTGACTTCCACGTCACATGCACGACCTGCATCGATCCGTTCCTCACAGCATTGGCCTCGAAGTTCTGTATAGACTGCACTTCCCATGACCCTCTCCTCCTGCCGACATTTTCCCTCGCGAACGCGAGTGGGACCTTTCGTTCCTTGCTGGTGTCGTGCGAAATGCATCTAATGCCCAAGTTGTGAGGATCCAGTCTCCAGGCTTCGACAGTCTCTGGGGCCCCCGTACGACTTGCTATGGTCATTGCCCAGTCGCCGCGGTCTTCCTCCGGGAGCAGGACTCTATGATCGCTCTTCACGATGCTCTTTTTCTTGGCAAACAGCGGAATCTGGAGACGCTCGAAAGCTCCCTGTGATCGGTAGAACAGCAGGTCCACCCATAGTGTCTTTCCGCGGAAGGCAACGCCTAGAAGCTGCCCGTCCTTCGGGTCGACACCCTTAACTGAGCTTAGATGTTTGTAGTGCTCCTCCAGATGTGCAACATTTATGTTCTTGTGTTCCCCTTGTGGCGAGAGATAACATGCTGGTTCGAACTTACTCAATGGGAGACACGATGCCAGTCCATCTGGGTGCGATATCAGAACCTCGCGCCACTCACCGATGAAGTGGCACATCGACCTGTCCAGTGTCCAACCTTGAGAGGAGAGCGTGTCCAGCCACTGCGGCAATGGAACCCCAAATGAGTCGCTGTCACGTACTCTCGAGCCCTTGATGCACATTTTGTACGACGCTCGATCTTTCCTGCCGACGTATCGGCCAAACAGATACGGGCCGACGTATGCTTGTACCTCCATACACGTGCGAAGAGTAGGTCCTTGAAGAAACCTCAAAGCGGCCTGGCCAAGCTCCTTTGATGGAGACGGTCTAACCACGTCACAGTGCTGTGCCCAAAATGTAGCTGCATAGGGAAGGAATGCGTGCTCTTTTGCAATCGGTTTTGAGAGGGTAGCCGCGAGATCGAGAGTCGGGATATCATATCGCTTGTACTGCAGGTAACTCAAACAGTCCATAGCAATTGCCTCGTTGGCTTGCTTATAAGTCACGAAATACTTTCGCAGCTTCGACGTATCATCCATGTTGAGATTCCCCGGGCTCTGCAAGAAGAAGTCTTCAACTGTCTTGTGGCAGAGCTTCAGTAGAGGGTTGTCATCATCGTCGCCCTCCCTGGGCTTTCCGAAGGTGACGAGGGGGCTGCATAAAGTCTCTATGTCTTTGGTGAAAGGGACGCGTTTAGGGTCGTGGTCTTTGGCGTTCGGAGTAACAGCCAGAATGTTGCGTATCTCATCAAGTGAAATTGACTGTGCCGCTGCTATTAGGATCGAAAAGGTACGTCTGGTGTCGAACGTCAGCCTCCCGCATGAGCTCGGCGTTGGATATCATGAGGCCTACCTGGCTAGCTCTTGTTGCTGATCCGTCATTTCGGAAAGCTTCTCTAACGCCCGTAGGTAATAACTGTTCAGGTTCTTCGGGTACGTCTTCAAAGCGTGTCGAATCTCCTCGTCAGAGGTGAGCCCTTCCCCCTGAAGGGTGTCACATATCAGCTTCGAATAAAGAAAGTTGTCTTCGCCTTCTGTCCACTTGTCGATGCAATGTTCGCAGCTGATGTACTTGCTGAAGTAAAAACGGATGTCGTGAGAAATGGATTCCGTTGATGCTTCGATCTCCACCGCCTGACTTCCTTCCATGACCGTTCTGATCTTGAGGTAATTCCGACTTGTAAAGAGCCATTTCACTCGTCCGTAAGTCGGCATATTCATCAGGTAGTGAAGGGTAATAAGTGTCATATCATCGTCGAGACACTCGTCAACCCCGTCGATCACCACAAAAGTCTCCTCGCACTGTGTGAGCAACTCGTGAACAACGTGTGACGCTGTGTGGATATTATCGAGGCCACTAGCACAGTTCTCAAGTTCGTCCTTGTAGCGCTGAACCACTCTGTCTGGCAAATCCGTCACGAATCTCAGCAGCTGTAGAGCCAAAGATCGCATCCCGCTTATGCCTGATTTTCTTTGAGGGCTGTTGAAGGAGTAGAAGAAGTAGGCCACTTTTTTATCTCGCTTCTTCAGATAATCGACGATTGTTGCCGCGTACACACTTTTTCCAGATCCCGGTTTGGCATTGTACCAGAGTGCAGCATTCTCAGTGGCTTTGCACCAGTTCAAGAAACGTTTGTCCTCAAATAACCAGTTGCAAGTTCCCTCGAGCCGGAGGTCAAGTTGGTCTTGGAGGATTGGCCTGACATCGATGTATGATCCGCTCTTGATCCAATCAATGACGCCCTGTCTCAGTGTGGACTCCTTTTTACGGATCGCTTGTTCGGCTGTTGTGGCTTGGGCGAGTGCCATGACATTCGAGCTGTCACGGTTCAAACCATCTAGTGCTGTCTTGATCTCCTTCTCGATAGACCTTGTAGCGCCCCTGATGACTGTCTTTAAGCTGTGTCGGGATAGTATACGTGACGCCTTGAACCAGAAACAGACGATGTTCTTATAAGAACTGGCGAGCAGGTCCTGCACTTCATCCGAGTCCGGGAACGCTTGCGCGAACTTGTCATAACACTTGAGGCTGATTCCGATTTGTTCCATGGCGTCGACAATGCTGTCCAGGCAGGTCTGCATCTGCATTGCAAGCCTGAGAACGATCCGAGCGCCGGAAAATGCGATGCTCACCCCAAACGGGGCAGCATTCAACATGTTTTCGCACAGTCCCATGACCCTTGCGAGGCTATCGATGAATGGCTCAAGACGGGCAAGGATCTTCTGTCCACGACCAGAGCTTTTCTGGGCTTGAAGACTTTCCATGAAGTCTCTAAGGTTGGCCGCTGAAGCCTGGGCCTGGGTCTTGGAACCTGGGGTCTTGGCTAGTTGTTGGCGGCTGGCCTTGAGCTCCCTCAAGAATGGGTTTTTGGGGTCATCCTCGGCGTTTAGCTCCCTCAGAAAGTCGTCGATAGCTCGTGAAAAAGGGGTCTCAAGAGGCGGCTCATCTTGGGAATGAATCGGCCATGGCGTTCGGACTGCGTCTGTCACAAAAGGAGGCATTGTGCCTTTCGAGGCCTGGTGGCATGGAATCCAGCTGTTCGGCCAGGATGAAGAACAGGTGAAGAAATGAGTGACTGCCACAAAAGCATGATTATCCCAAGGGCACTGATGGTGTCCTGAAACCCCACACAAGACTGTGTCCATCTGCCGGCACGCGTCTCTGTTGGAGAAAGAGACAGGGCCTTTCCGGCTGGCCAAGCCTGGGCGGCAGCCTGCATCTGGTGGCAACGTTGGGTACAGCCCCCAAATTGTGCCTAGATAGCGCCTGCATCTAATAGTCATTTTCAGCTGACGTGAGATTACAACGCATCAATAACCGAGGATGGACCAATCTAAACCATGTCGTTCTGATAAGCCTTGTTCAAGATCCGCGTCTCAAGCAGGATGGCGGGATTGCGCCACCGAGAACCCAATGCAGATGAGGCTCCGGTGTCACACTTGCAGTTTTCTTTCTCCTGTCAAGGTGCTCCTAGTGCTTGTTAATTAAGCTCAACATCTCTGCGATCCATCGCTAGAGTACAACAGATCACCCAAATTGTCATTTTCGAGTAAACACAGACACGAAATCCTCCAAGATGTCAAGCAGTTCAACCTCAGTGACCACGGCTGGCACGAAGTGCGAATTCAAAACGTACCACACGAGTCCGAAGAAAGGCGGAGAGTTTGTCACGGAGTCAAAGCTGGAGCCCTTTGGCAAGCCCCAGGATTATGTGGATAGCCATTACGCGCTCGTCATTCGGCGGAAGTTCACCGACAAACATGAGCTTGAGTCAACGACCCTCAGAATCAACTCGCCACACCTGCTCAAAGTGTTCGAAGATGTGGTCGGATCGTCGTACACCACTGTTGCCTCGGACTTCAAGTCGCCATTTGAGCTCACTGGACCGTTTCAGATGCTCTTGCATTACGTAGGTGAACGAAGGCAGTCACTGTCAAATCAAAGCGCTGACTTGTGGCAGTGGGATGAGCTAGAGCACATCTGCAAGGTGACAGAAGACATATACATTCGTCAGCACTGTAAGTACTACAAACAACTCTCAATAGCTCAAGTGCCATTCCATGACGAATATTGCCACTTGCAACAAAATCCGGGATCTCCAATCTACTGCAAATGCCTTAAATTCCCAGGTTCTGTTTGCCGAAGTGGAAGATATAACTAATACGGCCCCAGTGAGACTACTGTTCGATTTCATGAACCATGAGCTTGGTCCCGACCGGGAAAACATCACCAAAATGATAGACAAAGGCCAGATCTCCTACCTCCAAGCATGGGTACTCTTCAGACCAGGAGATCTTGTTTACGCATCAGTCATGGGGCAGCCCTGGCTTCTACGGTGCCAGAAGACTGCATACGAAGCGCCGCGCAAGGGCCGTACATAGTAGTTACTTGTACGTACACGGACCACGACGGTACTTTGGAGGGAACAGCGGACCACAAATTCTTCATCTTCCAGAAAAGATGGTTTGGGTCCGAAAACCCGGCCTTCATTACAGACCTACCTGTCTATCCTCGAAGTTTCGCCCGGCATGACAAAAGTCTGGAAGCACGCTTGGAAGAAAGAGGCCGCAAGTTCCTTGCCAGAAAGTCTATTTGTATCCAGGCGTATGATGGAATTGCAGAGTACTTGAAGGAGCCTCCGGATGATTATTTCCACCCTGCTATGGCAGGTTTCGAGGGTGTGTGGCTTCCGTTTACTGTAAGTATACAGGATTCCCATATCGTGGTTGGCTCGTACACTTTTGTTTGTCCTGGCTACTGACTTCGGATCAGGAAACCGGGAGGATCGTTCTTGACCGAAAGATGTTCCATGATGATCAGTACGGGAATCAGGTCCCTATCAAAGTCATGGAACCAGACCCGCTTCTCTGCCCTCCGTACGCTTACGGGTACTCGCTAAGCCGCAAGGACTGGTGCCGCTTCTTCGTCGACCTGATGGACGATGTGAAGTGGAAACAGGGCGTATGGGACTCGTTAATACTTGCCCCTGAGCAGAAGCTCGTACTGCAAGCACTAGTGACCTCGCACGAGTTTCCCGAAAATGCGAGGGACGAGCCTGAGCAGAAAGGCAAAGGGCTCGTTGTCCTCCTGCACGGAACACCCGGCTCCGGAAAGACACTCACCGCCGAGACAGCAGCCGAGGGGGCCCAGAAGGCGCTGATCTCCGCGTCTCTGGGCGACCTGAATCGTCACGACAGACCGTGGCTGTTCGAGTTGCGGCTCAAACAGATCTTGACCTACGCAACCATGTGGAAGGCTGTCGTCCTGCTGGACGAAGCCGACGTCTTTCTCGAGGCGCGCCAGGAATCTACCGGTGACAGTTCGCGCAACGCCCTTGTTGCCGTCTTTCTGAGGGAGTTGGAATACTTCTCCGGTATCGTGTTCCTTACCACCAATCGTGTTGAGACCTTCGACCTGGCTATGAAGTCCCGGATTCACCTCGCTCTGGAATACTCGCCGCCAGATATCGAAATTCGGAGGCAGGTCTGGATGAAGCTGCTCAGTGAAGTCCCAAGCGAAACCATGGGCATTGAGGACATTGACGACGCGGTGGAGAACATCCTCATGGAAAAGCTCAATGGACGAGAAATTTCGAATACCTTGAACACTGCAAGGACTATAGCGCGATTCAAGAAGGAAAAGCTACAGCTGGAACACATTGAGAGCGTGCTTCAAGTGCGGCGCGAATTCGACAAGAGTGTGCAGAGAGTGGCGAAAAGGTTGACCTCGAGATCAACGGGACCGGGCACTGGTGTCGGGGGTGGTCTGGTTAGGCAAAGCTCAATTGCAATGGCTGAGCCGGAAGAGTATAGATCCTGAGGATAGAAAGGTCGTGTAAAGAATTGGACGCGTAGTAAAATAGGTCACTAGAGCGATGAGAAATGTGTTATCACACTGCTCACACTGAACACGGCAGATAAATGAATCTTTTCATTATATTGAAATTAAGTGTAATATAATACTTGAGAAAATAACACTTTAAAAGGGTTAAAAAATGGTAAGAAAAGAGGGAATAGTTATTATTATAGCCGGCCATTGATATTAACAAGAAAGCGTTTAATGTGGGCAGGGGACGTTATGCGTAGCAAAAGTCTTGGCCAACTGGCTATCTCTCAGGAGACAGCATGACAAAAGGCTTGCGGGGTCCGCAGATGATCCCATCTCTTGGCCCCGACTCTGCTATCATCATGCCTTAGAGCTCTCTTCGACATTACCATTCGTACCACGCCTTCCTCGCTAGTCTCTGTCCAATCGCCCGCATATTCTACTTCGGCAGGATGGGTTCAAATGGTTGATGGCACAGATCAGACTGCAGCAAGCCAGATGTCATCGTCGAGCATGGAGTGCCCTATTGCCAGAGCTGTCATGCGACGTCCTTGGCCTTGGAAAGACAGCTTGTTGAGGAGAATCGTGCCAAAGGGGGCAACATCCAATTGCCAGAGGCTGCACCGCTGGGCAAAGCTAACTTATGGTGGCCCCCATCTGTCCCATACCGCCGTCCCCAGCCTGAGCTGGACGTCAATATGTTTGCAGAGTCCTGTAACGACGAGGATGGAGTGACCGCCATGCTTTCTGAGACAAACACCGAACCAAGTCCTCGTTCACATGTCTATCCCTCATCCTTGGGCTCAAACCACTTCAGGCTCATTTACCTCACCGAATCTGGGGATGTCTCGTCGCCCATCCACTTCCGGCTGGAAGAATACGCTTTCAATGACTATCCGGAATACGAAACGGTTTCCTACGTCTGGGGAGGAGAAAATTGCGACTCCACCCTCTGCAAGCCTGTCTACGTTGGTCGTTTCTGGGATGTTGATCTGGCAACACGTAATTGCTCGGCTCTTCTACACTACTTGCGGCGTCGCCAAGTCTGTCGCGTCCTATGGGTGGACGCCATCTGCATCAACCAAGCCGACAACACCGAGAAGCCAGCACAAATTCCCAGAATGGGCGATATCTACTCCAATTGCGAGCGAGTAGTGGCTTACTTGGGAGAAGACTTGGTTTCGCGTCCTCCGGGGAGGACTTATTATCGACCCCGCATCGACGTACAGAGGTTGATCGATGAACGAGTCGAGAACCACTTCGAGAGACCCTTCGACCAAACAGTCATGGAAAGTACAGAACTTCCCAAGATTTGTGCCAATGGTGCCCGGATAAGCCAGGATCAACTTTTCCAGAGGCGACATTTGGCTCGAATATGGGCTGTGCAGGAGCTCTTGCTCTCAAGTAGGGCCATATTTCCCCTAGGTGATTTCGATATCCTCTGCGACAGAAAAGAAGCCATCCGCCTTATCTTAAGGTCATCCGGAGAACAGCTCAATCTTTCAGCTGTTACACGATCTCTCGCCGTCTTTTACAGGCTACTTGTCACTGCCACGCGAGTGACCCTCGAGACAGGGTATATGGCCTCTTGGGTCTCTTCCAACCGCAAGACTTCTCGCAAGACCTAACTTCAAACTATACACTGTTTTGGAGAGACTATTGGGTGGGGACTGCAGCCTACTTACTCCTCGTTGAGAGGGAACTTCAACTGCTCACCCATGCCCTGGGGCACAATTGTCCCGTGGACTTGCCCTTATGGGTCCCGGATATTGTGAATATGAAGTCCTGGAGGTCTGCGTGATCTTGGTATTCTGAATTTGATTCAGTAATCCATGACGAAAAAGGCCTGCAGGCCTTTAGAGATCGCAGTACAGCATCCGGAGAATGGGCGACTGAGTTTGTAATGTATTCCGTGGAAAGAGGGGAACTTTTTCAAGTTTGCCTGGAAACCGATCAATGGTGGGAACAACAAAGTCATGGGTTGATCCATTCAAGTTCTCTCTATACTGAGAGCCGGAAATCAGCCACGGTCAATTCGTCTAACGGTGCGCTTCAACTCAAAGCCCTTCGCGTATTTGACGGCCCTTGTCGGCCTACAATGGAGACTGAGAAAAATGGGCTTACTTCGATCTGGGTTCGTGGTCCGTCAACAGCCGCACATTTCCGCATAATGGGACTGAAACGTCCCGTGGATCTGGATGAAAGTTACCAACTCTTTATAATATCCTGCGAGGACACGGTCCAGCCCAGTTCGGGGGTTTGCACCGCCCTCCTGGCTCTGACGACTGCGCTTTCAGAAAAGGATGTCAGCGTTGTAACGATTCACGATTGCAGCATCATATACGATGTCCATTTCTACTCCATGGTCCACCTCGAGACCAGGATGGGACGGAACGACTTCATGACCAACCATCGCCACAGTTTACACTGGGTTTTGCAGAACCTCCATGGGAATTCTACGATAGATGGGATGAGGGCTGCATTATATGACACGATATTACACTTTATCTTCCCGTCTTTCGCGGCAAAGAGACGGGAAATCCTTCCTCTGCTTAGGCGTCTACTTGAACTGCAAAGTCTTTCAGACGAATCGCCAACATTGGCCGAGTCAATATCTGCGGTTGCAGAGAGAATTTGTCCGGAATTTGATCCGGTTATTCAGGACAACTACTTTCACTTGACCATCAAGAACGAGAAAATGTATCGGGACTGGAACACCTGGAAAGATGGACCACCTTCCGAATCGCCCTTTAATAGACTCAACGAGAATTCACCAAGTCTGGAAGTGAACTACTTCGACTCACTTACACAGGATAAGAATAAGTGGACTTCACTCGGCAACAGATACAACCCGAAACGGCCCGAGTTCTGGAAAAGACCTGTCTTTCCAGTTATGCTGCGGTTTTATGTCAACTATCTCTTGCCACTCATCAAGGATACCACCATGTTTAGGGCAATGTGTTATGCGCGTGAGTTCAACATCCTTTTGAACGAGGATTTTGAAACTCCCATGGCTCGCAAACCAACGCCTGAAGACTCTTGTGTCTTTCTCGAAGGCTGGGTTCGTGGTCTTCTTGATGAACTTGGTCTTCTGTGGTCATTGGAGAGAATCACCATTGTATGAGGAAAGTGGGGCAGCGTCAATGGTTTCATTTCTCAGTACCCAAGTATCTCTGGAGGATGTCAGGAATTTTACTGCTAGGCTAAATTGATCCATATCCGACTTAATGCCGCAGGTGTATCTTGTCATCACACTTGAGCGGTTGTACTGCAGCCCGTTATACTGTGCTTTCTGGATTTGAAGGCAACTCATTGGTGATTGCTCCCAGCCCTCAATTATCATTACACGCATATCTCTCTCGCATTGCGCTATTGCACTCAAGACTTTGTTGACATTAAGCAAGTCGAAGTTGAGTGGAGTTCCAGCATCTCTGTGGGACAAGCGAAATATTACCCTTGTCGCGGTCCTAGGGCAATGGAACTGTCATGTAGAATGAAATATAAATGGAATGTGTTCATGAAGAATACACAAGGTACGTAGTCGATATTAAATTCCCCATATTGACAATATATCCGTCTGAGCTGATACAACAACATCAAAGCTTGAGTGCACAGAGTTTCTCCCCTAGCTTCTCAGTCTCTTCGCCAACCTCATTCACAACCACCTCAATGGCTGTCTTGGCACTCGGACTGTCTGCTTTTGTCCGAACCACCAGATTCACACGTGGCAGACTCCCCACTCCCATCGCAACAGGAGCCGTGTTATTCTTCTCGTCTCTTCTGAACCAAGGCGTACATGGGACGAACACGTCCTTGAACGCGCCCCTCAGCTCGGGTATCATGGCGTCGTTGAACTTCAGTCGACGGGGATGAACGCCATACACACACATTGTGCTGTTTTCCCCGATCTTAGTCCCCTTGGTCGCCCCACGCATTATATCCTTCTGGCTAGAGCATAGCGTCCTCGCAAGGCCATTATCTGCTGGCTTCCATGTCGTCTGCCAGCACCGATCTACCTGCTGGCGCTTACCCCACCTGGTCACGCACTGGCATGAAAGAACCATGCTTGGGTTCAGCAATTCGAGTATGTCCTCGACCATTGCGTACGATCTCTCGACGGCGTCCCAAGTCCCCTGTGACTCCTTGTCCATTCGATCGAGATCGTCATCGCTGAAGAGGCTGCAGATATCCATAATAACAACATCCTCGAGAGTCAATCCGATCTCCCCAAGAACATCAGAAATCCATTCCAATGTGGGGCACTGCTTCATTTGCTCGTACTCAAAGACATGCTTTCTTGTCGGATTCTGCAGTATTATAAAAGGTAGGTCCTGGCAGCCGCATAACAACCGCTTGAAATTCTTCCAGGGGTTGCTGTCGAGCTTGATTCCGTACTCCTCACGGAAGGTAACGACGCTGTCGAGTTCGAAGCACTCGTGATCTTCTCCAATGTACCTCAACTTCCCTTTAGACTTCAGCGAGGGGCTAAGGTTTTCCTCAACAGCGCGCTGTCGGGAGGGTTTGTGATGGGCCCCATGAGTCGGTGATGACGGGATTCGAGAATCAGCGTCCCGTGCCGCGTTTTTCGTTGTAATTACTGCATGAGTGCTAGTTAGTACGGCCTCCGTCGCGAGATGGTAGATGGTAGATTGTCGAGAACGAACCTGGCGTCACAACTTTGGTCTTCTCCCCATATACCGGAGTCACAGTCATGACTGCTTCTTATTTAGACGTGAGAATGCTCCTTGTGTAGTCGGAAATGGAGCGAATGAATTTTTCAAGGCCAATACTCATCATATGAAATGAATCATCAGGAGACAAGGAATTTGAATCGAGGGGAGAGAGGTGTTGGTTACGGCTGAGCAAGACGCCAGCCAAGGCGTTTTCCGACCCCTCCTTCCGAGCTTGTGAGCCTGTCAGGCACACCTGCGGTGGCACAGGAGGGGCCTCCCGCTTTTCAGCACACCCCATTCTCAATGTCTGCCAACGACAAGCGAGGAGGCTTCTAATAGTCCAAGGCCTCCGACTGAGTTTGTGCGTGCTATCACTTCGGCTTGCAGCAATCCCAAATTTGCCCAGCATTCCTGAGTACGTAGGAAAAGGCTGAATATTACCAAACACATCTTACGATTTGATTACCGAACGACTTTCTCGGGGTTCTTGATGTCCGCAGTCGATTAAACATAGGAGACTATCCCACGGAAGACTATCCCATCAGAGACTATCCCATAGGAGACTATCTCATAGGAGGTTATCGTACAGGAGGATATCCTACAGGAGGTAGTCCTCCACGAGGGTATCTTGCAGGATGGTTTCCCGGAGGAGAATAGCTTATAGGAGGTTACACCAAGGAGCGTAATCCCAGTGAAGCGATGTACTGGGGGAGTGCAACTAAAATAAGCAGACTGTCTGAGCTCTGTTGTACGTCGATGGTTTGTTCGGTTCCATGGGTCAGGTGTTTTGCGTAGCAAACAGTTAATAGGACCCATCTTGAATAGAGCTTGAATAGCTCCTCTGAACTTGTCGAGTGGCTCAATACCTGTGCTCTCGCCCCGACGTATCAACATTTACTGATTTCTCTTTCCCCACGCCCGCCCCTCCCCGCCCCTCCCATCCTCCTCCCTCCAAAAAAGAGAAAACTGAACTAATCCTTCTTTATCCAGTGACAAGTTTTGCAGATCACGTATCTGCTATAAAAGAATTGGAGACAGTCATACACATCGTGTGTCGCTACTGTCTGTCGTGATATCAACTAACGGTACCTGTGGTGAGTGTATTCATAGTCGTCATCATACTCACGCTGCCTGCTTCGCGGAGAAGACCCAGGAGGAACTCCCGTTCTCGATCGCAGCATTTCCTCAGCATAATCATCACCATCATCGTCTGGTTCCGGGCCCCTTCTGCTGCCATAGGACCTCTGTTCTCGCTCTCTGGCAGAATTCCGCTGCATCCTTCCGCCGCGGTCGGGGGGCGGTTCTAGGTGGGCCGGAGATGCGGGCGACCGGTAATGCGTCCCGCGGTGTGGCGATCGAGGGACTCTGGCGCCAGAGTATCGACCCGTGCCTCCCGGTGAACGATCCTCGTCGTCCGAGTCCAAGCAATCGTCTCTGCGCAAGTTTTTGATCTTGGCGTAGTCCGAGTCTTGTCCACGTGTCTTGTCAAGGTAGCTGTCGAAGCGTTGGATGGAGCGCGCCACGATCTCGAACTGCGAGCTGTCAAGCTTGCCGGGTTTCTGCGGTACTTGGAAAGATACGGTTGGTGAGATTGTATGGATTCCTGGTTCCTTGTCTTCAGGGTGAGTTAAATCGACCTCAGGCTCATCATCATAGTCGACATCGTCGTCATCGTAATCATCGTCGTAATTAGACGTCGGCACGCTGACTTGGTCCAAGTTGATCAGGGAGTAGGCGATTTGAAAGCTGTTCCTGATCTGTCTGCCGTTCCACTAGGACAAGCGTCAGTGATGTTTTCACGGCATTATGATGGCGTTAAAAAAATAAACTCACTCTTCTGCTGGGATTTTCCCTCGCAATTTCCCATTGTCGGGTGGCGAAGTTGAGGATGCTGTCCTCGTCAATTTCGGTGGGAGGTAGTTTCGGCTCGCCATCCTCTCCTTTGCCACGAAGCTCCGCTTTTGACTTTCGATCTCCTTTATCTGCCGAATGTTGAGCTTGAATTTTTCAAGGGCCTGCTTTTTTCTGAGTGCAGGATTGTACAGTGAAAGGTGAATTCTAGACCGAAAAGCCTCGTCAACAGTACCGACGTGGTTCGTCGTCAAGAACAAGACGCCGTCGTAATAGTCGAGCACACGAAGAAAGACTGAGAAAATCTTCAGCCACGGAAATGCCAAATGGTGGGGAAGCATGAAACCTACCGGACACAAGAGAGTTCCGTACCAAATCTCCCACGTCCCGCTTCGCCAGGAACAAATCAGCCTCGTCGAGAAGCAAGACGCAATCCCACATGGCAGCAAGACGGAACGTCTCCCGGAGTGCCGTCTCCACATCTCGTGATGTGGAACCCAGATCTCCAGAAGTCAGAGCAAAAAGTGGCTTGCGATTGTCCAATGCCACTGCCTCTGCCGTGGTTGTCTTTCCCACTCCTGGAACCCCATGCAGCAGAATAACAAGACCGGAGCCTTTCCCTCGGATGAAGTCTTGGTCGAGAGTGGCATCTTTGTTCTGCCGACGTATCTCCTGCTTCTGAAAGTGGCGTCCGACAAGTGACTTTAGGATTCTCTTGTGCTTGTTGGAATATTCTAGATATTTAAGCTATTATTAATACGGGATATCCTTTTCCCCATATGTTTGCTATTGTATAAAGGATAATAACTATAAATAGGGGCCTTCCCTCCCATAGAATAAACGTTAGCTAACCTAATAAATTAAGCATTTAACGCTATTATTTAATAGGTTATAAGCCTGGAGCTTACTTAAAATGGCAACGCTAACTCAATATGGAAAACGTACATTATATAACACCCTTAATTACCATTACTTTTTAAATCTTTTAAATAAGATAAGCTTTATACTTAAAAATACATCTTTTAATTAATTATTTAATTAGGTTAATTGATAAGCCCTTAATTAATTAAATCGCCTTATTTAACATTATAAATTAATTTCGTTTCCTAACCCAAAGCCTATATATAAAAACTACACTTCCTTTACCTAAATACTTAACCGTTTCTCTATTAATACTTAACCTATTTATATAATTTATATATTATTTAAGAGCTTTTATTAAGAATAATAAGAGCATTTCTTTAAATTTTAAAAATTATACCAAATTAACATTAAAAACGTGAATTTTAATAAAATCATAATAATCCTTAAAACTCCCTTAGAAATACTTAATTATATCTTAGCCATTTTTAATTCATAATATCTTAAAAATATATTATTTAAAAGCTCTTCTTTTTCTCTTTATAACTATATTATTTTAATACCTATATTTCTATTCCTTAACTTATTAAACTTATTTAAAATTCATTATACCCTTTTCTTTATTATCTTAATTATCTTAATAAATACTTTACTTATTTATCTTAAAATGGCATCCCTTAATAAGTATAATGTTTTATTCTTTAATAAAATGGAAAATTATATATATTAAAGCATTAATATTTAAGTTTAGCTTAAGAAAGAAAACGCTATTAAAAAAAATCCTAAGAATCTTTTTTAAGGCTTATTTTTAATTTAAAATAAGAAAGCCCTTATTAATATTAAACTTATATATAAGTAAGGGTTTATTATGTTTATAAAAGATATAAATAATGCCTAAGAAGTATAGGATATACTTAAATCTTACTATAAACTCTTTAAGTTTATAAGCCAATATTTACTTTATAAAGAGTTCTTTAATATTAGTTTTAATAATTTTAAAATTATAAAAGAATATATTAATAAGCTAAAGCTTTTTTTAAAGGATTTAAAGGCTAATAATATAATTCTTTTTAAATAAGTTGTAATTAGCTAGATTTTTCATAACTTAGATAATAAATATACTAGCTTTATTTAGAATATAATTTAAAGTTTTAGAAAAGATTTAAACGCTTATATAATTAAATCTCTCTTTTTTAATCTATTAAATGAAAATAAAGGGAAACCCTTTAAATTATTTAAAAAAGCTTTATATATAAAAGGCAAAAAAGATAAGAAAAAGATTATTATATGCCTTAATTATAAAATAAAGGGGTATACTTAAGAGAATTGCTATTTCCTTTATTTAAATAAGGCACTCATTAACTGGAAAATAAATAAATAAAGAAAAGAAAAAGAAAAAACTACTCTTTTAAGGAAGAATATAAGCTAAGAAAAACGGGAGAAAATGTAAAAGCAACTCTTAGCTCTATTAGTTAGCATAAAGTCTCCCACAGCTTTAAAAGGCACTTAGGAAGAACCTATAACACATATAACTATAAATAATTTAATAAAAAATACTAAATATAATAAGAATTTATTAAATCTCTTATAACTTTCTTTTAATAACCCAATATAAATTAAGATAAATAACCCTATATATACTTTATATATATACATAATAATAATAATAGCTAATAATAATAAATTTATAGGAAATTAATAACATATAGATTTTATAAAAATAGCCATGGATACTGCTATAAATATAATAAGTTTTAACGATATACGCTTCTTTAATATTATATATATAACTAATAAAACCATAAAATAAGGTAATGCAAGTACTATATTTATAAATAAAATAAGGGACTTAATAATTAAATTTCCAAAAATAAATATTATAAAAAGATTTTTTAATATATATTATATGCCTTCTTTAAGTTTAAATATACTTAAATATAAGTACATAAGTAATAAAATTAAATTAAAATTAAAAGGAAACACTATTAAATTATACTCTTAAGAAATAAATAAGCTAATAATTTAAGGATATTAAAAAGACGGCTTATATTTTATAAGAATTAATATAATAAAATAAATAAATAAGCCTAAATATACCCCTTTAAAAATATATATAATTTAATAAAATTTAAATATAAATATTAAAAATAAAAAAGAAATATATAAATGGCATTATAAATTAAGCTATATAAATATCCAAGCTTTGGAAATATTTCTTTAAAAAAATAAAATAAATATATTAATAAATAAATTTACTTTAAGAATATATAAGTAATTGCAAAGTATGCTTAAAAGCTAAGCATATAACTAGAATAAATAAGATTAGCCTAAATAATTAAGTATATAATATACTTAAAAGAATATATAATAATATAGGCAGTTTCTTAAAACCTATATATAATAAATATAAATACTATATATTATTCCTTAATAAAAAAACTTAATATTTAAAAGTTTCTTTGCTTAAAAATAAAGATAAAGCATTAAAAGCTTTTAATAATTATAAAAATAAGGTAAAAAATAAATATAATAAAAGAATAAAAGAGTTCTTTATTAATAATGGAGGAGAATATATAAATAAAAGATTTAAAATCTTATTAAATAAATACTCCATAACTCACTATATAACGCCCCTATATATAAAAGAACCAAATGGCTTAATAGAAAGATTAAATTTAACCATAATGAATAAAGTTAAAAGCCTTTTATATACGGTAAATTTACCTATATATTTATAAGGAGAAGTAATAAAATATACTATATATTTATATAATATTACACCCTATAAAAGCTTAGAGTATAAGTGCCCTTATAAGGTAATAAATAAAAAGAAGCCTTATATAAACAACTTAAAATTATGGAGATCTATCGTATATTTTCAGAATAATAATTATAAAATTAAATTAAAACCTAGAAATAAAAAGGGCATATTATAAAATATAATTTTAAAATTAAATATATATTAAGTATGGAATATAAATAATAAAAAGCCTATATTAGTTTAGGATGTTTAAATATTAAAAGGGCAATATATAAATAATAACGATATTAATAATAATAATAATAATAATAATAATAATAATAATAATAATAATAATAATAATAATAATAACATATATATATTCTTAAAATTATAAGAATAAAGGGAAGAAAATTCCCTTTTTATTTTAAATAAAATAATAGTTTAAGGGAATCCAAAAGACTATATATATATTATATAAAATATATTATTAAATAACTAAATATTTATATTAAATACCTAAGAAAATATATTAAAATACTGCTTAATTACAGCTAATATTAATAAACCTTTTTCTTTAAAAGAGGTATTAAATAACTTAAAAAAACCCTTATAAGTTAAATTTATGCTAAATGAAATATATAGTTTATAAAAACAAAATACTTATATAATAATGGATTTATTACCCAGCTATATAGCTTTAAGGGGAAAATATATATATAAAAAGAAATTTATAAATAACCTAGCTATTATAAAGCTTAGTTAAGTAGTAAATAATGAAAATAATATTAAATTTAAATTTAAATAAGTTATTTAAGAATATAACCAAAAATTAAGCATAAATTATTTAAAGACTTTTTTTATAATTTACCGCCCTAAGACCTATATTATGCTATTAATAATAGCTATAAATAAAGGATATTATATATATAATTATAACGTTAAAAATGCATTTTTAGATTTTAATATTAATTTTAAAATATATATAAAATTACTTATATATATATATAATAAACTAAAATATAAAAATAAAGTTGCAAAACTAAATAAAGCTTTATATGGGCTAAAATAATTACTTATGTTTTGGTATAAATACTTAAAAAATATATTAACCAAGCTAGCATTTATTATTTGCCTATATAATAAAGGGGTATTTATATATTTTAATAAATAAATTATATTTATATATTATATAAATAATATTATTATTATAGGACCTAATAATAAAGATATAAATTTAATAATTAATAAATTATATAAAAATATAAAATTAGATTTTTAAGGAGATTTAATAGATTTCCTTAAAAGTAATATATATATAAATAAAAAAGATAATTAAATAATTATAAACTAAAATAAATATATAAATAAAATATTAAAAAGATTTAATATAAAAAAAAAGGTTAAGAAAAAGGAAATAATTCCTTAACTTATATTATATACCCTTAATAGAAAATTAAAAAAATATATTAATTAAGTTAATAAAAATACTATAAAATTATATTAGCAATAAATAAGGTTTATATTATATGCTAGCTTAGAAATAAGGCTAGATTTAACCTATTTTATAAATAAATTAGCTAAATATATAGCAAACCTAAAATTAAAGCATATAAAAGAATTAAATAAAATATAGGGATATATATATAAATTCCTATATATATTTAAAGTATATAATTACTTTGGAAATAATTTACAATTAATAAGCTATATAGATTTAAACTAGGGTAATGATATATTTACTAAAAAGAGCACCTTTAATTATATATTTAGCTTATATAATATTAATAATAATAATAATAATAAAATAAACTCCATAAGCTAAAATTCTTAGCTATAAAAAATACTAATACTTTCCTTTGTAAAAGCAGAATATATAGCTTTAAGAAAAGCCATAAAAAAAGCTAAATATTTATATAATTTATTAGAATATTTTAATAATAATTTAATTATTAGCTTTAATCTTAAGCCCTTTACTATATATATAGATAATAATGGGGCTAAGAAATTAGCTAAAAATACTTTATTTTATAAGAAAACCAAATATATAAATATTGCATATTATTATATAAGAGAAGCAATAGAAAATAATAAAGTAATACTAAAATATATAGATTTTAAGTAAAATTTAGCAAATTAGCTTATAAAACTAATCAATAAACTACATTATAAAGAGTTTAAAGAAAAGTATAGTTTAATAGAAAAATAATATAAAAATATTAAGCTAGAGAATAAAGAGATTTTCCATCTATATTATAATATATGTAAAATAAATTAAGGTATTTACTTTTTAATAATTAGGGTTAAGATTCTTTCCTTTACTTATAAAATATATAAATAAATAAAGCAAACTTAATTATATATATATATAATATTACCTTAAATATGAAAGGTTTTCCCTTAAAAGAAATAATTAAAATAATAAAGGTTTTTCTTAAAAAATAAATATTACTTATACAGCCTATATATACCATATATATATATAGTTACAATATACCTATACTATGTTTATATACATTTCATTTTATATAAAAAATGTATTTCCGTAGTATATATAGTATAAATAAAATGATGTGTGACTTTAATATATAAAAATGCCATGATATATTATAGTTATTATAAAATAATTAGTGAATTTTATATAAAACCATAATTTAATATGTAATACCCTACTGGCTATAAGTTTAAGTTTAAGTAATAGCAAATTTTTGGGTTTTTTGCTTATATATATATATATATATATATACTTATATAAGTAAGTTTTTTTCTTTTTTATAAGGTTTTCTTATTATATAGCAAATATTCCTTTTTTATAAATTAAATCCCTTATATATAATAAATAAATAAATAAAGGGAATTGGTTTAAGGGGGGCTATTGGAATATTCTAGATATTTAGGCTATTATTAATACGGGATATCCTTTTCTCCATATGTTTGCCACTATATAGAGGATAATAACTATAAATAGGGGCCTTCCCTCCTGTAGAATAAACGTTAGCTAGCCTAATAGACTAAGCATCCAACGCTATTATTTAACAGTGCTCACTTTCAATCTTCAAGTCTCTAAAGGGGCCTTTGGGCGCCGTGATCACACTGATGAAGTCGATGTTGGGGACGAAGAACTTACGTGCTCGGAAGGAATATGCGATCAGGCGCTGAGGGAAGAGTAATAGGTGTTCCGGATCTGTATAAGTAGTCAGTACAGACTTGAAGCGCGTCAATGTGATAAAATGAATGTGTATTGCGTCACACAATACATACCGAAGTCAAAGACCTCTTTGAAGTCAATCATGATTTCGCCCTCAATATGTTCTACACGCTTCCTTCTCTGGTTCTCGCTGAATCTTCTGGCATACGTCGTATGGATCAACGTCCATCCGTCGTAGGACAAGTGCCTCTCCCGTACATAAGACCTGAAGTTCTTAGCACGGGCTGTGAGCTCCTTCGTCTTCTGGGCCGCGTCGGGATCGAATCGGAGAGGGTAAAAAGTCAAGCTTTTTATGTCCACTTCCCCTTCGTAAAGGCCGATAATCGATTCACCGGGCGCCGGTCCGTAGTCGTCGCCATCGAAATCGATGTGGAATGAATTCACTTTGAAGTTGTGGTCCAACATCCGCATACCAATATGGCATTTCTTTGCCTTGTCTCCCGGGCCAGGACTAGGTTCTTGAAATTGAGCCCAGCAGAGCTTCCAGTAATTGTGGTGGACAGCCAGCCCCTGGCTCCCGGCAGCGTCGGAACCGGCTTTGCCAGTCTTGTTCTTGTTTTCTCCGGATTTTAGGGGCTCGTACAAAATATCGCCGGGGCGAAAATACATGGGCAGGTCAGAGAACCGTACTTTGTGCTTGGATGATCCTCTCGCCTCATCCAACATGGGCACGATGTGCTTTTCCACGAAGTCGATGTACAGCTTCATATGCTCCACGGCCGTCAGGTTATTTTCTGGGCCGGACTTGAAGTCGAGAAGGCCGTAAATAATATCTTCAATGTCCATGTTTGAAGGCATGCTTAGTTTCTGCAAAGGATCTTCGATATCGATGGACGAAACGTCCTCTGATCGTGGCAGTGGACCATTGTGAGTAGGCACTTCTCCGTCATGGCTCTGTCCCTCATTTAAACGCTGCTCCAACATCTTCGCAACATGTTTTGCAAACGGCAATGAGTAGTAGAAGGTCTGAAAAGGGCGCAAGAAAACTAGCGGCTCGTCGTCCCAGTCATCTTTGCCCGTCAGCCGACCCAGAACATATAGAATTGCCGGAGACTAAATCCTGACTCGATGAATGAACTTGGCATCGTTTTCCGATCGACGCTTGCTTCGCGATGTAGAATGTTTTTTGTGCCGTCTTCTTGAACGTTCGTGCATGATCTCCGTCCTTAACTGGTCCGGGGGGCCTTCCAGGACCTCTACGATGTCGTGTCCCTCCTCTGGAGAAAAGCGATTTTTGAATGCCTCGTAGTCACTCCATTTGACGTTAACTTTCTTGGGTTGCTCTTGGAGCCAGGCAGCCAGGTCTTCATCTTCGGATATCGAGCTTGAACTCATGGCGTCTTCGTCACCAGATTCATCTTGCTTGTGCGACACCGGCTCGCTTGACTTGGCGCAGGATTCCTGTGGGAAATCATGCTTAACACTATCCTTGTCATTTTCATCGTCAGTGTTGTCTGCGGAGGTTGACTTTGAATGGGTGGCTTGACTATCGATGCTGTTCGACCGGCTTCGCTTTTTGAGGTCGTTTCTTCCGAAGGTGGAGTCAAGATCTGTGGCTTCACGAGGCTCAGGGGCCACCACAGAACCAGGCTCCTTGCCACTCATGATGGGTTTCAATACCTGCTGGCGTGTAGGGGAAAGAATCGGAGGGGAGCTTGGCTATCCCTGTGAATGGGCATGAGGGATCACACAAATGCGAACCAAATGAGCTTGTCCAGTTTGAGGCAACTAGAACCCCTGGAAGCATGTGCATACATGGCAACCAGGCCGCTGGTTAGTTTCAAGAGGTGCAGAAGGATCGGAGCTACCGGATCGGCCAGTATTCCCGGCGCTTGATAACATGCCCTTAATGGTGCAGTGGCAATGCACCCCATTGGAGAATCTGTCATTTGCCTGTACATCAGGTGGTTGGCAATACAGGCAGCCTACCTCAGGGATCAAGTCCAGCTGAACTCGCTTTCTCTTCCTCCGCCATTAATTAGTGTGAAAAGGGGCCAACATGATGAACGCGCCATTTTGATCAGCGCCGACAGGAGTGGAGATACCTTTACTGTTTGAACATGGAGCCACCAACGCTATGACTGCAGCTTCAACCTCCTGCTGCAATATTGTCCACCGCTACAACCACGAACAACGCCGCTAATAATGGCACTGAATTGGATGGATCCCGGCTCGGAGGAGAGGGCAGTCACGGCTGAGTTTGTGCAGTCTGACGAGGCTAGGGAGCTTCGTCCGGCGTTCAAATCGCCACCGGTATATGATGCGGACAGAGGGCAATTTGTTTCTACTGAATCAATGTCACAAAAGTAAGACTTCCTTCAAAGCATCATTTGAACGACATGATAACTGATAATCTTGGCTCTCAATACAAGTGAATGTGTCACTAGCTGCCTTGGAAGTAACGTTGCCTGCACTCCTCGGTCCCCGGATACCACTCGTAAAGACGAGCAAGGGATGGGATGACCTCACAGAGAGTCTACTCACAGCCGAGAAGGACTACGAGGATCAGGGCAAAGACAGATGGCGTCGAATTTGGTACGGACTTGGTGACAAAGCTGATGTGACGACGCCATGGATCGAAATCATCCCGAACGAGTACGGTCTGGCAATTGTAAAAACCGGCGTCGCCTTGATTCTGAAAGTGTGTAAAAGCCCTCTCATTCGCCTGGCTGCCCCGAGATGACTGACAAGGCTGTCCTAGCTGGCGAGGAAATTCCTGGAAAAGCGAAAGAAGATATTACAGGCTTTCGAAGAGATCCGAAAAGCCATGACATCGGCTAATCCACTCAAGGGCAGCTTCCGATCTCATGCTGACGTGGCTGTCGCCCTGGATGACCTATAACAGGCAATTTTGGACTCAGTGAATGATATTCTTGTTCTCACTGCAAAGGAAGAGCGTTCTTGTAAGCCCCCCGCCCCCTTTCCCCCGTGACGCCCTACAGAGGATCGCACATCTCATCGCACTTACTGACCTAATGATTTCAGGGCGTTGTTTGAAGGAGAACCTCACCCAGAGAACCAAATACCCTGACATTGACTTAGTCCTGAAACTTCTATCCGAAAAGACCCAAGGATTGAAAGACGCCCTATAAGACGCGCATTATCAGTCTATAGAGAACATAGACAACAAAACCACATACATAGCCGTCGGAACAGGATATGTGGCACGAGGAATCCGCCATCTTGATGAAAAGGTTGATTTACAAAGAAAAGAGATGCACGGCGTCAGTATCGCCACCCAAGAGCAAAAGGCTATGCTCAAAAGTCAGGACGAGAAGATGAACCGACTTATGACTTTACTCGAGACCATGGCGAACGATAAGGATGTAATCGCAGATGCGAATTCAAAACATGCAGCGGAAGCTCCAGCTGAGGACTTGGGCGCTTGGCTCTTGAACAAAATTACTGATGCTCTGGTTTTGCAGAAGAGTATGTTCAATCTTCCCAAAGAATATGCCCTTCCCTTCTAGTTATTGACTAATACTGGGACCGCAGGGGATACTGAAATCCAGAAATATTTCAGCCGCGGAGACTGCGGCAGTTCCAGGCGCAGGCGAGGCGCAGTCATCAACAAATTGCAATTTTGCGAAGCCATAACAGACCATCCCTTTTACGAGGATGAAGAGCCAGATGTCGATAGTTTTGCTTCCCAGCCAGACAGCGACTGGAGCACTGTCAGCAGATACAGGGGGGACTTCGACTCCAAGACACAATGCCAGGTGCAGTCAATACTCGAGCGACGACGGTTCCTAGGCTGGATGAAAAGCAAGTACCCGGATCTTGTACTCGTGCTTGCCGACCTCCCCACCTCAGACGTGGGGAACATCACCGCCGTGTCTGTCTTCTGCGCCACGCTCATCACAAGCCTGACCAGCCTCCGTCGCGAGGATCTAGTGCTTCACTTCTTTTGTGGTCTGCACGTCGATTCTAGCGACCCAAGCCCGGGACCGAGGGGACTTGTTCGCTCCCTCATCATGCAGCTTTTTACCTATCTCTCACACGCCGGCGGCGCCGATTTGGATGTTATATGCGACAGAGATTACGTACGGGATATTGAAGATCAGCATCTGGGAGCTCTTTGTCAGACGCTCCGGGAGCTTCTGTGGCAGTGCGAGCCTGGTGCGCACGTTTACTGCATCATAGACTCCGTCACTCTCTTCGAGAGAACAGTGTGGTCTCAGGACCTCAGGACGGTGGTGAGGTGCCTCCGGGACTGCGTGGACAATGGGGAAATGCCCGCTGTCTTCAAGGTGATGCTGACAAGTTCAGCGCTGTGTTCACCCGAGCTGAAGGATCTACTTACAGCCTGGAATAGCTACCCGGAAAGAGTGCTGTACTTGTCGACAGAAGACTGTCTGGTGGATAATGTGCTATAAATATAGACCAAGCCAGTGCACCGCGCACTGGCAGCTGTCTCTTACATCCCTCTTCAAGGTTTTATACACCCATTTGACGGGAGTAAGCTGGACTAAAGAGCAGTGCAGGTAGATCTGTTCAAATGCGGAATGACCTATACCGTATCCAAAAGACGATTCTTCACATTGCCGAAGGAGAATTTGGACTCCCATGGTTGAATAAACTCGACAATCCGAAGCTATTTATTCTTACTATCTAAACAGATTTGGGCTTTTAGAAGATAGGAATCGTCATTCTAATGATTAAATTCAAGATTCTCGAAGAGATGATTGTTCACAACCTGTCGTCAGGGCCAAATTCACTGAAATTTCCTAAAGGAGTGACTGGCACAAGAGTGTGACTGATCCAAGAAGGTGACTGGCCCGAGAGGGTGACTAGCTCCGGAGGGTGACTGGTCCAGGGGAGTGACGGGCTCAAAAGGATGACCACCCTTCTCACAGAAGGTCACAGAGGCCTAAATGCGATTCATTACAATTCAATGGCAACAAGTGAGTCACCACTGTTGCTGAGAGGAGTGACAATTTCGGGCGAGCTTCCGTAAGCAGTCCATCCCGCTGGGTAGCGACAGAAAGCTCACAAAAGGACAGTTGCTTTGGAAACTCTCTATTCAAAATGCAACCAATTTTCTTTGATATTATGATTCTATATATGTCTGTTATCGACTGTATACACTCCTCTCGCGTATTTATATTCTCAAAGCTCTGTCACCCTCGCCGGACTACCATTGTTTCCCTCTGAGTTTCTGGCAGAGCGGGGTGAATATTTTACGTGTGGGCGCCTATTTTGACCGCAGAAATGAGGTATTGTGATATCCTGTCCGATTTGATTCAGACAGCACGTATCATTAAGTAAATCAGGGGAGCTTCTGCAGAGCACGACTCAGGGATGTGTACTTATCACCAATCTGAACGGTAGAATACCAGGAACGAAAATTCCATAATCATAACTCGAGATAAAGAAGCAGCACGTGACGACAAAAGAAATGGCTTTTCCCCCCATCATTGGAGATCTTGATTGAATCATACTTAGCCAGCAGCCGGAAAGGGAACGCTTCTGATAGTATGAGATTGGTGTTAGAGTGGGCTTTGAGGCCACGGCTTACACAGAAAGTCAAGTTCCATGGGTCAAGAAGGCTTGGTACGTAGCCGTGTGAATTTAAATCCAATACCTCCAAACTTGGTGTGAAATTTGGAGGAGGTTAGCCTGCAAGATTTCATTCTGCTAAAGTTTAAATCCCACAGGCCCTTATCCCGTAGGTGGCTATCCCACAGGTGATTATCCCACAAGGGTTATCCTATTGGGTTTTATCCCATAGCTAGTTATCCCACTATGGTTATCCTATTGGATATTATGTTGTTAGAGATTATCATTATATGGACTTTCGCACTGGTGGGCATCCTATTGATATTGCTCCTCAGGGAGGGTTCGCTGACTAGCCCTCTTTAATGATATGTCGGATCTCCACAAGCCGTAATGAGCAAACCTATGCACTGTCCAACCGTGAACGGCGCCGGAGACATCTCCGCTCGAACAGTTGGTTGGGCTGTGGTCCTCCATGTCTTTCGGTCTCCTGGCGATCGATCCAACCAGATCGGCTATGTGAAAAGCAAGGGTGGATCTTTTCGACAAGCATCGGAGGAGTTGCTGGTCCTGGGCTTCAGCATGGCATGGGAAGTTTTCGCCCCTCAGCCAGTCCCACTCCGTGAACAAGACCCAGGGATTTTGGGGGTAACAGCTCGTATTTCTGTCCCCCAAGGTCTGGTCCGCAAGGCACAGAGCAGTCCCAAAATTCTTCGACTGAACAGGGAACCTTCAATGTTGTGCCAGTGTCTTGGTGAAGAGGCTCCCGGTTATCGGTGCCAGAGAATGGGAGAAGGAACAGTTGACACGCAAATATTATGTCAACGAAAGGGCCACGCCAAGATCTGGCCATCGCACAGAAGAAAATTGGTGGCAGGAATGGGAGTGTCTGCATACCTACGTACCCAAGTACCTAGGTATAGTTACACGAGACGGAATGGGAGCAGGGCGACGGACAGCAATCTAATACGTGTGCGAAAGAAGACAGGGAATGGAGCTGAGAATTGGAACTACAAAATTCAATATGGCTTCCAGCATTCGTTTTTGACATTGGAAGCATCCTTAAATATAAACCCTTGCAAGTATTCTTGCTTTTCAAGACTGCTGCCGCCTAACATGTCCCCAGATCACTCGCGAACCCGCAATGTCGTCGACTGGTGGATTCCAAAAGCACCGAGCGGCTCGCGCCAGCTCGGACGGCCGAGGAGCAATCTCGCAGCAGGGTGGGCTGCTGGGGAGGCTCAGACGCTGAGGCGACAGGCGACGTCCCGGTGATCTGGGGCAAACGGGATGTGGCTCCCACGCCCTCGCCGCGGACGCATGCACTTTCCATAAATTGCGGCGTGGACCATTGTCTGTCTGCATAAATATGTACAGCTGTATCCGTGTACCCTGAGAAGTCAGAGATCACAAGTCAGTCAAATTGTTTGAAGTGTGTGTGCCCAGTGGTTCGAGACGGGATCCCCTGGAGCCGCTCCGTTGTCGGCTGCCCATCCATTCCAACGGCGCAGTCGCGTTGGAGTTGAAGGGGCGAAAACTCGCGAGCGCGTTCTGCGGGAAGAGCCAATAGCCTAGTCTACTTTGTGACATTAGCCCAGAGGTTGGACGGGACCGATGACCTCTTGGGACGAAAGGTCCGGCTGGACCTGGGAACGCTGGGCTGCGAGGCTGACACCCTCTTGACTTGCATCATGTCCTGATGGTGACAATTATCAGCGATCAGCACCAGCAGCCGACGTCGGGAGTTGGCGTCGTCATGGCCCATGTGGGATGGGCGGTGCTGCACCGTTACCCACAAGGCAGCACGGCAGCTGCACGGGGCATGCCCACCCACGATGACCATTTATCGTTGTACGCAGAGGCAAGAGAGGAGATGAACAAATGCGCTTACCTACGAGATGGGGACCCGATGGTCATCCAACCAAGGCAATCCTGTCGGGCAGCGGCCAATGCGCGTCGACCGGACGGGGATCGCCCAGGTTTCTGCTGGTCCGATGGCGTAAAATGGTGGGAACTGGCAGGAGGCGCTAGGCGGCGATGGGACTAGCCTTGCGCAGGTTAATCTTATCAATCAAATCAGTTAGTTGGGTGGGGGGAGGGGGGCAAGGTTCCCAGAGTTTTTGGCCCTGCTCGCTCTTGCCTCATCTGCTCGTTTGAAGGCCCCCTCTCCCGCCTGTCTGGTCTGTCTGCCTTCCGCATGGCCGTCCACCGGCCCTTCCTCGTCCCGTCTCCTCTGTCTGTGCGGCTGGGCGGGAAAGGGACCTTTTCTCTAGGTGGTTACCTCGTGGGGAAGGTACATGGGTAATAGGCTACTTGATAGATGCAATACGGAGTAGTGGAAGGTTGGCTCACCGATTCAGGAGCCAAGATTGATCGTGTGCTTGCTCCCTCAGGGAAAGCCCGTCTGAAGAGTTTTCTTCCTGCCGATTTGGTCCCCAGATCCCCTGGTCCCCTGGATTCAGCTTTCAGTCTGGACAAATACATCTTGGGCCATTTCCCCCGCCTTGACCAGTCCATGATTCCTATCATTGGATTATTCCTATCGTTGCTATTGCTGTACATGCTGCATGCGCACCCGTATATCCGAGGCTTGAATTTGACCTGGACTGCACTACTGGCCCCCGGTCCCTTTGATCGAGTCAGAACCAGACGGTCCCACCCTTTCCTCCTAATCTTATCAGATTGATCTCTCCCTTCCCTCACTCTTCCACTCACCCGAACCTGCCGGCACTCACCTGTCAAAAATCAATCGATCCGTTCCATACCCCAAGCACGCAGAAGCCCACTCGCCTGCGCTATTCGTCATCAAGGGATCTGTTCATCCTAATTGGACTCGCTGCCTTGTCATCAGTTGTTCGGGTGCACCTGAGTCGCTGGATTGACCCTTGCGCTACAGGCCAAGCCACGCCACGCCCAAGCCCAGAACTGACCTGACCCGCGCACGATCGTCTTCGGAGATACGACTCAGAACCGCCATCCGGCCACGTTTGTTCTTCCGAGGTTAGACCTTCTCGTCGCAATCTGCCGCACATTCTCGCTTTGGCGATGCGATCAATGCAGCAAACTCACTGACTCTCGATAATCACTTCTCAGTTGAACAAGAGAAAACGTCGAACATCGATTGCATCGTCAATGGTCAATTCATTGTTGCTCCCAGGCCGATTCTGCTGCTGCTGTCTGCCCTGGCACCACAACCGTCCAATGAAACGGTAGCCCACCCGATTGGGAGCGTTGCACCAATAAAGCCGGCCGACCGTTACATGAGCATTCCACTCACCGTCCGATGATCGATCTGATAAGCAATTATCCCCAACAAGAAAAAGCAAAGGCACGAACAGAAAGACTTGTGAGGAAGAATAACAGCAGAAAGAATGGCAGCCGTCATGCCGACCAAGGCTCCTCCGGTCGGCCTCGCTCCCCTGAAGATCGGCCCAGCGCCAGGAGTTGCAGCATCGGCAGCTGCACGCTCGAGTTCTGCTGCAGGCTCAATGTCGCCGACGAATCCGATTTCTAGCGCCGCATCCACCCCCACCCCCACCTCAGCAGCGCCCAGCCCACTGGCCACAACCAACCGTAATTCTCCTTCGTACCCGACACAACCCGCCAAAACCACATCCGCATCCGCATCCGCATCCACCGCCTCTCATCATCATCAACCCTTCCCATCTTCATCAACTCCCACATCCGCCAGGCCCTCCATACAGCCTGCGCAGCCCAGGAAGTCTCTCCCCGCATCTCCGGCTGCCGCCGCCCCGGTCAACAAGATGTCCATGGCATCGGTCATCTCGCCGATGCCGGGCCCTCCCGTGGCAAAGGCCCCGATCTCAATGACGACCAAGGAATGGGTCATACCGCCCAGGCCAAAGCCCGGCAGGAAGCCCGCTACTGACACCCCGCCCACAAAGCGCAAGGCCCAGAACAGGGCTGCCCAGAGGGCCTTTAGGGAGAGGAGGGCCGCCCGAGTCGGCGAACTCGAGGAGCAGTTGGAAGCCGAGAGGGAGGAGCATGAGGCTGCCCAGGCCGCGCTGCAGGAGAAGGTCCACCGCCTGCAGATGGACTCGCAGGCGCTGCAGTCAAGGTGCGAGGTGCTGGAGAACATGCTTGACAAGGAGCGTGTCGAGCGGGCAAAGGAGGTCGAGGTCCTCACCAGGAGGCTGCATGAGGCCACCCAGCACCACCAGGCCCAGAATCACCACCACCCCGCGCGCCAGAGCCTTCCGTCCATCTCGTCTGTGTCCGAGTCGCAGGGCCCTTATGCACCACAGCCCTTGCGATATCACCACCGCCCATCGGCGCCGTCCCGTCTCTCTCAGCTCGGCAGGTCCAGCACTTCAGGTGGCCTGACCGCCAAGTCCACACCTGCAGCCACAGCCCAGCCTCACAGGCCCTCCACCACCAATTCATTCTCCATCTCACAGATCATCAGCCCGCCAGATGACATCGAGCAGGCACCGACCACGTGTGGGTCGTGTGACAGTGGTGGGCGCTGTGCGTGTGCAGACGAGGCCATGGCCAGCATGCCCGTTGGTTGCGGCAATTGCACCCTTGGCTCGCGGTGCCAGTGCCTTGAAGAAGTCCTGAACGGGACAGCGGCCGATAACGCTTACCAAGATGCCGGGAGCAGGGCCAACTCGGTGTCTAATCACCAGCCGACGCCAAGCCGCACGGCCAAGCGGACGATCCGGTCCATCTCCCCAAGTTCCACGGCGCCAGAGGAGAAGCGTGCGCGGCCGTCTCTGTCACACGCGGCCACCGAGACTGATTTCACCGCCATGTTCTCGCGCCAGGCCAAGCGTGCCTCTCCGCCAACCACCACCACAGCCTCAGCACAGCCTACTGCGGCTGCAATCACCGCCATCGGCACGCCCTATAGCAACGCACGCAGTCCGTATTCCCTGGCCCCGATTGATACCCAGGGTGGCGACTCGCCCGCTCCGGAGGACCGCTGCGGTTTCTGCGAGGACGGCACGTACTGCGTCTGTGCAGAGGCGGCGAAGAATTCTGCCCTTGCACTGCAACCACCAGCAGTTGAGTCAATCACCCTGCCGCCCATTACATCGTCAGCTTTGTTCTCCGTCCAGCAAGCTCGCACGCCTCCGCCATCCGAAGGCGATGCTAACGGCTACGAGATCCTGCCCGACGGTTCGGTCAAGCTGCCTAGTCTGAAGGGGCTCTCATCACGGAACAAGGTTGGCAATACTGACAACACCACGAAGCCCTCGACCAGTGGCTGTGGCCCGGGCGGCCCGGGTACTTGCGCCCAGTGCATCGCGGACCCTAAGTCGGGCCTTTTTTGCAGGTCCCTAGCGGCAAGTTTCAAAAGTAAGAACGGAGAGTCCAGTGGAGGCTGCTGTGGCGGTGGTGGACCCGGCGGTGGATGTTGCAAGGACAAGAAGCAGAACGCTGGCGCCGGCAGCAACGGCAACGCAAGCGTGAAGTTGTCCTGTGCGGATGCCTACAAAACGCTGGCCAGCCACCGGAATTTTAGCGAGGCGGCCGATGACATTGGGGCATGGTTGCCGATGCTGAGGGCGGCTCCCGCGCGGCCTCGGGAGCCTGAGGTCGGCGGCTGCAGTGGTGGAAAGGCGGGTGGCAGCTCGAGGACGCCGATCGAGGTCGAGGCGGCTAGCATCATGGGCGTGCTCAAGGGGTTTGACGTCAGGTTTGGGAGGGGGGAATAAGTGTCTTTTGACCTGCCTATACGGCGGTGTTGCATTGGCTTGGCGATTCATTCATGTCAAGCTACAAAAGGAAAAGGCGTTACGGAGGACGGGATATGCGCGCAGTTGTGGCCGTCGTTGGCACACGACGCGTGCTCCGGATGGGCTCAAAGGCTGCGGCCGGCTTCATCCATGGATTTGACTCAATACTCAAACCATAATCATCTTCAATCGTATCGCGCAATCGTGTAAAGGTGACGGACCCGAACACGTGCGTGTATGGCGTGTCCAGGTTGTTTTCGTGATGTACATTGGGTCTCGTACATCACCATAGTGTGCACCAGCAAGCCCACTGCAAATCTACATGCATGAAGACGCTGGACTCTGCGTGGGACAACAAGAACCCGTCATCAGTCAAAGATATCGAAGTCGCCAATCGGTCCGCGGAGAAGACCGTAGAGCCGCAGGAGACCGGAGCAAAGCCCGGCGTGGAACCCGGTGTCGGCCCCATGGGAACCAAACGATTCCTGCAGCAGAGCCGGGTCCCGTGCCCTTGTGATCCCTGCTGAACCGTTTCAAGCTGGTTGACAGTAGTTCATTGCCCATTTAGGTTGCCTTTTCACAATATGACGTGAGAGGGAAGGGGATGGAGTCACGGGAATGGACGTGTTTGTTGTTGGTTGGCCATGTGTAGACTACTGGTGGCGCATATGCGGGATCGGATGGAACTTGGAAGGGGAAAGAAAGGCACGAGCGGGGGCTTCCTGGGGAAACCCACACTGCATCGGCACATTGTTCGCGTGGTTCGTCGTCCAACGGGGATGACAGGGTGTTTTCCCCAGGCCGATACCTAGTTTTTATGTCACAGCGGAAGGGATCTTGTGTTGGGGAACGGCGGTAAAACCATGGAATTTTGATTGGATTGAAAGGGACTGACACCCACGTATCCCCCGGTGGAGGGGCTTGGCTGGTATTTTCTCAAGGCAATGTATGACGGCCTTGGGACTTTGAGTCTTTTCTTTCAGGGCTTCTACTTGTTAAATCAAGCATTTTGGAGGCTCGTTTCACCATGTATGATATTGTGATATAGAGTACAGAATACGGGATATCCTGGGAGATTCCCGAGGTCTGCACCAGGCTTTGCTCTGGCATCAGCAGCCTCCCATCAGGGGTCTTTATCACAACGAAGAAACCCTACCTAGGTAAAGAGAATTACGACCAAACCCAGAAATTCCTGATACCGTCCTGGTAAAACAAATTCATTTGAATTACAGGCGATCAACTCAATATAATATATTAGTGCATGCAAACTTTTTGTAGAAATGTTGACAGTATTCATGGCTATGTTCAATCAGTTTCGAGACTTTGGAACAGAAGCGCCGGATGTACTACTATAACCTCCTTATATCTTCCTCGCAATGTGCACTTGATCACTCCATGTTGTTTGTTGTTAAGTAATGACATGGATGCCGAGAATAATAAGTAAGGGATGTGGACTTCTCATCTGTTCTGCCCGCTGCTCACAGCATCACGCCTACAAAATCAGGGCGGATAGGCAGACTGCGAGCATAGACCTTGCTGAGCAAATGACAGAATGACACTGTTGTTTTAAATGGTCACATTCGTACCAGTTAGTAATGGTGACACCCTCGCACTGGGTCTCAAACCACGTAGCGTTCCAGAGCTGGGTCACCTCCCCCCGCCCTCGCCAAAGACCATGACCGCCTCGGCCCCGTTCGGGCTCCACGCCGGCCAGCCCATGTCGACCAGGCCCTGGCCCGATGAGTCTTTCAGGAAGGCGAGGTAAAAGTCCTGCCACTGCTCCCAGACCTCGTACTCGAAGGCGGTGGGCGGGCCGGCGCCGTGCTCGGTGAAGGTGCCGAGCAGCAGGGGCAGCTTGGACGTGTGGTAGGCGCCCTCCCACCAGCGCGGCGAGATGTTGGGGAAGCTGGCGTTGTTCCAGTATCGGAACGTGCGCGAGCCTGTGGTGTAGCGGAGGCTGTGGGTAAGCGTCACTTTTGTTAGCCACGACGGCTGGGGCTGTGATACTCAGGCCTAGGTGAGTAATTGATGAGAATGACGCACTTGGACAGGTACGTCACAGGGCACGTCCGGCCCGTCCTGACTTTCTCGCGAATCTCTGTCATGTTCGGACCGTGGGACCCGGGCCAAGTGATGAGAGATGCGTCTTCGTTGCCATTGCTTCCGACGATCGCGGGCTGAAAGCCAGTCCTCTTGGTCAGCACCATGCCCCTGTCCTCTTATTGTTGACAGACGACTCTCGCCTGAGTGGGTTGGGCCACACTCACCGCCAATGTATAATTACCATCCTCGGCCCTGGCCGTGTAGTCATCCCACTTGGTCACGTTATCTGTAATAGTCGTCCACTTGAGCTGATAGTCGGAATGGTTCATGTTGTAATCCCCATAGAACCTGATGATGGCCTCCGCCGACACGTTGTGTTGCATGCAGGCGAACTCGTCTGCTGGGGTCAAGTCCGCACAGCCCAGACGCTCCGCCACGAAGGTGAAGTTCTTGTGCTCATCGTCGACGCTGACCCCCGTCGCAAAGACGCTGCCGCTGTGCTGGATCAGGCCGGCGACGATGGGGTCCTCGGGGTAGGCGTAGTTGTAGAAGTCGGTGCTGGCGCTCCCCGAGATCTGGCCCCAGATGACGATGCGGGAGGGGTCGTCGCCGAAGGAGGCGATGTTGTCGCGCACCCCACTCGACGGACAGCCGCTGGTCGAGGAGGCCCATGTTAAGGTTTGTGCCCTGTTACGCCTGGTGGATGGAGTTAGGGAGGCCGAATATGTTGGCGCGGTAGCTGTTTCGAGAGTTAGGACGAAAACAGGGCTTCTGTCGTTTGAGATGCGTAATGGTCTGGGATTCGCTCATACTTGATCATAACCACAATGTGTTCCTCTGTCCTCTGGATCCAGTTGTATGGATCGAAGACAAGCTCCTCCAGGCCGCCGGAGTTGAAGCCGCCCCCAAAGATCCAGACCAGCACCGGGAACGGCCCAGTGCTATTGCTCGCCGCCAACGCCTTACAGGGCTTATAGACGTTGAGGGTCAGACAGTCTTCCGAGGTTGGCCCGTCGGGTTGCAGCCATATGGCGTCGTAGGTGTAGACGTTGGGCTGGGTCTGTTTATTGATGGGATACTGGGGGCAATTGGGCCGCGTGTAGGTAGCATCAATGGTCTCGTTCTCGCGGCTCTTGGGCCGGGGAGCGAGGAATCGTAGAGAACCCAGAGGTGGCTCGGCAAAGGCGATTCCCATGAACTGCGCGACGCCGGGAGTCGACACGTTCACCATGCCGTAGACCTCTCCTACCGTGGTGTTGACCCTCAGAGTGTGCAAGGCAGCCACCAAGCCGCTGGCCTGGACGGCCAAGGTGGCCAATATTGTTGAGGAATAAGGTTAGATTAGGGGGTGGCTTGGCGTTATGCGCCACGTCTATATATGTACGGCCCAAATGCCCTCTCAGGGGCTTGTCTTTTTAGAACAACCAACTTGAATACACTCTTTTGACCCCCATACGCCACAAATATGCAGCTGATCCGGGTCATGATTATGGCTTCCTATTGGAGACGCGATAGCACAGGATGAGAGAGCCCTGAGGTTGAAAAGTCCACGGCCACTTCCTGTCAAGAGGGAGCAGCCAAGTCGTGGTTATATCATCATTCGATACCCTTCCATATCCTGAGATCATCGGTCTGGTATTATAATAGACGGTGTATGCGGCGGGTGAGGACGAGGAAGTGATCAAAAACATAACCCTGAGAGCTTTCAGGAGCAAGGAAAAGCGTGACCTGCGCGAGGAGGTGCAATTCAAAGTACCGGTATCCCGAGGCATACGGAACAATGTCGTGGGCTACGGTGGTGACGGCAGCGGCAGCGACAGCGGCAGCGGCAGCGGCAGCGGCAGCGGCACGGGATCTCTGCCGCTGACGGCCTCTGACGATCATAACATGATCAAGGATAGGCCATGGTACTTGGGCCTCGCGACGGCTGGCCCCGTCGGAGACGGGGCCTTTGCGTTTCCTACGGATGTCATGCTCGTCGTCAACTACACTATGATTGCCTGCTCAAGTGAGAGCTGTGACTGACGAGATGCAAACCCGCTGCGAGACTCGTATTGTTATCCCCCCGGGTCTTGCTACGTCTACATATGAACTGCTCAGATTCTGCACCCAATGATGCTCAGGCTAAATATAGCCTTTCAAGAGGGACCTATTAAACGACCAACGCGCTATCTACAGGGTTTCACGGAAAATTTTACCCATGCCGATACAACCCCCACAAAGAATGTGACGCTATTCTGGCCAATTTAATTTATACTTTTCTTAATTAAACCTACACCGTTACAGCCCATACGGGATGTAATGCTACAAAAAAGCTACCTTTCTTCCACATAGTTTTGCCTTGAAAAGCTGGTATTGTTATTGTGGCACGCACAGACAAGACAAGAGAGTCAGGGGACCCTTTGCCAACGCCGCAGAGGTCACGAATTAGGCTTCTTTTTCAGGAAACCCTGCATAGATCTAGGTGCGCTTGGAACGCCTGTTCGATGACTTCGGTTGCGAGTTCATCCCGGGACGGTCTAGAACCTCTTTGTTTCACGCCATCTTGACACTGAGTGTGGCCTGATTGACGGCTCCCTTTGGCGACTGAGCACGGACGAGGGGATTGGTGCGGCTACTGACTCGTGGTTGTGTACGTGCGCGGCTCAGCCTAGGCCCTCGTGTGCTGTATAAAAAGAAATCAGTTTAAACGGAATAAAAGAAATGGAGGCATGGAGACTGTTAAGGCGGTTGTATCCGTGGGGTTGTTTCGTTCGGCTACGTGCTCTGGAGTTGTGATAGAATCATAAACCACACATAACCGAAACCAGCAGTAGCAATGAGCCAGTTCATATATATCCAGGTCACATAGTTCATGCACTGTATGTGAAAAAAGAGTTTTGCTCAGTTTCACAGCCTCAAAGCAAAAGACGACTGCACTTCTCACCCGCGCGGAAGACTGAAACGAGGGAAAGGGCGCCCGCTTGAAGCTGTGCCTGGTTTCATCGTCGCATGTGGTCTAGACCCATGCCAAGCCATTCTCAACCTTCAAACGAATCGGAGCGGCTAGTCAGACACATTAGACCGGCATGAGACATCGAGAGCGTGCTCGGCCCTAGAGAATCAGCGCGCGTCTCACGAGGTCGAGCGTTCTCTCAAAAGTATAAATAACGACCAACTTGAAGTTCTCGGTGTCAGCGCCAGGTCAGTCAGTTGATACATCATCACTACAACAATAATAGACTCTTTCTGTTCACACTCACTAATCAACGCTACTTCCGTCACCCGTCTTGACCGACAAAAAAAATGAAGGCAAGCCTCTTCCTCTTCTCCGTCCTCGCGGCCATCGCAGCCGCGCAGAACCCCACCGATGTGGTGAACGACAAGCCCAGCCCGACCGTCAAAGACAACACCAAGACAGTCAAGCGCGATGTCTATGCCACACCCGAAGCGGACTCCATTCCCACCGTCCTCGAAGAGCGCGAGGCGGAGACCACCGGTGAGGTTGGGGAGTAAGTGGAACGAACATTGTGAGGTATCAGGGAGACGAAGTAGGGGTCGGGGGTTGCGAAAAGAACAGGCATATATGGAAAGGGGTATTTCTTTGGCGGTCTAGCATGGCGTGAGAAGTTGATAGAATGTTCCATACTCTCAGCGGCATGTCTTCTTCTGCAATAGACTTTTGTTGACCAGCTCGTACAACGCCGGGGCAAACATGACCTGCACGTGGCAAGAGGATAGTATGGGATTAGCCAGTCTCCACCTTGAAAATTTCTCTGTTTAAAAGATCTACCTTGTGCTCTTTCATTTAGTTAGTGTGAGGCTATTATGACACAACGGCTGAAATGAGAGATATTTAAACCAAATACCACTGCACGGATGTATCATACCGTCCCGGTAGAACGATCAGAAGGACAGCGATACGTCGTTCAAGTTGCGGGCCCCCGGCCGGCCGCCTCCTGGCCCCCTTCTGGGCGAGTGCAGGCAGTCCAGCCGCTCGTCCACGGTCAGGTTCGCGCCGCTGGAGAAGAAGCCCTCGCTCGTCAGCAGCACCTTCAGCACCCTGCCGTCGTCCCCGGTCCGCAGGATGCTTAGTAGGTCGTCTACATGCTGCTCCAGGTCCGGGTGGTCCAGCAGCTGGAGCCCGTCGATGACGCAGACGAGCAGGCCCGGGGCGTATCTGAGGAGTGCCTTGAGGGCCTGCAGGGCCGCCCGGTATGCTCTGTGCAGTACCGTCTAGTGATGCCAGTAATTTTGTGATGCTGCTGGCTTCTCCAACCTCCTGGGGGACTAAAAGAGTGAGCTGTCGTATTAGCCAGTAGAGGAGGATGACCAGGCGGGATGTCTCCAAGTGTTGACCTGTTTTGTTGAGGACTTCGGGTCCATGTTCCAGACGGCTTACCGAGACAGCCAGGTGTGGTACTTCTGCCTTCTGCATAACTGATACGATGTGTTGAGCAGCGACCGTGGCCTCGTGTCTGTTTGCGGAGAACGGCGGACTGATTATGCATAGTATTTGAGACTTTGGCTCTGAAATCCAAGTCTGAAGGCGAGTGACTATTTGCCCGGTGACTTGCCGTGCACCAGCGGACGTGTAGGGAGGGTCATTGATCGATTGTAAATCAGAAGTGGCGCTGGCTGCGTATGTGCCCATGAATTTCATCAGAGGGCGAGACGCTTCTTCCATCTCTTGTCTTGTGTGGATGATGACAGCGCCAGCCTGTGTCCTGTTTTCCTCGGCTCTGATTTCATCTTCGAATCTGTTATTTTCTATCGTTTCTGCACAGCCTTGGGACAGCGACGTACCTGAAACCGATCCCTGTGCTATAGCCAGCTGAGAAGTGTGAAGCTGCCGGGTGACAGTGGCTGTGGCCAGATTCTGCCCCATCTCCCCTATGGCGAGATAAATACGATTTAGCTTTTGACTTAAATCCAGACTGGACAAGTCGCGATTCTGGTCGGCAATTTGGTTCTGCCTGCGGATCTCCGATATAATGTGCTCCAGATGTGTGACTGTCTCGTGGGTTTGGCTGAGGATTCCTTGAGTCTCTAGTGATGCCTCTCTTTCGATGTCCTTAACCACGTCTTTGATCCTATTGACCTTCTCTCGGACTTCTCGGCCGTAGTAGCTCTGATCCATAGCAGCTTTGAACCGGCCCCATCTTGAGTGATACCAGGTCATCGCATGGCACAAGAATTTAGAATATCTGATGTATAGAAGGATGACGAGCTGCTTCATGCGATCTGTTGGGTGGATAGAGCCTTGTCTCTGGCTGAAGTTCATGTCTGCACTGATCTCGGCCAATGCTCGCGAGAAGCCCTCGCCGTTCTGATCATGTCGGGCCGAGGCCTTTTCCTGTCAGTCAAAATTAAGCAGACCTCCCAAGCACCAGCGACGAGGCTCACCTTCACTAGCGACGAGATTACGCCTACAAACAGTGACGTGTAAAGGCTTCCCTGGGGTATGAGAGAGAATAGCGACGAGTAGGCCGTGAGCGTGTCACAGAAACTGAAAAATTGCTGCTTCGCCCTACCAAGACCGCTCTGCTGTTGAGCTTCCCGGCTGTCCAAAGTCGATCTGATAACCTGTTGCAGACTCGCGACGCTTGGGGGTTTATGGCTATTCGGTAACAGCTCGTCACATTCTGGGTGCTTTCTCTGCAGCTTAAGCCATGTTTGGATAAGCTCCTTGCACTCCTTCTGGAGCAAAGCGATATCATCATTTCTGCTCAACCGAGTTCAATATAGCTGAATCATAGGAAGTAGCTTGATACGAATGTGAATGGGACAACTCACGTGTCGAGCTCATCAAAATCTAGCCACCGCTGCCACTCGCGTACTGGGTCCTTTGCCTCCGCTGCTCGCTCATGAGTCTCGAAGTCGCCGACAGCCTGGGCTACATCATTTCTGGGGAGATCTTCGGCTACCTGCAAACTGTGCTTTCTGACAAGGCGGAAGGCATCTCCTTCTAACCCATGTCTCTCAGCCATGATTGCCGACGTACCTCTATTGTAATATTACAACTGTGCTCCTTAGCCTCGGTATCTTCTTTGCCAGACGCTGCGGTCACCATCATTGTCCAGGTAAGTCGAAGCCAGAACAGATTGGATCAATCACACAGCTGTGCATGCGGTTCTGCGAAGAGGAAGCGGGGTTTGCAGAGCCGATGGAAACGTGATTCTTTCATTGGAGCGGGTGTGGCAGCCATGTCAGCTTCATGTCGCACAAGGTGATACGACTCATCACTCGTGACCACGACAATCAGCACTCCGTTCTTAAACCTTGGAAGTATTTTCTTCGGCCGGAACATGGGCACATAGTTATGCTCTCATTCCACGCTTTGGACACATATCGACAATAAGCTCTCCACTTCGTTTAAAGACGCTCGAGGGCAATCCTGGAATTAGAGCCCATGGCTGACGCCGAGGTCGAAACCAAATCCGGAGCTGAAGCGCTGGATCAGGCTCAGCAAGGTGTTCTTGACCAGCAACACCAGACGGCGGACCAACCAGAACCAGAGGCTTCGACCACGCCAAGCGTTGAACACAGGTCACAATTCCCGATTCGTGAAGGCACTCCTGAGACCCATGAGGGCATGAAGTCCGGACCAACTGAGCCAGAAGTACAGAGTGTAGAGTGTGAAGTTCAATCGACTTCGGTGAAAAAGCCGGCGCTCTCGGCTTCCCTTTGGTGCCCGGTGAGAGGACGCAATCATAACAACCTGATCGAATTTGGCCTTGAGTGGTGCCCTCTCTGCGAACAGGACCTGAAGCCTCCCACGGAGATAGAAGTCCCAGAGTCCGAAGCGGAATCTGTAACGACCAGCGAAGAGGTGCCCGAGGAGGTGGTCAGTGATGGCAACCAAGGCGATAAGGACAATGAGGCTGCTCAAGATGCAGAGCAGAATTTTTTCATACAATTCTTGGATAACGGTGGAGGCCACATCACACGACGGCCATGGCACGAAATCCTGGACCTTGAGACTGAGCGCGCGAAGATGTCCCGTCAAACTGACCCTCCGGTAGAGACAATCACGATGGTGGCAACGAGCCTGTCATCTGAGTGGCGAAGGCACATGGCGCCTAGCGAACTCGAAAATCTTTCTTCCGGCTTCCTCACGAATCCCAACTACACAATGGAAATAGAGTTACTAAGAGTTGATATAGTGTCCGACCACATCAAGCAGGCTTTGCGACAGATCGTGACTTATTCGCCTGATTCTGGACTGTCTAACGAAATCATGTTCATCTTCGCGCCCTACTGTCTGTTCTATCACCACTGGGACGCCATAAAAGCTTACCAGAGGACTTTCAAAGGTGCAAAAGACTACGACGAAAGCAGTGGAAGTGTTGACTCGAGGACACAAAAACCAGGATTCAAGCCGTGCGATGAAATAACTTATAATCATCTGACCGTGTTGAGGAACGCAATCGAGTCCCAGAGTTTGGCTGCCGTCCTCGAGGAGAAGAAGCGACACGAGCATTCACCTGCCTTGGCCACTTTTAGCATGCTCTGGCTGCTTCTGAAGCCTGGTACGACCGTGTACACCAAGATTCACGGGAAGCTGGCCGCATGCGTCATCAAAACATTCGATTTCTCCCCACCCTTTAGCCTTCGCAAAGAATCAAACGCCTACAGGGTTCAACTGTGGCATTTGCAATACGATGGGAAGGTCTTAGGTCGACACGAACTCGCCCGTTACATCAGTGCCTTTGAGGGAGAGAAGAGGTTGATCGATCTTGAAATCATCCCTGCCGAACATTATGATGCTCATGATGAAGGTTGTCTTCGCAAAAGCCTCGAGGCTCGCGGGGAGAAGTATTTCAAGTTCATCTCGGGCCCTCGACAAGTGTATTATCGTGGAGACTCTCTCGGAGATGTGGTTTACTGGGTACGAGCCGCTCACAAGTCTTCTATTTGATTTCAGAATAATTAACAATACACTAGTACGAAGACAGGGCTGTTCTGGACATTCATGCGTATTATAGTTACGGGATGTTCGGCGCCGGATTACACCCGGGAGACGCAATCATTCGCCGTCCACTTGTCAGCGCAGTGGATGACGATACTGATGGTCCTGTTCGCTTCGGGCAGAATCCTAACGACGCTCCGCCGCCAGCTCCTATGCCTCCTCCTCCTCTTCGTCCCCCACCAGGTCCTTTTGCCCCTGTGTCGGATGCTAGGAACAACTTTGAAGCATATCCATTGAGATCCAGAACTGAAGGTCCATGGGCAGCATATGATAACATCGACCCAAGAGAGACAGAATCTTTAGATTTGGTTGACGCAATAACGGGCGAGATAAGCCGGCATCGGTACTTGCTTTGTCCTGCCGATATTATCGGATTTGTTCTAAAGCCAAGACGATGGGGTCAGTATCTACATTGCGAGATCGGCAATGCAGATTTCGTCGCAACGCCTGACTAGAGGTACAAGTTCAAAACGCTAACGCCGAGTTCTCAGACATTTTGGACGTGGAATGCTGTTCAGACATCCAGTACGATACGACGGCCATCGATAGCATCGTCATGCCTGATGAGAGGAAGATGATTATCAAGTCACTTGTGTACCGCTTCTCGGACATTGATGCAATTAATGGAAAGATCCCTGCGCCATGGACTGCTGATTTCGTTCAAAACAAGGGAGAAGGACAAATATTCTTACTCCACGGGAGTCCTGGAGTTGGTAAAACTCTCGTAAGTTCTTGCTTACTGTAGTATCATGTTGTCAGCAATGTTGATGACAGAGAGTCCCGACTAACATTCTCTGACAGACTGCTGGCAAGTTCAAATACTTTGGGAGCTTTCTCTTCTGTTAAGTGCTGACCACATTGTCTCAGAATCTATCGCAGAATCAGCCGGACGCCCATTGCTATCTCTGACCTGCGGAGACATTGGCACCATTGAGAAGACTGCAGAAGAGAAACTGTCAAAGTGGTTCCGACTCGCTGAACTATGGGGCGCAGTTATGCTCATCGATGAGGCTGACATCTACCTTGAGAAGAGGGCAACATCCGACCTCTCGAGAAACAGTCTTGTCTCAAGTAAGAGGCACTAATTGTCTGTCGAAATAAAAGCATGAAGCTAACATGATGAAAGTCTTCCTCCGAACAATGGAGTACTACAGAGGCATTTTGTTCTTGACCACAAACAGGGTCGGTCACTTCGACGATGCTTTCGTCTCCCGTGTCCACGTGGTCATCCGATATGAGAACCTCTCTGACAAGGACCGTGCAACAATATGGACACAGTTCTTCAACAAACTCCAAGCGGAGCGGGGAAAATACATAACCATTTCCAGGAAAGCGAAGAGATACGTGTTGGAGGACGAGGAAGTCACCAAGATCCCTTGGAATGGAAGGGAGATCAGGAATGGTACGTCACTTGCCACCACTGAACCACATCCCTTCATCTTCGTGGCTCGGTCTTGTTCTCACCATTCTAACTTGCGGACCTAACCCCCAGCGTTTCAAACTGCGGTGGCTTTCGCCGAATATCGATTCGCGCATACACCGGCTGACCAGAGAGACGAGAAGGCTTGTTTGGAGGAGGAGGACTTTGCCAAGGTGTGCGAGATGACGGGGGCATTCAAGCACTACCTGCGTTCGATTTCTGGCAGAGACGAGTCGATGCGTGTGAGGTCTGACCAGGCAAGAAACGACGGCTTCGGATCCCGGAACTGATCCACATCCAGGCTGCACGGCATTATGTGTAATGTTCAAGTTAGCGATAAACGAGCTAGATCCCATCACTTATGTACCCCGTGGGTGAAGGCCGTTACATAAGGTCCTACGATAATCACGATACTACACAACCCACGCAGGTCCTGAGCCGTGGTCCTCATGCAACATATATTCACGGCCCAAGGCACTCGGACATGTCTAATTTGAGTAAGCTGCCGTCCCGCGTGCCTAGTTTGCTGTATATTCAATCATACTTGCCACTCGCAGGGGCAGGCCTATAAGATCAAGGTAGCGGCCGGGATCGTGAATTGGTAGCAATAGGGCCTGCTAAAGGACACATGTTTCAGTCATCAGATATCAATCAAGCGTCGAGTTCGAAGATTTGAGTTTATCTCAGATAGGTTTGGGATTCACTCTCCCTTCACTGTATGGAGGGTTGTCTCTTCGTTTTGCCTGTGATATGTTCGGTGATCCGTTCCATTTGAAGGACTCGGAGAGTGTACAATTCACACAAGAGCCTTACCAACATGTCACATTTACACCATGTATCTTCGTATACACCCTGAAAACAGTCGTCCGTGCCCCAGGCAGCTGCGGTTCTGCATTCACTCACCACTACAGTCACTGGTCCCAACCAATACTCATCCACCCACCGATCACACCGAGTTTTGTTGCCTGGAATCTGGCATCGCAGATGAAAGTCTGCCTTCCAATAGCTCTGTCTAGGTCTCAAGGACCTCGTCTCCATGATCCAGACGCCAACCCGAGTTTGGACATGCAACAACTGGCCACCAAAGCAATGTTTTATTAAATTCATTGCAGACCAACCCCCATCTCGCATATCCCTCAATCACCTACTACATCTCCAATCGATGTCCAGTCCAAACGAGTCAGTCATTCCTGACAAAATGCAAACCGAGAGATTGCCTCTGCCCAGGATTCCTGGCCCAAAGCTGGAGCCATTCCGAGGCACCGCCACTGCCGACATCGAGTTCATTGCGTTCATCGGCAATGATGAGGACATGGATTCTAAGGTTTGGAAGGTCCGTATCGATGGCAAAGTCTTCGCTCTTAAGATTGTAAGTGTAACTTCATGTCGCCCCATCTAGATGCCCCGTAAGGCGGTCGTCTACATAACATTTCCCTCCCCCCCTTACCCTCTCCTGATTTCTCTGCCTGGTTTGATGGGCCCGATGATCATTGCTAATGTCAATCATTGGCTTGTAGTTTCCCTTTCAGAACTGGGAGTACCTGAAAGAGGCTGAAGGATTTTACGTAATACCGCGACGCTTCGATCCCTTGGAACGGCCTGAACCTACTCCGCAGGACTGGATAGACTACTTGGACCCGTTCAACTGCGAGTGCCGGGTCTATGGACGACTCAAGGAGGAAAGTCGCGAGGAGCTTGCCGTCCGAGCTCACGGCTACGTATTTCTCTCAAAAGCCCAGGAGAAACACATCACCGACGTCATGGGCGAGTGGGTGGACTGGGAAATCCACCCTGAGCCTCTGAGCTGCAGTGGGCTCTTCTGGCGTTGGGAAGCTCATCGACACCTGCCGCTGAGGGCTATCGTGAAAGACTACGTCGAGTCCTCGGGGCCGTGGGTTGCGTCTCAAGTTCCGCAGATGTATGCTGACCTCGAGGAACTGCACAAGCTTGGTATTCTTGTGAGGGACATTCATCCGGGAAACTACCTCAATGGAAAGCTTGTCGACTTCAGCATGGCCTGGACCATGTATCACATCTGCATGGATCGGGCCACTCCGGCAGGGGTCAAGGAAATGAGGTACCTGGAACCCCTCAAGTTTGAGAACATGGTTGATGAGTGGGCGCATTGGTACCAGGAGAAGATCGAGAAGCCGGAGGGACTGCTTGGCCGGCACAGTAACAAAGAGGAAGATTTCGGATTCGACCCCCGACTGTACAACTGGCGGAAGTGGGTGGAGGTTGAAGACAAGGAGTAGTTTGAGTGCCGACCACAGCAAACAAATCAACATGTCGATGACTTTGATCAAAACTTCTACCCCTGTGGAATCGTGGATGCCCATAGAGCGTTTGATAGGCCTCCCAAGGGTTAAGCTCTTATGGGATATTCTCTCATGGATTTCCTCCAACGGCATGGTCTTTAATGGGACATCAGGCAACAAAGCTCATTTTCTCGCCGAAAGCATCAACGCGGCCTCGCCATCCCTGAGCAGAAATGTCGTCTAGATCCTCATTCTAAAGTGCAAATTCTGGTCCATCAGAAGGATCCATCGTGATAGACACTCTAGAGGTGGGCCGGATTGCACGCAGGCATATTCGTTCATGTGCTCACGCCGCGGAATTCGGAAGGGGAGGCCAAATACTTTAACAAGAGCCCGCAGCCAGACATAATTAAAACCGATTATTAATGATCCCAAGTTAAGTTACCCCATTATACATGCCCCATACTCGTTCTTAGAGATGTAGACGTAGTATATGCTAAATTTACAACCGCGATACACACTCTACACGCGAAGGAACTGCTTGACGATGCAGCCAACATGTAACTCCATTGCCCCATGCTCCATGTACGCTCACATACAATGCAACAGAAACCAACCCCAATTATGTCCCATGTGCAATCCCTAGAAATGTTCGCTAAAAATAACAAGCCAAATCAACTTCCGAATCGCACCTCCGGCTGCAGCACCACAGCCTCCCAGTCGCCCCCCTCACAGCATACTTGCCGACCAGTGGCAGCTCAGAGCACCGGGTCCTCTTGAACTTGTACTCCTGGTCCCCAGCGTACGAGCTGACAGGATCAGGCAGCATGGCAAGGTAGACCGACACAGCCGCCGCGGTGTCGGGGCCCTCCGTGGGCCAGCAGTTGAGTGTGAATGGGACACCCTCCTGGGCTTTCTTCTTCAGCTTCTTGATCACGTAGATCCAGACCGGGATCGCACCTATGGTCAGCAGCGGCGAAAAGAGGAGCAGGAGCTTGTACTTGTTGAACTGCTCGGACGGCATGGTCGGAATCACGATGCCCTGCCGGCCCATGTGGAACGCCCTAGCAGGCCGCTGGATCATCGGCCCGCGCTCGATCGTGACGTTCCCGCACCCCCGGAACCAGTCCGGCGACGGCGCCAGTAGGCCCCACTCGTCGGAGCTCCACGTCGTCTCGGCGCTCCGCTCGATATCATACCGGTCCCCGGCCGCCGGCGCAGGCATCCTCCACGCGAACAGGGACTCGTCCTCGGTGGTGGCCAGGAGCTCTTGCTGCAGGCGCATGAAGGCGCGCGGGCCCTCGCCGTACTGCGGAGTCATGGTGATGCTGAACAGACCGAACAGGCTGTAGGCTATGTCCTCTACCCGCGTCGCCGTGCGTCCTGCGGCCCAGCTCATCTTGGTGGCTATGCACGCCTTGCGGAAGTGCCGCGCGCCCGTCAAGTAGTCGGCGTCGATCCCCGTGATGTGCTGGATCTGCGTAGCAAGCGATGTTTTTGTGCCGATGTATTTCCAGTCCGTGTCGTAGAAGTCCATGTCGCGCGGCGCGAGCAGCTCCTGCAGCGTCCAGCCGCGCGAAAACCACTCGGATGGCTCGTCGCGGTCGAAGCGCTGAAAGACGCGGTCTTGTGTCTGCTTCTCGGAGGGCTGGCTCTTCTTCATACTTGGTTCTATGACGGCCTCGTACTCTGGTGGGTCAGGCGAGACGCCGCTCCTCACGTCGGACAGGTACGTGATGCACACGCGCGCGTCCCGGTACCACTTGAACATGGAGTTGATGGACTCGGCCTCCTCGGTCGCGCTCGACTTGTTGATGCAGCAGTTGTCGATCCACATCCACCGGAACCCCTGCTTGCGCGCGATCTCGCATGCCCCGCGGATCTTGTCCAGCTGGGGCGACTTCATGCCCTGCTCGCCTGCGTCCCGTAGGCTCGGCGCATACTGAGCGATCTCGTCAAAGGTGATTTCTGCGCCAACCCAGCGGTGCGACAGGATCGCGTAGCCTTCTGCCTGGAAGAACTCCTGGCTATCTAGGCGCAGCTCGAATGTTGTGGTGTCTAGGAGTCGCATCTTGATGGTAGACAGGGCGACAGTGCTACAAGTCTGTCATTGAACAGAGGACCCGACAACGAAGGCATCGGGGCATCATGGGTGCAGTTATGGAGTTGTTGTACAAGCCATGGGAGGCTGTACATCCCAGGAGACTAAGTACGGTCACAGCTGATCACGGCGCAGCATTTTGGAGGATCATATGGATCAGAGGTATCACGTAAGCCGTGAGGCTGCGGTTGAGAACTATACCTTAAAATGCATATGCTAAATGTGAACGACTCACGTTATACCGACCTAATAGTGCAATGGGACAGTAATGGCTCATCTCAGCCTCTGATGGTTATGCAAAACATAAAGAGACAGTTGGGCACACCTAGGGGCATGCAAGTCCTGTAACGGCCAGTTACAAAATGCACAAAGTTATGCTTTCTGCCCTACAAGGGTTTTGTAGATTGGAAAATGTCAAACCTCAAGGGGAGAAGAACAGATATCAACAGAACAGAACAAGAGAAAAAAAGAAACCGGGAAGGAAGGGGACAAGCTGCTGCTCTGAAACTTGCGTATGGCCGGTCTCCTACACAGTGAGTGCATCTCAAGGTTGACCGCGGCAATTTAGGAATAGGTGAGGCACGTGTGCATTCTGCATTCGTTGGTGTAAAGGCAGAATTGGTGAGTTGTCAAGGTGTCTCGATATTACACTTGTTGATGCTTGCAGCTTACGCAAAATGGCTCGAAACTTAGATGCATACTTGCGATGGAGGAGGCCAGACGATGGACCTTCTTCCATGCGCGTGACCACGATCAGCCGAATCAAACGGCTATGTCAAGAGCAGAGGCAAGGAGAATTCAAATCAATGCCGTCCTGTTGATTTGAAGTGTTGAGTGCTGATAGGTTTCGCGCCTACGGCGCCGCGCTGCATTGCATCGCACTGAGACATGCTGCACCCAACGAGTGCTTGGCTTTGGCTGCCCATTCGGCCGTCGAGGGCGCGCGCTTTTTTGCGCGGGGGATGCATGCATGCAGCCAGTCTATCTGTGACCTGGCCGATCGAGGAGGGGGAAGTCCGGTCTCGCTGGGACGATATGGAGACATGATCAACCAAAAAAGTTGAAAACGTTGTTCTACTCAGTGCCAGTGGATGGAGTTTAAAGTGACGTTGATGACAAGGAGGTAAAAGAACGTGGAGCCGGGTTGCTAGCCCATGCGAGTGAGTCCAAGAGGGGGCGGAGGGTCCGAGATATTTCTCACCGAGCCGGCCAAGCTGTAAGATGCAATGCAGCCAGGTAGCGAATGACAGACAGAATCGAGCGATTTCAGCAGGACGGCTGGTCGTCCGTGGAAGTGATCATCCGCCCGTAGGGCAGAAGATGCCTGTCTGGAGATGGCAGTGCTGCTCGCAGGTGCTGATCCGACTGCTGCGGGCGCGTCTGACGTGCAGGCAGGCGCAACTGTACGAGGCTCGATGAGGATGGTGTGGGTTTCGGTGATGGAGGGTGGGAGTCGAACGTGACTTGACGGGCGGGCTCTGCTTGCCTGCTCTGCTCTATCTACATGCAGACTGGCAGACACATGCGAGCGGCCGCACGTCGCTAGCCGCCACCGCATGCCCACAAGAGAGAGACATTGGGCCACGAGGACGACGAGCTGCTGCGCTGGCCCTCTTTTCCCGGCCTGTCGCCCATCGGCTCTTCCACGCCTACATGCACAGGCTGCCTCGCTGTCTGGTACAGTAGAAGAACGGTCAGACAGTCAGATAGGACCGACTTTGGGCTCTGCGCATGCCCACTCAGGCCGGGAGGCGCTTGGCCTTCCAATAAGCTCGGTACCAGTGTTCGACAGCGGCTTCTTCTGCCCTGAATTCAGGGCGGATGGAGACGTTCAGGTGATCATGGGACGCTGTGGACTCCACCTGGGATCTGGTGGGAAAGGAGAGAAAGGCGACGCGCAGGGGTGGATGCCGGTGGTTGGGTGACAGCGACACATCGTGCCATGTCCCATGAGCCACGGTCCGTGGTCCACGATCCATAGTCCATGAGCCTCTCCATGGGCGCCCCCATTGGAGAGAAGACAGAAAAGTCCCGTCGTGAGCACGGCGAGCGAGTGGGTAGCGGGCGATGACGACGGTACGGTATGCCTGTATGCACGGTAGCAAGAAGGATTGGTGGCCGGGTGTTGCCATGAAGTGTGAGTTGGCACATGTATCCGAGTCGGTGGCCGCCCGGCCTTGGCCCGGGTCAGGTCTGGAGGGAGCCTTTTGATTGAATGTGGCCGAGTGGATGTGTGGTTTGGTGGCTGGCCAATTGGCGACAGACACGCCACACCTCCTGCTCCTCATTCTTCTCCTCTTCATCCTCGTGCCGGGAGGAGAGGGGAATACATACATGTAAAAGAAGGGGGCCGGACTCAGGAGACAGGAGAAGGGCTAGGAGAGGTTGGATGGATCAGTGGTTCCGGTACGGGTCATTCCATGTCTGGTGCTCATGCTGGCGTTGGTGTTGGTGCAGGCTTGGGCTAGATAGGCAGACATGACGATGTTAATCTACAGCAGCAGTAGTCCAGAAAGTGCAGTGGCCCAATCCGAGGGCAATGCAATGCCCTGCCAAGTCAGCGACCGGCCGTTTTGACGGCGGGAGCAGGCGAAGCTTGCTTTGAGTGAGTGACTGTCTGTCTGTAGTCTGTACCGGGCCATTCGCAGGAGGAACCGCTAGCCCAGGAGGATTGCATGAACATGAACGAACGAACGAACATGAACTCCCGCGTTATTGACCGACGAGCGCGCCCTGTCCTGCCTTGTCTGCTGTCAGGCCTGTGCGGGCGGCCGCGATGAGCTGTCAGTCTTGATTGACCGAGTCGAGCCTGAGTCAACGGCTAGATTGAGTTTGAGAGGCCTGCAACGGGGTGGCCCACGGATGTCTTGGTCGCCAGTTGCCCCGTTGCCCGTTGTACTTTGCCCTCTGCCCTTTGCCTTCTGTCCCAGGGCCCTGAACAGCTGAAGTCAATTTGCCACTTGTCGATTGCTCATGCTCGCGTTCATGCTCGCCAGCAGAGAGTCAGGGCCATCCCATGAAGACGGCAGGGCTGACGGGCAGACAGGCCAGACGAGAGAACGGACTAGCAGGCAAGCATCACACCGAGTGGATGGGCCACGACGGGACAGGACCGAACCTTTTGAGGGCGAGCACAGGGAGGGGTCCCGGGCCAGGGCAGGTCGCTGGCAGGACAAGATCTATTGTTGGCGAGTTGGCAGAGTGTCAGAGTGTCCGGGTCGGCGGGAGGTTGCTGAGTGAGGATCATCCCAGCGTGGGCTTGTAGGTGCCAACGCATCGCCCGTCGCATGGCACAGGACAAGTACTGCACCGGCTCTGTATTAGACTACGGATTTTTATCAGGAGGAAGTGTGGCGTGGCGTGGAGGGGCGGAAGGGAAGGGAAGGCAAGAGGGAAGCCCGATTTAGTGTACAGTAGCAGACCGCGGAAGACTGTGGAGTAGGAGCTCCAAAGTACCGAGATACCCAGGTACATGTGGCTGGCTGGCTGGCTGCTGGCGGGCTGCACCTCCTTCCCAAATCGCGCAGTGAACAAAAAAACCAGCCAGACAACACACAGCACACAGGGAAAGAAGGGCTCCGACCAGGACTCCGACCAACCACCCTCGACCCCTCATCCCTGTCACTGCTACCCCACGTTTACAACGCAGCAACACGGAAACAACAGCAGACGGGGCGGGCGGGCAGGCGCACAGCCGACTGAACGCCCTGTGAGTGAGCTTGTGTGCGCGAAAGACAGAGAGAGCCTGAGGCCTGGAGAGGGAGCGGGTGATGAGTTGTGCCTCTGCTGGCTGCCACTTCCCTACCTCCTTCCTTCCCTGCCTCCCTAACAGACACAGACCCAGAAGACGCTAGGCTAGCAGGGCGGTAGCTACCAGCCGCATACCGACCTAGCCCACCTTCCCCCAACGTTCTTGCTCCTTCCCGAGGCCCCAACCCTGCCCTCGCCCGGCTAGCCTCTTGCTTTTGCCCGCCTCTGCTCACCCTACTGTGGGTTGTCCAGGTACCCTGACCACTCGAGGTTCTTTCTTGCCTCCATCGTAGACAGTCGCGGTCGCAGCTGGCCTATTACAGTAACAGTAGGAATCTAGGTAGCCAGCCTGTGGATCGATATAGTCGACCTACGTTACCTGCCCTGGGTATCTACTTACATACAACATACATACATGTATCCATAATGCTGTGGCAGTTGCCAACCACGCGATTTCCCTGGGCCTCCTTCCTCCCTTTCACCGACTCCCACTTGTACTTGAGGTCGATCGACTGCTGTCGTAGTGGTCGGGAAGAATAAATCTAAAACCTTCAGCCTCAACGACCCCCATTTGCCTGTCCCCCCCGACTTGTTCGCGTCTGACCAAGTCAGGGTGTCACGGCTGTTACGACTGCAACCACCACAGGTTGTCGTCGAGCATTTCTACTGCAGCAGCAACAGCGACACAATACAATAACCGGAGGATTTCTTCTCAAGCTCTCCTCCTCAGCCTCGCCGTCAACTTGCTCCTCCGCCCATGACACTCGCGACGACCCCTTCAGGTGACCTGGACCGAGACCGAGTAGAGACACGCACAAGCACAAGCTAGCCTTCTACACCTGCCACGCCTGCCACGCCTCCTCGACCCCCTCCGTCCAAGCCGTCCAATCTTGGACTCGCACGTTTCCTGCTGTACTCCCGTCTGCCGTCCGCCGCCCGCTTGTCCGCCCCGAGTCCAGACTTCAGTCCTGTCACTGTCAGCCCTTTTATGCTGGCAGTGATCCAGGGCACTCGCTCCATGGGCGCGCCATGTTCTCCATGCAACGATCCCTCTCTTCGCCCGTCCTGCACGCCTCCGAGCCTGCCCGTATGTTCCACACCACACCAGACGGCACCGCTGACCCTCTCCCCATGCTTCTACCTGCTATTCCTCCTTCTTCAAACCTTTCCCTTCCTCCAGCCTTGTTGTCCAAAATCGGTCCGCCCTGCCTCGCCACCCGTGCAGCCTAGCTGACCAGTCTTCGCCAACAGCTCCTCCCCCGGAAAGGTCGTCAACTCCTCCCTCTCCAGATCGTCATGTCGAGTCCTCTCTCCCTCGACGAGCACACCCGAGCAGCCCTTCACTCTCCGACATATCCCCAGGCACAACCCGCGAAAGCGAGATGCCACTTCCCACACGCCGAAGCGAAGACCTCCCACGGCCCACGAGCACAATACAGGCTACGAGTCCGATTCTCAGAAAAGCCATTGTTGCCCAGCCGACTCCTCCCCTTCCCCCTCCCACTCCCACGTCGAATGCGACGGAGCCGACGCCGAACAATGCTCCCCGGGACGAACAGCAGAGGCTCCCCTCTGCCTTGAGGGCTCCCGTCAAGATCCCCCAGCCCCTCATCACCGACGCCTCTCTGTATACAAACTCGTACTTGGCGCCCGTTGACGCGGCAGAAAGCACCTCATTAGACGAGCTCGCCCATTTGGTCCGCTTATCCAAGTACCAGGAGCGCAAGCGCGCCAACACGAGAATTCGCCTGCAACGCACCCTGGTTTCCACTGCCCTGTCTGCCCGGCTCACTCGCTGCGGCGAGATCGCCCAGAGGAACCTGGCCGAGTGCTTCCGCACCGAGGACAAGAAGACTTTTGCAGCTCTCTACGGCGCAGTACACGATGTTCGCAAGAGCTGCGACGAAGTCAGGAGGTATGCTCTTCTCGAGCCCGAGGTTGAGCTCTTGCAGTCTCCCGGCATGGTGTCATCCGAAAGTTTGGAGACACCCACTGGCTCCGTTGTCGCCGCCGGCCCCATGGCTGGCTCGACGGTCCCCTTCCTCCACGACATCTCGGCCGATGCCAGGGAGACCTTTCTCAGCTTCTTGTCCAAGATTAGGAACGATCCGGACTACCTGGCCACCCGGATATGCTCCCTCTCCAATTCGGAACGTGCCGCCATCACCAACTTCCACTCCGGCTTGGACCCGGTCGAGTCCGTCCTGCCACTTTACAATAAACCCCACGTGCGCGGCCCTGGCCACTCCTCCAACAGGCATCTGTCTAACAATCCCAGTCCAGTCGAGCGCTTGCTATCCTTCCAAAGACACGATGCCTTGTCTGCGCTCATCCATACGTGCTTTGCTAATTCAGCAGGTCCCGACAGCGCTGAGGACAAGCGTCGGACCGATGTGTGGGCCAACGCGTGCGCACGTCTCATTTCCAAGTCTGCCTCGGAGTCCAAGTCTGGGAATGAGAACGTTCCAATCGAGCCCCTCCTCATCCACGTCCTGAATGTTTGGTCGAGCATGCGCGACTGGGCAGGCCGCTCAAACATGGAATGGTACCTGATGAAAATACTCGAGGATGGGGCCTTTCTTTTGGACCGCGCCGAGGACCAGCATGGCACCCGGTTCAACATATCGGATTGGACGTCCAAGGACCAAATTGCTGCCGATGAGTTCTATGATCGCGCTACTGACGAGCTTTTTGACATCCTGGATGACGAAGACGCTACCGGCCTGCCAGAGGGCCTTCTCGAGATAGGAAACCAGATCCTCAGGCGCTTGGACCACAAATATGTTGACAGCACCCGGAAATGGTTTGTCTACAAGTGGCTCTTCTCGGTCTGGCTGCTCGGGGTCGTTGTTCACCCGGAGAGCCATGGCATGATGACGGATTACCATATCACCGAATATGGCCGGCAGAAGATCCTCAAACAAGTCGCCATGAGGGCCTCCAGCGTCGTCGTGGACATGCTTTGGAAGACTGGACCCGTCTCGACGCCCCCCAAGGTGAAGGCCCACGTTGAGAACATGCTTGGTCGTTTTAAGAACTCCCGCTACAAGCCTCGCCCGAGGCTGCTCACGGCTAGGTCCATCACATCGCTACGGGAGACCGCCGAGGTTCACCCGTATCTGGTAGTGAGCCCTGCGGATCTGGTCACCCTTGTTAATGCTCTCTTCCCTGAGAAGAGGCCAATGTCGTCAGCCTCGATCCGCTCAGGTGCTCCTTCCATTTCCGGCATCTCAACAATCTCCCAGCCCATGTCCATGGCCACATCGAGGAGCAACAACAATTTCGAGACTGCTTCTATCATCAGCACAAGTGTGTCATCCGTCCTGAGTGATGCAAGCACAGCCGCGGAGACAACGATCGAGCCGCAAGCGACTGGGACGTCTGCAAGATCCTCGCCTCCACTCGGTGCTCGTCCAAGCCAAGAGTACATGAGTAACTATGAGGATGATGGCTACCGACTCCGGCTTGCCCTGCACGAGATGACCCAGATTCTTGGGGTTGACACTTGCTGCGGCTCATGTCACCCATGTGCTGAGCGATGGGCGGTGCTCTTCATTTCCTCCGATGGGAAATCCCTCTCCACACAGATGACCTACGACCCCGATGATGAGCCCGAAGAGGAGAACTCTTCGTCTCTCAGCGAGACTGACGAGGACGACCTCGACGACGATCGGCCGGAGCTCGACAAGGACTATCACCAGCTTCGTGACTCGATCCTTAAGCTTGTTGAGGACTTCGAGATTCCACCGACTTCGGAGCAGGGGACTGGGAAATTCAGCAACAGGACGTCGACACTGAAGAAGTACCGCTCCAAGAACAAGATCATCACAACGGAGAAAGCAAGACCTGGAAGCCCGAGCCGGAATCCATACCGCCGAATAGTAACGGGCCGGGACAGTCCTGTTAGGACCGGCTCACCTCTCGTCGCGGGTGACAAAGGGAAAGAGGTGGAAGGCAGAGGCCAGGAGCCGTCTGAGCCGACGCCAGTCCTTGTGGCCATGCTCCAAGCTGCCGCATCCCAGGCGCGGGCGCAGTCAGACTTTGTGGGCGCGCTCTCCTATTTCAGGACACTACAACAGCTCAATGCTCTGTCGTCATCATCCCTTCGTGCGGATGGCTTTGCAACATTGCTGAACATCTTCAGCCGAGGGCCTCGAGATTCTATCCGCCGCTCTGCGTCTGCCATTGAGGAGTACGATGCGTGGCTTGTGTGGCTAAAGCAGTCTCAAGAACGTGCTGAGGGTCTTATTGAATCTATGATGAGGCGTCTACGAGCTCTGCGCGACAAGATGTGGTATGTTACTGATGTTCAAAACTCAGCACCATATGTGCATTCTCGGAACATCGCTGTCGCGCTCAAGTCGATGGGCACGCGTCACAGGCGCAACAGCTACAGTCGAAGCCGGAGCATTCCTCGTGGTACTGCGACGGCGTTTCTCTACCGCAACGAGTCTCAAATTATCGACCTCCTTGCAGCGACTGAAGCCCAAGGTGGCCCAAACAAGCTGTCCGATGACCAGGCCGAAAAGACATCACGGTTCCTGGAGGAATATGGAATCGAGAATTTCTGCCGTGGCGAGGAGCGCATTCATCGATTCTGCTGTGAGGTCAAAGCATGCATTGGCAAGCTCGTCGGTGATAACATCATGGACGGGCCGGTGCTTTGGAGCAGTGAACTGTATCTCCGGGACAAGAAATTGCTAGAGGCCCCACCTGTGCGAAGAGATCTTCCGCTATCATCTTTCCACAACGACGACGCCAGCAGCATCATGAGCGAATCAGAAAGGCGATTCACGCCAGCATCGAGTAGGCCAGGGTCACTTGCAAGAGACTTGAGGGGGATGGCATCAGTGGCCAGTTTCGACTCGGCAAGATACGGGTACTCGCGTGCCAGCACGGCAATGAGCGACATCATGGACTCGGGTGATTACTTTGGGCATGCCTCGCCCGTCCACACCATTGACAGCGCGTCGACGTACTGGTCCCCATTCCAGTCCATCACATCAGCAAGCTCGACGACTTCCCGTGCTCACAGTCCCACCACGAGCATTACCAATTTCAGCGGCTCCGTGTTCGGACCCCATCCTCACGCGAATCCCGGCATTGCCCGTCCAGGCACATCGGTGTCTAATAGCGATACGATCCAACAGCAGCGGCTGAATGATGACAAGACGAGGTTCCTCACCGACCTCCGGCAGACTTTGACGAGCTTGTTGCTCAGCGACTTGGGGAACCTGGTCTTCTCTTCAGGGTCCGAAACAGACGGCTGGTTTGGGGATCTCGGACAGGATTGCATCGACCGGCGCGATGCTAACGAGCGAAAGGCCAAGAAGAGGCGGTCCAGGCTCCGGGTGATTGCACGAAAGGAAAGCTTTGGCAATCTGCGAGACGCCAACAACGCCGCAGATACTGCGGCCCTGAACCAAAGCACGTCTGAGTCGCAGTCTGCGAGCGGTGCTCAACCAAACCGTGATAATGAAAGCTCCGCCACCAGCGATACGTTGTCGAGCAAGAAAGCCTCGAAGTCCAGCCGGGAAAACCTGGCCGAATTCCCGTTCACTGGAGCATACCAGCGCTTATTGAGGATGTTCTGTGTCCATCCTAACCCTTATGCCAAGCTCAACGCCCTTTTCGAGCTAGAGCATCTTATTGTTGCATCCCTGACCTCTGGCAGTCCTCGTCGCAGGCTAGCATGGCTGCGTTCAGCAGAGCTCGAGGCAGAGAAATACAACCAAGGAGGCCATTGCCGGCCGTTTGAGGATGCCATTGACAACCTCCGTGAGCGTAGGTCTTTGACACTCCAGGCGCCCAGTCTCGGCAGCAATCGCATGCCAGGCGGCAATCTCAACTCAGAAACCCGATCTGTCGTCAACACATCCTCAACGGCATCCAACACAGATGCCATCGCCACGGTGCTGCAGTCACTATTTCGCAATGCAGAAATTCGCCCGGCGACGCTTTTCCGTGACCTCCAGTTCATCGCCACCTTCGTGCCTGCCAGCATCCTGGACAAGACTGACCGTGGCAAGGCTTTTTGGGACTGCGCGATTGCGGCTCTGGGCCTCAAGCAGGAGGTCTGCAGGACCATGGTCGAGATGGCGGATGAGCTTGTGGGCGTGTACACCCAGAACAGAAGGGGCCAGCCGCCAGCACCGGAGAGCACGGCTAGCTCGTCGATCAACGGCGAGGACGAAGCTCGCGCACAGAGGCCTTCGCCGAGCGCTGAGCAGCAGGCCTCCCGCACGGCCTCAACCAGCCCGCCCACGCCGCCGCCGCCCAGCACCACGTATCGCCTTGAGGACGCGGCCCGCATGTGGACCATTACCGCCAAGGAGGGCGACCCGACGAGCCAGAGGGAGCTCGCGCTCTTCTACCTGTCCAACCCGGAGCTGGTTGACCGGACTACGCTGCCGCTGTCGAAGCCTCGCGAGGTCTTCAAGCCTGCCGTCATGGAAAAGTACGGCGGGGCCAACGGGGCGCGTATCGGGGCCGGGCAGCCTCATCGGCCGGGAACTGCAGGCCATGGCGCGGGTATGGACGGAGGCAGGCGAGACGTCAGGAGTGACGGTGCGCTGATGTGTGTTGCCATCCACTGGATGGAAGCCGCCGAGCAGGGCGGGGACGAACTTGCGAGGACCTTCCTCGGGCAGAATGACCTGGGTCTGTAAGTCAGTGGGGGCATATTTCCGGGGATACTAATGAGCGCAGATTGGGAGTTGACCCAAGGCGTCGGTGTTGTTTGCCTTGCCATTTACGTTGCCATCTACGCGTTGCATACATGTCTAGGTCATCTCGTGTGGCGTTATGCTCGGATGAAAGGTCAGCGCACGATATTACGACAGGATTGATGACTGGGATGGGATGGATCTGAAGCATTTACAACGCGCTTGTTCTTTGGGTAGGATTCCAAATTTTGTTCGTTTCCATTTATCTGTCTGTTTCGGCTCTTGGTTGCTGGGCAGCCCGATGGTAATTGTTTTTATGAGACTGTTGTATCTATTTACACAACCCTATTATACCCCATATACAGCGTCCATAGATACAGAAAGCATTGTTTTTTTTTTCCATTTGAATGAAGAGGGATGGGTGTGTGAGCACTATCGACCCCGTATTTCCTCCGTCTGTCTCTGTATCTGTCTCTCACCGTGTGCAAATACACGTGCCGAGACCCATGTAGCACAAGTACACCAACACGTGCATGTGCATGTGCATTTGAATCGGAATGAGAAAAGCCGGGACAGACTCGGTTGGCTGCATGTCTCAGCCAGGTCTCAGCCGGTCCTCAGCCTCATTGAGAGCTCAACAGCGACTGAGCGACCAGATGACGCACTCGAACCGAGGCGGCGGGACACCAATCTCTCTCAAAGTGCTGTCTCATCCTTTCTTTCTCTCTCTCTTTTTCCCTCTCACGCTCACTCCCAAAGGAGAAGAGTCAGTTCCTTGTCAGACACTAACGCCTGAACTACCGCATACACCCAGCTGCCTCTCCACGCCACCCCGCTCGATCGTCACCTATCATCCCCACGCGCAGCCTCTCCCTCCCCCTCTCCCGCCTCCCCCTTCGTGTCGTGCATGGCTTCCACGCGGCGCCGCACCCAGTCGTGGCAGCTGACCTCGTCGTACCTCCTGACCCCGCCGGCGGCGGCGACGCAGCTGTCGAGCACGGCGCAGCTCTCGTCCATGTTGAAGCCGAAGAAGAAGGGCATGCTGACGCGCTCCCTGTTGTGGCGACTCTGCTGCAGCTGCTGCTGCTGCCGGCTGCTGTGATGCGAGATGGGTGAGGGTGGCGTGCCGCCGTTGTTGATGGCGCGGTGCACGGTGGACACGTACAGGTCGTTTGTGATGCGCTGCAGGTAGTCCGCGATGTTGACGACCAAGGTGCCCGGGACGGGCGGGGCGTTGAGCCACTGGCCCTCGCGGGAGAGGACCTGCAGGCCCGGGACGGCGTCCTGGCAGAGGATGGTGAAGAGCTGGAAGTCGGTGTGGGAGCCGATCGAGACCTGTTCCTGCTCCTGCTGCTGCTGCTGCTGGTCTGGTCGTGCTTGTGGGGGTGGGGAGGGTGATGGTGATGACGAAGAAGCTGGTGATGATGCTTTGAAATGCTCGGGAGACCGCGGTGGGGTTGGCGGGAGTGGTGGGTAGTAGTTCAGGGCGAGGGCTGCGTCCGGGTGGGTCACCTTTGAGTCGAAGAAGGTCTCCTCGAGGTCCAGTGAGAGGGCGAATGACCGCACGAGGGCGCGGGCGAGGGTGAGGCAGGACCGCCAGTACTCGATGACGGCGGGGGCGAAGTGAGGGACTGTCTTTGTCCGGGACCAGGGGAAGCGCCGGAGATGGTTCTGGTCCTCTCTTTCTCCCGGTGAGCCGGCGTCGTTGATATCGGCATCCGGCTCGATGCGGAGAAAGGCCCGGACGCGCGGCGGGACGGACTCGAGCGAGGGCACGGCCGGGTCGCAGCGCGGGTCGTAGGTCCACGAGAAGGTCTCGCGGTTGTCGACCGACTCGGAGGGGTTGATGCGCTGGGTGCGCGGGGGCTTGTAGCCGTTGAAATAGGCCGACTGCGCCGCGTTGGCGAGGTTCTTGACATCCTGGGGCTGGCGGAAGAAGGACAAGCAGGCGGCGTGGGCGGCGTCGGTGACGGCGGCGGGCACGCCGTGGTTGCGGATGTAGAAGAAGCCGTTGTTGGTCGCCGCGGCGTGGATCTGGGTGGCCACGGCCTTGCGGTCGGTCAGGGAGGCGCTGAAGATGCCCGAGATGTCGATTATGGGGATCTCGGCGGGGGTCGCGTCGCGCGGTGGCGTGCGGAGGACGGTGCGGTAGACGGGCCCGTTGCCCGAGGAGAGCTGCAGCTGGAAGGTCTCGTCGTTGGGCTCCGGACGGGACGGTGGAGGTGCTTTTTGGACGGCCATACTTGGTGACAATATGGCATGGATTTGATGAACAGGTGTTGGTGCTGGGGATGAAGGCGGATAACGGGGTTCAATGGTGGGAAACGCTATGTCGCGGAACTCTTCCGGCGTGGGGGGAGAAATACGGCATGATATATATTCCTGTTACACCCGCATCGCGCACCGCGCACACACATCGCAGCTTTCTCCGGCCGCCGCAGTCCGTCGTCTCAGTCCTGAAGCCCGTCATGGCAGTTGCGGGCCAAAGGAGCACCCACAATCCACCGAAATACCGAAGCTCAAAAACACTCACTAGACTGGGGTCGCCTCCTTGCCTAGGCACGGTCTAAGTGGCTCACCGGCGCTCACCGGTGGAGGTGTCTCGATAGGATGTGACAGGACCCCAAAGCCATGACTGAGGCGAGGCTTTTGATGTTCCGGAGGCGGCCGGTTCCGCTCCCGTCGGCCGGAGTTATCGAATCTCTCTGCCCTGGCGGCTGCCCACCGTATGACAGCCCGCTTTGCTCCACCGCCGGGTTTGGGGTGGCTTCCCACAACTGACTGCCACTGACTGGCATTGGCTCCTCCTCAGGCACCATCCGCCAGAGTGTGTGGAGCAGTCAGGGCAACAAACCATTGGCCGTGGCATGCAATGTGTAGAAAGCCAACGGCCAGTCAGAAGGGACGTTTGCTGTTGTTGCTATTGATATTACGTATGTCGATAGTCCCGATCATGGTCTCATCGCTTACTCTAATCCACGTGAGATGTTCCAGTGTCGCGTGTCTCAGCCCCCGGGACTTGCACCTTGAGATGAATTAGACTACGTGATCACGAACGTCTCCTGGTGAGATGCATCTCAGGGCTAGTTGTTCAGTGACATCCTTCAAGCAGTCCTTATGCAGCAATTTTATGATCACATTTAGGTACTGCCATCTCTGAACTTAATAAGTCGCGTATTCTATGTCCCCGAGCCTTTATCAGACAGTCACCCTGCTGGCCTTTTGGCTCGTTCGCGTAGCAGGGCTGGAATATTGAAGTCACTCATTGCAGTTAAAATTGGTTTTACGTGACTTTCTAAAGACCAGGGCCGAATGGGATGGAATTCCGAGGCTTAGAATGACCGTAAAGAGCTGTCATAAACCGGCATAATGTCATTCAGAATTGCTGTAACTCACGCGAAGAGCGTTGTGACATGCTTTCACTGCTATGTCATCATCAATGCTGGGCCATGAATCTTAGTAGAGGTCATGGCTCGGAGAACATGAGGCCTATATATGACCAACAACAGGGCGTGGTAGACATTTCTTCTGAAGCACCCACTGTCGATGATTCAACACTGTGCACCAGTATATATAAGCATTCTCCAGTTCCTATTGTAGAGCCCCAGAAGTTGATCCACAGTTTCAAATTCAACTTGAACATTTCAAACAGCAGTTACAAGGACAGAACCCAAGTCTTGAATTGTGTCAGCAGACCAGAGAGGGACAGAAAGGAAGAGAAGAGGTTCAGCAAGTTTTGTATGTTTGTGGCCTTTGAGAATCAATCCATACTTCTCTGTACTCGACCGCTGATATCTGACTCGAAGTGAAGCACATATCGCAACGCAGACATACGCACGCAGATCGCGTCCTTGTTTTCATCAGCGTATGCTGCACTTGAATACTCGCTCCCAATCCACCCACTCACACACTGACGATTGACTCTATGCCAACAAGTCTCTGGGTTCCAACAAGGATGCCAGAACAGCCCGTCGTCGTCACCGGCGCTGAGATCTGCACCGAGTGTGGCGGGTCGCCGTATCAGCCCCCCGGAAGGATCTACTTCAACCACACCGTCGAGTGCGGGAGATGCCGCGGCCGCGGTTACAAGAGGAACGAGCCGCAGTGCAGGAAATGCCGCGGCTCAGGGCTCTGGCAGGCGAGCCGGCGATGCTCCGGCGTCCAGCACAACGTCCAGCAGTGATGGCAGTGCAGCCTCTTTAATTAGCCAAGCGGGAGGGAAGGAGGTCGTCATTGCTCTGTTTCGTGATGGCGTACCATCACAGGCGGTCGATCAATGTCACAAGGCCTTAGGCGATGGAAGGCGTGATCGGACAAATATCTCCCCAGAATAAACAAGGCTGATTTCCTCAGGCTAACTAGTTGTCTCGGCGGCATTGCCAAGTCGAACGGCCAAATGTGTAATGCGGAGCCCACGTGTGATGTATGCGAACCATGGAGAACATACAAGTGCCCATCGCTATATTACTGATTCTTGCGCCCGCGAATTAGCCTGTCTCTTGAAATGGATCATCTTACTGCCTGTGGGTTTCCAATTCAAAGCCATGGGCCTGTTTGGACGCATGATTATAGAGCGTTGCGAACGACCCTGGTGGTAGAAAGTCACACTGAGTGGCACACCCTATAATACTCACGCGCAGAGTGTTCAAATCGATGCCGTTTGGATTCGTTGAACCAATAGATGCTGCAACGGGGGGGGGGGTTAAAAAAGCCTTGGGCGGCCGCATTGAGCGCGACCTACAGTACCCAGGTATCGAGTGGATATTGGTCTGCTTATCCCCGATGTCTTTGGCATGACCCGTGTAACTATACACACCAGGGGCATGACATCTACTATTGTGTCGCTATTTAATTGACGTGCTTGCGGCACCTAAGAAAAGCCCGGCCCCCTACCCATGGTAGGTCATCACAACGTCTAGACTCCTACCAAGCCTGAGCCGCAACCAAGTGTTACCTCGCCAGATTCTTCACCGACTTCCAAAATGACTTCCGTAATCAGGAATGAGCCGTTGCAAACTTAGCAGACAAGCTCCCCGTCCGAAGTTCCGATGAAGGAGTCTATAGGACATGCATTAGAGGTTGGAGGGCTACAGCGCGGGCAGGGACAGTGAACTCGACGCTGAACTTACTCAGAACGAAGATGTCGTAGTACTCGTCGCTTCCAATACCATCGCACGGACCATAGCACCCGAAGTTCTCGCCAAAGTGCATGTCGCCACCATAGAAGGTGTTGTTGCAGCCGGTGACGGTGCTGGTGAAGCCGCCGGACGGCGGGAAGGTGAAGCCGCAGTCGTCGACAGACCAGCCGAAGCAGTCGTTGAGGTTCAGCTGAGACCAGGCCACGGTGTCATTGACCTTGCAGCTGGCTCCGAGCAGAGGGGAGCGGCCCTTGACGCCGTTGAGGTCCCTCAGGGTGAAGTTGGAGCAGGACTCGAGGAACCCGTCGGCAGCGGAGGCCGTGCCGCTGAGGGCGACGAGAGAGATGGCGACGGCGATGGAAGTGGCCTTCATGTTGAAGATTGATCTTGCTGAGAGAGTACTTGAGATTTGTGGTGTTCTGTGCTGAAGGAGTGTACCGGAATGGTGGGATTGAGCTGTGGAATGTGTGTGCAACGGTGGGGAAAGGCGCAGCAAGGGGTTTTATTACTCCACCAATTCCTTTCCATTTAGCCTCAATTCGTTCCATCCACTGGCAGTCACTGTCCGTACTCCTCAAAAAGCAAAGGTGAAATTCAGGAGATAGAAGTCGAAAAGAGTGAGATCGATGAATTACTGCTAGGGCCCCTTTGTACCTATACCCATGCTCACATTACAGCATCATCATCACAAACGCCCATCGCAAACGACTTTTCCCTGTGCAGAAGATAGTAGATTCAAGGCATTCGCTAAAGGTGTCCCACCAGTTCTTCAACTCCTGCTCTGCGGAGAAGATCGCCGAGACTCAGCTCCTCGAGGGTTAAGACTCACTCAAGAGACGCGATCAGCGCCTTGGGGCCGTTTGCAGATGGTCGCACTGGTGGTTGAGACGGGCAACGCTGGGCTGCCAAGTGGGATGGGTTTGGTCTGCGCATAACAACCCTTGAGAGCCCTGCTCTTGCGGCATCGAGAGACTTCAAATCTTGCCTGATAGTATGACAGAGTGCCACAAGGAGAAAAAGCCCAATGAAGAACGGCTATTGAAGCCGACGGCCACATCCTCTGCTTGCCAGCGATTTGTCCTTCCTCTAAGTGAATATTCTCCTGCCACCTGTGCAGAGATACAGCAAAGATTTAAAACGAGAAGACCCCTAGAAGATACGCATGAAGATCCACTGCATAAACCACAATGATTGAAGGTGACAGGTCCCGATGGCCGGTGTAGTCGTCTTGGTATTCCAATCCCGGACCGACTCACATAGCGCTACGAAGGTTTGGGCTTCCCCTGCATCGAGCAGGTTGTTGGATCGTCTCAGACACCTGGTTACCCTAATTCTACTCATGTGCTTTTATAGCACTTTTTAGTAGCTCGGCTGGACCCGCGCCGCGTGTCTTAGCGGCCTGGCTGCGGTCGTGCGTTTGCTCTAGTGACTGTCCGCGGTTCCACTTGCACTAATGGTGGCAGACGCGGATAGAACATTTGAAGTTCAAACAGCGATGTCAGTGATTAACCACTACGGGTGACCAATAAATCCGATTTCCTGACTCAACGACTTGCATAAAAGGCAGCAGATTCCAGAGCTTTGCAACACCCCAGCCTGAAACGTCCTTCACCCAAAATCAGTCCAGAGAAGAGCACTAACACCATTACTTAGACTTTTCACCCACGATACCGCACAGACAAAGCAAAGTTAGCCGATCATCACGATGCGAGCGATCTTCAACCTGATTCTGCTTATCCTCGGCTTTGCTTGCCTGGCTAAAGCCCAGAGTGGCAGATGCGTATGTACCACCCCGGAGCCACCTTCACCTGAGCTGACAGAACATCGGTGTCGGCTTCTGCTACCACATCTCCATTCTCATGTCACGAGTCACCATACCAAACATCCTACTGTACAGGAACATCATTAACTAAAATTTTGTAGTGCCGGGGTGTATGCAACGTGGGCGTGTGCAGCTCCGAGACGTGCGGCGACGGCAACGACTGCGACGGTCCCCATGTAAGTACATGCACACTCCAATTAAAGCACCACTGGCACGCGTGCGCACGCCCTAATTTACTATCGCCTTTGCTAATCGTGTCATACCAGTTCAACACCTGCTGTCCCGACCCGCGACACCGCAAGGATTGAGTTTCCTTGGAGTGGCCCATGGACGACCTGAGGCTACCGCGACTGGTCACAGTGAAGGCTGAGACGTTGACTGGCAGGTTTGATTGGTAGCGATAAACTGATCTGGACATGGCGACACAGCGAAAAGCCTGTCTTACGGCATGGAGAGGTCCAACTGTTGATGGAGCAGCCGGAGACAGAGAGAAATAACCCAACAATTACTTTCATAAATGTCAAGAGCGAAATCCCCTTGTTCGCATGAGTGTAGCGCTCTTTTACGTAGACTTTGGATCCTATGAGCTTTACATCTCAATAGATGTACTAGTGTTTTTGAACAGATTATGCTCGTGCGGACGGACGATGATACAAAAAGCTTCGTTCACAGGTACGAAGAGGGAGTCCATGTGTACGGTGGAGCTTCAGTATGCCAGCAGCCTTGTAATAGTCAGAGTAAAAGTTAAGGGTATGCTAGTGGCGATGATTGCATTGCAGAATTCGCTCATAGGGCTGGATTCCTGGTTGACAGGCGGATTTGAGTTTGAAGCTTGGAGGCTAAGGGGACCGAGGTCTGGGCAAAGACTGTATCTTGGCTTGGAAATCGCCTAATGAACTTGTGTATTTCACCCCATTATGACGCTGATTTCGACTTCCGGTCGTTGCCCCAAATGAAGTGTGAGATAAAACTCTTCTTGGGGCATGTGGGAAAGACTTTGGGACTGCTCCTATTACGAAGCAGACAATTGACATAGGGTACGATTGGAAGCATACATTGAGAAGTAATTTAATCTGAGACTGGAATAGAGTTAGTTATATGTACGTTTCGACAACCGTGGACAGCCTTGTCTGGTTGTCCGTGGAATGTGGGGTCATGGTCGTCCCTGTGTGGTAGTTACCAAGTCCATACAAGTACAAGGTGACGCCGCGTTTGGGGATATGGTGGATCTCTGTCCTGCCTCAAGATTTGCCCGGAACTCACCCCTGCATGAACATTCGCTAGTGACTGAATCCTCCAGGCTTGTTGTCTACTCAAACGCGCTAGTAACGGGCTGGTCCCCAATCGCTGGGTGCCGACTGATTGGTCTGAATGGTCTGAACAAGGCAGTGACCGTAGCTCAAATTGGCTGGGAGCACGGCATGCTGGCCGTTGTGGTGATGGCGGAATCCACCGCCCCGGTAGGCTCCTGAGAAGTTCTCTGGAGCTTTGCTTGACGCTGTGCCTATCGAAAGCTTAGCAGCCTGTGGTGTAATGGCAAGGCCGCAGCAGTAGCAGGCTGCTGAGAGATTTGAAAGGGTGTTTCCGCCCCAGTCGCACGACAAGGGTAGCTGCGTGACTGACAACACTAACGTCCCCTCACCCGATTTGGATGTGTGGCTTGCCGTTCGTGCAACGTTGAGCACCTGCAGATGATTCCTCGAGCGACAAGCCAAGGGGAAAGGCGATTGGTCGGATGCAGTACCTGTACATGGTGTTCAATCGTGGTGTCGTGGGATCAGGACTCTCTCAGCCACAAGATTGATGTCAAGGGTTAATTTTAGCTTGGCCATGCCTTTGACTTCTCGTGACCCGAAGTTCATTGCTGCAATATCTAGGTAAGCACTGCATGCCCGAGCTGGCTCAAATGTCCTGCGCAGGAGCAGTAAGCTGGCGCTGGTCCCGAAGACCTCATAATCACTGGCATTATCGAACCCCTGCCTGCGTCAGATCTACGATCCGTTCTGTAGGCCTCGAGAACATTAGGACTGGTCCATGACATGTGTGTGGGGACACATATAGTCTACACGGGAAGGCGACGAGTATATAATGCCGTGCCAACACCAGTTGCGACCCAGCTGAGCTCCTCGCTTCGAACCTCCCGTTAACTGCAAGTATCCAATATTGCTACTGTGGGGAGAATCTCTCCCCGGTCTCGTTTTCTTGACGTCCCCTTTTCCTCCGTGCACTTTTAAATCTCCTGGACCCCTACCGCACGCTCCAGCATGACCGGCAATATCGCCGCCGAAGACTCTGCGCCAGGTATTGGTCGTGCCTTGTTCTCCGGGACCCAATCCAATATCATCCACTTCCTTGAAAAGGCTCGACTGTATCCAAATATCCTCGCCGACAAAATAAAGAACATCTTCATCGGCGGATACTCTGATGTCCAGACCGCCATGCACTACACCACCCAGCTCTTTTCCCGCCCAAAGATCGTGACTTCAGACGAGGTATAAGCTGCCCAAAATAAGTGGCGAGCAGTCACTAACTTCCAACTCCAGTCATCCGGCCGTGGAGTCCAGGCTGTCACCAGGCAACTCGTCACAGAGAGCACACAGAGGATCGATCCCCTTACGCGAATACAGCCCGCTCACATTGGAGGCTGGGCAACAGCCAGCGGCTTCTCATGGGCCCCCCTCTGCTCGCCTCAAGCGATCACAGATGGCGGTGAACATCATCGGAATTCTGGTCCTCAGCATTTTGCCGGGAGTCGTTCTCGGGGTCGTGACGAGGCAAGTAGCGTTGGGTATTTCACTGTCTGGCGTGATCGCTCCAACTTTGGGTGTACTTCGAGCTGCTGCTCATCACTCCACGTAATGACAGAGCTTGTAGGGAGCTAAGCAACGATATGTTGGTTTGATTTTGAACGATCATCTGTTGCCAGGGTGATCACCCGTACGAGTTCGGCCTGGCCCATGTCCCACCTCCCACCTCTGGTTGCCCCATTGTCTATCCCCCCTTCATCCTGAATCGACCATCAAAGCTTTGAAGGGAGATCAATATATGCTTTCCTTTCCTGGACCTTTTTTAGTCAGCATGTGTTTGCAAGCGGGTAGAGAAGTCCTCATCCACCAATATTAGAACAGTGTTTCTGTCATACAATCACAGAGCGGTCGATGTGCCAGACATTTCCAATGAAATGTTCTGGTAAGGCGGGACACCATTCGATGCGAAAAACTTCGCTTTTCGGAGGACAAGTTGTCTAGCATACATTCTGGTGTGTCAATATTTGCTCGAGTATCTCATTTAGCACTTTTATACTTGGTGGATATAAGTGTCGTATAGCATTTAATTATAAGCAACTTGAAGATCTTATCTGTGGGCTGCTTTATGGCTGGCAAGTACGTGATGATAAAGTGACCTGAAAGTTTAATATTATAAATGTAATATGTAGCTTGAATATCCTTAGCTTTAAAAGATTAAAATCGTATTTACTTAGTTGAAAAATCCCAATATGACAGTTATATCACTTAATCACTGTGTTTAGACGGCGGTTGTGTGAGAACAGCCTTCACAATCTCTATCGATTCGGCAGCGAACCGGCAAAGATAATGCTGTGATCAGAAGCGGGGGACATCACCTGCGCAGCACCCCGTGCAATTCTTGGGACACTTGTCTTCAACTCTGACACGAAATACTTAGTATTCCTTCGGCTATTGGCTAGATGCTTTTACTTGCTTGAGGATTTCACTGCAGGAAAATTGTCCGTGGGCTTACCTACGTATGCAGATGCAAAGATGGCGAACGCCGCAGTATCTGCCCCAGCCGGATCGGCTCCGCCTCCGAGCGTGAAGGTGAGAGAGATTCATTTGTGAAGACACAAAATGCCTTTTCTTGCTCACCAATCCATGCCAGGACAACGAGAATTACGTGTATTTCCATTCAGGATCTGAGGCAACGTATCGCAAGGTGGCCGGCAATCCTTCGTCTTTCACGTCGATCCCAACTATCGACTTGGCTGAACTAGACAGCCCTTCACCTGACGCAAGGAAGAGGATTGCCAAGAACATCTACGATGCCTGTTCTCAATGTGGATTCTTCTACATTGAAAACCATGGTGTCCCCCAGGATATCATCACCGAGACACTCGATCTACTAAAGCGCTTCTTCGCACTGGACCTCGACGCCAAGATGGACGCCCATGTGCAGAAGAACCCTGCCATCCGCGGTTACGAACCGATGCTTGAGACAAGGCTTGATCCTAGGACCAAAGGGGGCAAGTATTATGCACCGCAGAGGTCGTGATCCACGACACTAACAATAGCACGTAGATATCAAGGAGGCGTTCACGATGGGTGACTGCGTGATAGAGCCTGAGCAGGATTATCTCGGCAAAACGGGCCGTCAGCCACCCCCTCACATCACCAAGCCACAGAACATCTGGCCTTCGAGTGCACCATGGTGGCGCGAGGGGCTTTACAAGTACTATAACAATGTCCTACCACTAGCCATGAAGCTCGTCAGGATATTTGCACTGGCCTTCGATCTGGATGAGACGGCTTTCGACGACTACTTCAAATTCCCGATCACGGGTATGAGGCCGCTATATTACCCACCCACTCCAGCCGATGATGGAGAGGCCAGTATTGGACTTGGTGCACATGCCGACTTCTCTTGTAAGTCGCGCTTCAAAGTCATGCATTATTGAAGCGAGACGGAATAGGAAGCTAACCGTCGTCAGGGCTCACATTTGTCCTCCAAGACTCGGTCCCCGCCCTCGAGGTTCTTAATCAAGACGGCATTTGGGTCGATGCACCGCCCAAGCCCGGCACCTTTGTCTGTAATGTCGGTCAGTACCTCGAGAGGCAGTCCAACGGCAAGTTCCAGGCGGCGGTACATCGTGTCAGGAACAGAACCGGGCATGAACGGTATTCTCTTCCATTCTTCCTCACTCCCGATCCGGACGTGGATCTCAAAGTCCTGGATTGCTGTTTTGATGAGGGCGAAAGTCCCAAGTATGACACGATCAATGTCGGCGATCTTTATATTCGAAAGGTATTGCCGGCCAGGAGCAAGCACCCGACAAGTATCAAATTTAAGGATGTGCCGCCGGAGGAGTGGACGTATGATCTATTGCTGAATTGATTTTTTTTTTTTTTTTTTTTTTTTTTGGCGGAGGATATGGGGATGGTTGAAGTGGGTCGGCGAGATGGCTCTTTGACTAGTGACGATACGTGGACCAAGTCAGCTGCAACTAGTAGATAGCTGGGCAACAGTGGCGGAGGCAGTGCATGCAACCCCATCAGCCGCGGATTTCGCCCAACCGCTGACTTCGGTATATAACCACACTTCGTCGCGTGAATGGCCCCGTGGGAGCTTCGCTTTTCTGTTGCATTATTCCCCCAGCCCAGATGGATCCAGAGGACTTGCCAAATTTTCTCGAGGGGCTCAATGCGACAAAAGAGTCTCGAGTAGACGTGTTGCGACTCGTGTCTTCCCAAGGCGTTGTGACCGAAGCCACCTTAGACGATGATGGGCTCAAAACCGAGTTGGCCAAAGTCAAGGAATCAGCTATCAAGCCACTTATTGGCGCACCAGCGATTGCGTCCACATGGGGACCGTTTGTCCTGTTGTGAGTTGCGCCTTCTCAAGACCCTGGAACTCCAGCCACTGGGACTCTGTGGCTGATAATTGAAACAGTTCTGCTGTTGGAGATCCTGCTTACAAGAGCAAGCCGATGAACATATCGAAGACCTCACTCTCTAACCTGTTACTTGCATGTGAACTCCCCGCATTTACCCTTATTGCGTGTGGGGTGAAGCGTTTCCACTTGTCACATCACATTCAATACGATGAGGATGGCGGTGACAAGCCTGTCGCCCTGTTGTTACTCCTTCGAATCGCGAGGAACAGCCAATCCATCAGTATCGCCATGCGAATTCGTCTGGTCGACCTGGCCACTGTCGTTTTCCTAACCAGCATGACCGAGGAGACAGGGCAAAAGATTCGGAGGAAATGCATAGAGCGCCGCCACCTTCTCGCAAAGCACCCGCTTTACTTCCTGGTCCTCATATACGAGGACCGCTGCTTCGAGTACAAGCGCTGGTTCGACGACATCCTGGAGGAGATCAACGTGGTCGAGTCCGCGACGGGCATGACGCGCAACACGTGGAAGATGCAGCTCTCCCCGCGGCTGTGGGAGTGGTTCTCGGACTACGACAACCTCCTGCGCACGTTGTACGCGAGCAACACCGAGCTGAGCCACTTCGACACGGTGACGACCTTCTCGATCAAGTTCGGAGACTTGCTGCTCATGGCGCTGGAGGTGCTGGAAGAGCTGCGTGCGGAAGTCGGCTTGGCGCCGCTGCAGAAGAGAGAATTCAGATGCCTGCAAGAGAGGATCGCCTTCACGCGGTCTCGGTGTGACCTGACTGCCGACAAAACAAGGGAAATGCTTGAGAGAGTAAAGGGCCAAATCAACGTGGTGAGAGACTCGTGTTTTTTTTTTCTAGACTGTGATTACGTGGCACTTATTCCCACTTCCATGAGCAGAGTCATAATTTGAGATGAGGTGCGGCTTTGCTAATTATCTTCTTCTCAAGGCCTTCAATCTCGTTGCGCAGAGAGATAGCAAGATTAATCTAGCTGTTGCCGAAGAGTCTAAGCATGTCGCAATGCTTGCTGCAAGGGACAGCGAGACAATGAAAACCATCACCGTGCTGACACTGCTTTTCCTTCCATCCACCCTGGTCACGGTAAATATGTTGGCCCCTTCCTTCTCCTTTCTGTGCGGATATTACACTCGTTGAGCAATGATGGACCTGCTTGTTGACTTAGAATAGTCGATATGGTCTGCAGACTTATTCCAACTTGATCCGTCACGGAATTGGAAGGTGTACCTTGGTGTGACTCTAGCACTTACAGCCGTTGTCTTCACTGCTTGGTTCCTGTACCTCCGATTGTCGAGCCTGAAGAGAAAGGAACGACCTCTGCACATCGCTGGAGTAGGGTATATCCGGGAAGGCAAGGTGGTGGGCGCGGGACCCACCGGTCGAGATGGGACATCTTTCGACATTCGAAAGGAAACTAACTGGCACGAGAAGTAGCAACTGAGATCGATCGGATAGGCATCATGAAAGAAGGAGGATGTATTTCGTGATGTGGTGGTTTCATGTCAAATTCAAGTAAGTTAGCGGATGTCTAAAAATGGGAGCCGGGATGGGTTGAATGAGATGAAGTGACTTCAAATCTGCGACTAATTCATACCAACAGCTAGGCAATTATGTTGACATGAGAAGACCATTAATCCGTTGGAGAGTGTTCCCTACGAAATCTTAAAATAAAGATATATTTCCAGGTTCATATAGCGCCCCGATGATGTTGGACTAGTCTATCGTGAGATGCCCACCGCTTGAGCTTGCGGTTATCACAGTAAACTGGAGCCCTCTACTTTCACCCTGAATTCATGTAGGCGCAGGAGATGCGCCTGGGTATCCTTTCCTCCACTCCTCAAAACATCTTTCAATGTCACATTGCTAGTGACATCTATACTACATCTCTACCACGGTATCACTGGTAACAGAAGCAGGAGTCAGCATAAACAACGTGATATCCACTTGAGGAATGAACCTACAAATTTGCTGTGCTAAACTTCATGATGATGAGGATGGTGCTGTGACGCAAGCAAGAATGACACCCGTCGCCCCACTGAATGCAATAACGGAGGTGAAGAATTCACCCTTGGACACGGTCGCTTGGACAGCCTTGGGGGGCTGAGTCGCAATCATTCGGCGTGCAATATGCGGGCGCAGGGTGGTGAGCAGACGTTGAGCGGCTCTTTGTTGGAACATTTTGGCTCTATGTGGCGTGTGTCGGTAGATCGAAGAGTGTCTTGGTGGCGGGTGGACCTTGGTAGAGCAGCGAATGATCGTGAAATCGGTTTGGGCGAGAAATAGTTGACAAGAAGCAGAGACAGTCTGAGATAGGTCGTTAAATATAAATCGATGCAGTAATCAGGAGATTGATTTGTTTTGATCTGGTTTTGTTTCGCAGCGGTTTCACGGCTGATTTATGTACCCCGGGATTGGAATGGTGGTGTGACCTGCTCCGCTGTCTGGTGGTATGTTGCGTCAGGCCATTTGCCCACTGAATTTCCCCATGGGGACGTTGTGGGAGCTGACCGACACCTGCACTGCGAAGACATCCCGGGACCATGGGAGAATACGGATTATCACTTCCAAATGCACTGTGAAGTATTACTTCTGAAAGTCTATTTACGGACACCATGCAGCCAGTTGCACCTCGAAATGACATGACATTGTCACAGCCTTGGATGTTGCACGAGATACAGGTCTGTGGTTGTCGGTACCACCCGCCACACCCCTGTTGAAAGTCATCTGATTGGTCGGAGATTCGCGGGCATTTGTAGACTCCTACCATCTACTCTACGTGATATGAGAACGGATCCACTGTCGGCCGACAGTTGACCCTAACATCACCCTCAGACAAAGTGTTCGAGACAATATTGCCGTGTCACTCCATCACGATACGGGATGATAATACTCACACCAACAGGGAAATCATGGTTATCCATTAGCGCAGACATGCGGCTTTCTCAAGGTTTCCAGACAAATGGAAAACCAAGTATCATGTCAGCCCAAGTACATGCTAATCGAAAAGACAAGAATAATTATGGTAGTCTGGAATGCGACGGATGTTTTACGACTCAACAAAGGAAAGGCCCGACACGGCATAGAATTGCTCGATCCCACAAAACCTCCCTCGATATCCGTCATAGCGGAGCGCCGAAGTACTCAAGCTCGACTTGCCTGGTGTTGGGCTGTACAGAATTGTGAATCAGTGATTTGTCTGAGATCGAACCATGTTTCAGATGGCTTACGAAGATGGTGTTTCCCCGGTACTTGTCGACATCAGCCTGGCCCATGAGCTGCATCTCCGTCGTCAGCTCAGCCTGCAGAATGCTGATCATCTTGGCCACTCCGGGCTGGCCGTAGATGTTCGCAAACATGGCCGGCCGGCCCAAGCCCACCGCACGCGCACCGAGCGCCAGGAGTGCCAGGACGTGCGAGGCTCGCCGGACACCACCGTCGGCGTAGATCTCAATCTTCCCAAAGACTTCCGGGCAGTTCTTGTGGACGTCGAGAAGGACCTCGACGGCCGTGGGCGCGAGGTCGACGACGCGGCCGCCGTGGTTGGAGATGTACACAGCTTTGAAGCCGAGATCAGCGCACAGCTTCACGTCGTGCGCTGTCTTGACGCCCTTGGGGACAATCGGAAGGGTTGTCATGTTCTGAAGCTCCTTGAGCGAGGCAAGAGTGCACTTTGCCGAGTGCAGGTTTTCGCGTCCGCGGGAGAAACGCATTTGACGGTTGCGGATACCATTGACACCCGTGTTGTCAACGGTCAAGAAGATGGCCTTGAAGCCCGCGGCTTTGATTTGGTCTAGCTCGGACTGCAGCCGGGCCTTGTCCGACCAGATGTACTCTTGGTGGAACATGACCTGTCCCGGGGTGGCAGCAGCGCCGATGGTCTGAATAGACTGCGAGCTGTAGATGGAGGGCACGTAGAGAATTCCGGCAGCACCGGCGGCCTTGACAAGGTTGGTCTCGGCGCCGGGATTTGCACGGCCAGCTTGCGCGGCCGGGGCGATAAAGAAGGGCATGGAGAAGTTATAGCCGAGAATGGTTGTCCTAGGAAAGAAAAGTTAGCACTAGGTTGGATCGGAACTGGGTCAAAAAATCTACACGTACTTCAAGTTCACGTTGGAAACATCTGCGAAGCTGAACCCGTTGAGCCGTAATTTCGACCAGCCCAGCATGTTGGCTTGATAAGCTGACGGACTGTCAGTGGCTTGTGTAATGAAGCTTCCGTGATTCTGTCAAATGATCATACTGATTTCATCTAGAGCAGCTGCCCGATAGTATGCGTAATCTGCAGCATCGAGTGTATTCTTAGCAGCAATTTGCATATCATTGATATCCACCAGGTTTGCGATTGGAGGAGCGATTCCTGTCTCCCATGATGAAGTATCAAGTCCGGTATCTGGTAGCCCCTCCATATCAATGATCGCGGCTTGGGCAGTGGAGCCCAATCCAAGGGCGAGGAGAGCAAGGGAACGATGCATTGTGAGGTATCAATATATAATTACAAAGAAAGAGCAGTGAGTAAAAGACAGACGAGAGTAGGTAGGTAGAGATGAATGGGGTTCTGGACACGGCGATACGAGTGCAAAGATTGAATGAAGCAATAGAGTTTAGAAGAGTCTCAACTGGACAGTCTTTATATTGAAGACAGGAGTAGCCAACCTCCTTATTGCCTCTCCTTTCTTGGCGGGCCGGGTCACATTCTTTACGCGTGCTCATACAAAGATCCTGGGATCTCGAATTGCTCCATGGACGATCCCAGATATAGGTCCACGGGACTGTTGTGACGGCTGCATGGGATGTAACCTCTTAGGTTGGGTGGTCGCTGGCGGCCTTATTGTGTATTTCCCATTACCGAAGACGTATCAATATTCTTATGAATAGCAAATTGGCAATTATTCGCTTCTAATGAGTAAGGCTGAGTCCTTGCATGGCAGTCACCCTTCGTGAGTGAATGTAAATCCCAGGATCGCCGCGTCCATGAATTTGAGCTGCTGTGCGTTCGCCCGGCCGTCGCATAACACATAACTGGATGAACATTGTCCACGGAGTCGTTCGTCCGGCCAGGGGAAATGTCGCTCACACAGGGTACCAGGAAAATACGAGTCGACATAAGAAAGCTATCAAATAAAGTTCCTCCACAGAATTCTGTTACGCAGGACGCAAGCCGATTCGCCCCCCATAGTTAATGCAACACTGTTCTGACCCTGTTCACGGTCTGTACAGTTCACCGCATCCCTGGAACACGCCTGGAACCCTGATGCAACGTTGGAAACACGTTGTAGTATCGCGTATAGCTTCTAGATTAGTGCTTTCTCACGATAGAATAAGCAAATCGCAGCTGCAGCTCCAGCAGGGCGGCGGAGTTCTGTATTCGTGAAAGCGCAATACCAGGTTCTTGGTGCAGATACGAGATTTACATCCGTGAGTGAACACTCTGCATATCGTCGCATTATATAGCTTTTCATTTATTTATTTTTAGACATCTTTTTGTCGGTGGCGACCATGTGGCTACTACTCTGAAGGTATTGATGGGTATGGTAGCGCCGGTACTGCGATCACTCCCATACTTTGAGAATACAGGCGATAGGACAGGTGCGCATGTCATAAAGACTGCTCGGGCCACTCTGGTCTTCATGGCGGGCCATCATCATCAATCCAAAGTCGGCCGAGGTTGCCAGCACACTGCATGTCAAGTTTGAAGAGGGAGTAAGCACTAATAAAAAGCAGACATTATATTTGGCTAATTGCGCCGCTCATTGTGAAGCAGTAACTGTGGTTTGATGCCGCCATTCGAAAATGAACTGCCTCTGATAATGCATCATTGGAAGTGAAATTTCTCGACGCTGCTTATCTCGACAACCTGGGGTCAAATATGGGTTGGCTCAAAGATAGCTGTACGTGGTGTAGATTCCGATGGGGCAATCACCAATGTCGGCGTTTCCAATGTCCTGGAAATACGTGAAGGATGTGTCATTGGTCGAGGTTTCTGTGCCCAAGTCAGCTACTAATCCTTCCAATTATAGCCACTCAATGAATAAACAAGGAAGCGATAATCATAAGAGATACTCACTGCCAGCAACACAGGTCCCGGCCCCCACGAAGCAAGGCCCCGTTTCCAAAGTGTAGACGAAGCCGGGCTCCATGTGCACGGGTGGGAACGCAGGGTATGGTCCCGGTGCTGGCTGGTTGTTGTAAGTTGTCGCAGGGCCTGAGCACACCGAGTCAGTTTGCGTGATCATTTGCGAGAGTGTTTGGCCAAGACGAGGCTAACTCACCAGGGCAGCTTCCAGCGTTATATCCCTCGAAGACAAAGTTCCCGCCCCCGCTGTAGGAGAAGGAGCTCGTCTTCAGGTCCTCCAGCTTCGGGAAGATGAACTGCAACGTGCAGTTGGCGTCCGTACGACTGGCCGGAATGTCGAAGCTAAAGATAGAGCTAATGTCGTTGGGGGTGAAGACGCCATTGTACTGGTTGCCGAAGGCCTTGTCGGGCTGTGAGGCAGAGATCTGTGTGATGTAGTGAGGGAACTCGAACTCTCCAGCTGGGAGGAGGGCTGGGCAGTTGGCCCTGGAGTTCAAGGGAGAGGTGGAACGAGTCCATTCATGAGAAGCGAGTGGGCGCTTGGAGACAAGGTCAAAAGGAGCCGCGAAGGCGGAAGTGATGGCCAAGGCCAACGGAGCGACAGTGGAGGTCTTCATAGTGACGGGGCAGTACAGATAGGCTTTGAAGGGATATTGGAAAGTCGAACAGGGAGCGAATGCGGGCTGATATATAGCAGACAACGAGAGGGAGAGCAAACGTGGCTGTGATACGGCCAGTCCATGCTGCTCAACGAAGGACAGAAGGAGGAGATGAGGGCGTACTTATACGAGCCATAACTCGGTCACCGAGTCGACTTTCCTGCTTCAAACCCGCGAGAGAACGAGTTGATCCTACTTCTTTTTTCACCCCTCACAATTAAACACACATCGCGCTAGCCCCGAGGATCCCTGGGCTTAATTCAGCCCCGACCGCCATTCAGCCTCCCAGCCGCGGGCGGCGGCATCGTGCAAAAGCAGGGCGCCTGGCAGATTGTCAACACATGCAACATTGCAGTGTCACTCGAGAACGGTCCCCGTGTGGGTTGCCCAGGACGCCTCGCGGCACGTTGCCGTGAGGCCGTTGAATTCCCAACATTCAGTTAGGTTTCTGCCCCTCCAGCGTTTCTCAGACACAATATCTTCCCTTGCAGACCTTGGAGGCCCCTCTGAAGAAGTGCACAAGCACACTATACTGGTTTGGTGCTTGGGACTCTGCAAGTCTCGGCCAAGGATTTCTGAGCTTGTGTTTAGTACGTAAGCTTACATGGCCTCAGCAAAAAGGTCGACGCCACGTAAATGCGCTGTCTCTCAGCTCCTCCAGGTAACAAACGTGCTTGCTTACTAGCTCGCCCGGGCTGCATGCAGTGTTCGGCACCGCGGGTGCCACCAAGGAAGCTGACAGCTGACAACTGACAGTGGTGCGGGCACATGATCGGGAAGCTGCATAGGGTTTTCGTACAATACAGTAACCCGTAAGTGGGCACAAGAACCCGACGTGGGGTTAAAGGTGTCTGGGGCGAGCTTATTCGACCAGTGTATTCGACCAGTGTAATGGCAGCAACCTCCAGGTGCACCGCGCCTAACCACTTTACTCTATTGCACATTCATCTACCCCTCAATTTCTGTGGCGCAGAGGAATCAAGAAGCAGACTTCGGGACCGAGACAGCTTCAGGGCTTGAAGGATTACGGGAGCATCCTAAATAACCAGCACCAGCGTATTATGCGGCACTTGGGATGCGATCACTGGTATCATGGTCTCGGCGGGGTGAGGGGGGCCAGTGGACATTGACCCTGGAGCTGCTTGCCGTGGCAACCTATGCCACCTATCCGCTGAGCTGTGTCAGAGAGCAGCGGCTGGATGATCTGAGACGAGGAACGAGCAGTGCCGGTGACCACAAGTGATGAGCTAGCTCTTAGTCACTCACATAGCTTCCTTCGGGGACTCGACTGCAACAAATGCGAGTCATCGTCCATTGCAAAGATGAAAAACACATGCATCTTCCATCTCGAGTGACATCGCATGATCCTCACCAGGTCTTCTCGAAAGTTAGTGGATATAAGTGCATATCAATCCGTAGCTACCTTCACGGTAACCACAAAGGAGCTCTATCCTGACTGTCAAATAACAACGCAGGACTGCAAAACTTGACTACACGAGAAAGCGTGGAGACTTATTGATAACATTAACAACAGATCTGAAAGCTACTTAACGCTGATATGGATCAGTCAACACAAGGCGTCATCGGATTCTTCTTGGTGATAGGCATATTTGTCATGCTTCTTTACATCTTCAAACTCCTCCCCGGTCTCCGGGAGGACTACCGATCATGGCGAAGCAGTAGGGAGAGAGACGGCAGTCGTAGCGCGTTGACGGATCGAGTAGCCCTGCGATGGACGACAGACCCGTCACAGATAGTGTAGTCTGATGTGGTTTGCATCTGACTGGAGCACTCTAGAAGCTAGAGAGATCACGTGAATGAATACGGAAGCTTATTCTCTGTGACACCCCGACACGTCTTCCGAACCAGCCGGAGCCCCGCTGTGACCAGCTCCCGATCATACCTCGTCATAGTCTTGTTGCCCGCCCCAAGTACTTGAAACCGGCGGCATTCACATTATCAGGGCTGCCATGTCAGCGCCTCAACCATCAAGGGTTCCAAACGACGCAAATCGTCACTGAAAAACACTGTCACAATGGCAGTTACCAGCTCGCTGTTCTACTTCTTCCTCGCGATCACCGTGGGTACGTTGGCGTGTGGACTGTTTGTCGTGGCAGGGAAGCTCTGTGGAAGTACTCGGGATGGCCTCAAAATCAAGGGAATCTTTCACACGAGGCGCAGGGAAGGTTCAAAAGCTGTTCGTGGAAATGATGACGAGGTCAGGGTTGCTCGGGAAGGAGGCCCGTCAGTCGTGTAGGGGCTGGGTTGAAGCAGTGAGTCATGGAATACGTCTGTATTACAGCAGCAGCACACGGCTGTTTTCACCCTGAAATTGAAGTCAACGTTATCACCCCTTATGGTGCTTCTCAGTTTATGCGGTGTGAGTGCATGGTAGTGACCGCAACAGTGGAGTCCCAGTCAACGACGGCGACAAAGGAACCCATGGCCCTCGAGTCTTGTAAATAAAAGGAAATGTTGAGGTTTCAACCCGTCCTTCCTCTTACTCGGACCATAAAGCCTCAGTACAAGGCGTTTCGGATCAAGACCGTAGATTCCCAACATCGAGAAACAACACATCAACATCATGAATGCAAGCGAGACTCAAACGACCACAGGGATAGCAACCTCAAAGGACGAGGTCATCATTTTCAGCCTTGCCTCGGTACTAACGCTCAGTTTGGTGATACATGCGTATTACCTTGGCTATTATATTTGGCGCAAGAGACTGATTTATGTTCAAGGCAAGAACCGTCTGAGTCAGGACCAGATCCCGCCTCGTGGAGATGGAGGGCAAGGCGTGTAGCTGCATGGTTCAAAGGCGTACGTACCCAGGTAGATTGCTGCTGTCCAGCGGTAGGGCTTCGATATCTACGAAATGAAGTATTGGAACTATTCATAAACGTTTCTCCTCGTGCTCATGTGATTGTCTTGCTGTCCAACACACTGAAGAGTCTTTTGCGCCGCAGGGGTTGCAGATGGAGGTTTGGCAGCTACTGCCGAAGTGATTCATACCGTCACTCACCATCCGAACTTGGTGGCCTTCGTTGTGGTTCTGTCGTTTGAAAACTGCTCCCATTTGCTTGGAGGTTATGGCCACCTCTTTCTTCAACAACAACGAACCGCAGCTTCGATAGTATGCGTCCACCTTGAAACAAGGAAGTTGAAAGCCAAGTCGGCCTTGAAATCCGTTGCGGACCTGCTCCCTGATCAGGAACTCTCAACGTCTCTCTTGCACGTGCGAGCACCGCGCGACGAGATCTGTGGTCTGGTCGCTGACTCCTTATTGCTGAGTTCGACAACTTACGTGGTGAGTAAACGGAGTCCATCGTGCCTCTTCACCCAGGCCACATTCCTCAGCCAGGCAACGCGCTGAGATGGCGAATATGCTCACAGGCTCTCAGGTCCGCTGAATCAAGAAGCAAGTCCAAGCAAGCAAACAACCTCGAAAAGCAACCATCAGAGCTGTTCAGGCCGCACCTCAAGAAGCACAAACACCCGGCGGCTTCAGTGCCACCAAAACACACCCAGGCCCCGAGATCCGAAGATGGGAGAGGTCTTCGTTTTCTGGGTGGCCTTCTCGACGATTGCCTTCGTCGCGGTACTGACGCACTGCGTCATCGTCCGGTCGGCACGGGAGGAGTCCAAGCACGAGAAGGCGATGCCCAGGGGCTGGCTGCGCGACGTCGAGCGACGGGACTGGTCTGGTGAGGAGCAAGGCGTCGTCATCAACATGCCGCCCAGGGTCCTGCCGAGGGTCCCGCCGAGGGTCCCGCCGGAGGCTCATGTGCGGAATTGAGGGGGCGATGGTGGGATCTAGTTGGCATGGTCTAACGGGGGTTCATTGTCGTTGTGGTATGCTCGTTTTGGAAGTCGGGGAGTTGAGAACATCATCCACGCCAAGAAATGGGGTTCGCTGCCTCAAGAGGCCAGTTATGTTGGCGGGTGCTGGTAAGAAAAAGGGGGGAGGGGGGTTAAGGAAGCGATGGGGTCCTCAAGTCAGCTTTGAATTATGATACTTTCATCTTCCCAGCCATTATGGCCACCCAAAAACGCCGGCCTATGCAATATACCCATCTCTATTCGTCATGCGCGTGTTTTGACACCTCTACCACAGCGCAAATTGCACTACCGCCTCCCACCCCGTGGGGCTCCACCACCCATACCGCCCATACCGCCCATCATGCCGCCCATCTGCTTCATCAAGGCGTTCATGTCCATACCGCCCATGTTCGGCATCCCACCGCCTCCACCTCCGCCTCCCAGCATCTTCATCATGCTGGAGATGTCGGGCATGCCGCCGCCACCGCCCGCGCCGCCTCCCATCGACTGCAGACGCTTCTGCATGGCCGCCATCTGCTGGGCCTTGTTGCCGCCGCCCATGGCCGCCTGGGCGCGCTGCATGTTCTTCATGTTGCCGCCCATCTTCTTGGCCATGCCGGCCATCATGCGCTGCTGCGTGAGCAGGTCCTCGACCTCCCTCACGCTGGTGCCGGAGCCCTTGGCGACGCGGGTCATGCGCTCGGGCTGGTCGATGAAGAGCTTGCCGTCCGAGTCGAGCTCCTTCTTGGTCATGCTGTCGCAGATGTACATCATCCTCCGCAGCTTGGCGTTGCCCTCGTCGTCGTCCATGCCCGCCATCATGTTGCTCATGCCGGGTATCATGCCCGCCATCTTGGAGAGCGGCCCCATCTTCATTATGTTCTGGAGCTGGTCCCTCAGGTCGCGGATGGTGAACACGCCCTCGGTGATGTGCTTGATCGTGTCCTTCTGGTCTAATTTGAGAGATTGTACGTGCTCGACCAGGCCTGCCATATCACCCATGCCCAGGAGCTTCGAGACGAACTGTTTTGGCACGAAGCGCTCGAGGTCCAACATGTGCTCTCCGGTGCCGATGAACACGATCGGTGTATGTGTTGCCGCGACTGCTGAGATGGCACCACCACCGCTGGCATGGCCATCCGTCTTGGTGATGATGATGGCACCGAAATCAGCCGCCTCCTTGAAAGCCTTTGCTTGCGCCTCGGCCTGTTGACCGATGCTCGCGTCCAGTACCATGATCGTCTCGTCGGGTTTCACTGCCTCCTGAATGTCGACCATCTCCTGGAACAGCGCCGACTCCTGCCTATGCCTTCCTGATGTGTCCACGATGATAACCTCGAACTTCTCCTTCCGGAACTTCTCAACACCTTCTCTTGCGACCACTGCGGGATCCGTCTCTGTCAGGCTACCGTAGTATGGGATCTTGGCCTTGGTGGCGTTCTGCTTCAGCTGGTCGAAGGCACCGGCTCGGAAGGTGTCGGCGCACACCATGCAGGCCTTGAAGCCCCGGGCCTGGTAATGCCTTGCCAGCTTGCCGACCGTGGTGGTCTTTCCGGCACCTTGTAGACCGACAAACATGATGACATTGCTGCGGCCCTTCTTTGGTTTGAATGGCTCGTTGTGGGGGTTCACGAGGTTCACGAGCTCGTCGTAGACTGCCTTCTGGATCAGGCGCTTCTTGTTGACGGCTGGGGGCAGCTCCTTGAAGTTGACGGTCGACTTGATGGACTTCCGCAGTTGCTGGACGAGGCGCACGTTGACATCGGCTTCGAGGAGGGCGGCGGAGATCTCCTTGATCATGGAATCGAATGCCTGGAGCAGGGGACATCGGACGTCAGCTCAGCGCTTGCGACAGGAAGTCATGATGAGGTTGGGGAGATGGGAGAGCAGGAGCTTGCCTTCTCGTCCAGGTTTGGCGCCCTGGTGAGGTCGGACACGGCCGTGTTGATACGGCGTCCGAGATCTTGAAGAACCATGGCGACTGTGGATTGACCTGTTCTGCTGTGGGTGGTAGTGTCGCTTCGCAGCTGGACAGCAGAGAGGGAAGCTGTGGTTTGGTGGATGACAAGGCGGGAATGGGAAGTGGGTGGCCAAAGACCAGAGATGCGCTATTGCCATTCGCCGTCGCAAAGGTTCCAGAAACCCCAACCGGAATCGCGGGGTGCGGGTTGGCCAGCCGGCTCGGCAGCTTAGGTAAGCACCATTTCACTGCTCACTGTGGCCTGGATGGTATCCCGTAAACCTAGGTCAGCAATACACTACTGTTAGACTACCATACGTCTAAGACACAGTCTTCCCTTCTTGGTAATAATATCTACCAACCCTCGTACTGCCTCCCACTTCTGCTCGCAATGTGACTCGGAGTCGATTTCGTTGTAACAGTCCGTGGTTCCTATTTGTCAACATCGCTTTCCACTGTCCGTTGAGGATGCAACGAAGTAACCTCAAAGTCCACAAGGTAACGCGCTGGACTAATTTAAATTTCACGAGGAAACGCGCACCCATACTGAGTTGGAACCTTAAAAGGCACACGCCCATATATTCCAGGCCCTCTCCTCTCTCGGCCCATTGAACAGTCCCTCTCCGCCATGCCCGAAGAACTCGAGCCGTCGTTCGGTTCATTCAGCGTCACAATATATTGCATACTATGCTGACTGACGGAATGCCAGTCACGCGATCAACAAGCCGCTCGCAGAAGCGAAAGCGGAGTGTGCCAGTACCGATATCAGTTGATTCGGATTCGGACTCGGACCAATCAAGTGCGGACTCAAGCACTATCCAGTCATGTACGTGTACCGACATCTCTTACTGATACTATATCCTGAGATAATTGCAGCTCGGGGGTTACTACCTGATTCCCGCACCAAGAAGAAGGTAAATCCTAACCCCCAGCACGAACTAACACCCACCGTCAACACCACAAGTGCAGAGGGTCAGCCCAGAGAAGACACGCCGGTCACTACTACCCAGCTGAAGGATGGGGACTGGCTCGGCCTCACCAGCCACATCCTCCAGGAGCTGAAGGAAAGGCTTGGTCCTTCGGGCGGCGACTTGCCAGTTGCCACAAAGACATTCTTGTGCGAAGTACGCTCCGCCATACTGCCGCGGTTCCACCGGGCTTACTCGTTGGAACAGGCAGCTGCAGGCGCTTTTCTATCACATTCACAAAGGTGGTCTGGGGGAGGGTTGTTGAAGACGTCTGAACGGTGCTATATTCGGCTATGGGAATAAAAGAGGAGACTGCGATGTCTTGCCTTGGGAGCCCGGCTGAGGCACAGCTATTCTTTACTTTACGCAGCTCCTCAAAGCACCCAGACCAATTCTGACACTTTTCTACCGCAGAAGGCGCGGAAGCTCCAAAGGGGAGGCATTCCCTAGACAGTAAAGCAAACAAACCCCCGATCGAAACAAAACAACTCAAGCGCAGAAAACAGCGCCCAGATCAACCGATCCATCGTCGTTGTCATCTTTGGCATCGTCCACAGCATCAACCCGCCTGAACAGCCTCAACACCCCCTTATTCCCACACGCGGCCGCGACATCAACCGCCGTCTTCCGTCCATTATCCTCCAACATGGGGTCCAGCCCCCTCGCCGTCAGGGTCTTGAAGCGGAGGACGTGGCCCTCCGCCGCAACGTGCAATAGGCTCTGCCCGGCACTGTCCAGGGCACCAAAATCCGCGCCGGCCGCCTCGAACGCCGCGAGGCCGCCCGCTTCGTCGTACGAGATGCCGCACATTTCGTCGTACGCACGCGACTCCGGGTCAAAGAGGCGCTTGTAAGCTTCGCGCTCGTTGCCCCTGAACCCGGCATAGTACCAGAACAGTGGCGTCTCGCCTCTTGAGTTGCGGGCGTTGACGTCGCACCCGAGTTCGATGAGCCTGTTGAAGAAGGGCCGCATGGAGGAGACCCAGAGTATGCGAGAGAGGACGTGGAGGACGGTGTTGCCTTGGTTGTCTGCGATGAGAGGGTCCGCCCCGGCCTTGAGAAGTGCGTCGGCTGCTGTTGTCCTCTTGTCGTCGCAAACGGCTCGGTCGATTGCCAAGTACAGCGGCGTCTTGCCGTCTTTGTCCTTCTGGTTGATGATCGAGGGGTGATTCTCCAGCGAATATGCAAGTGATCTGTCAATAGCTGGTAAGTGGTAGAAGCGGTCCGAAGGGCACCTGAGCATGTGGTGTAGCACGTTCTGTCCCGAGTCGTCCCGCGCTCCCACATCCGCGCCGAGGGAGACGAGATGGCGGAATAGAGACGTCTCTGTCGATGTCTGGGGATCCCATGGATCCCAGGGGGCCAGACTTAGCGGCACATCGGGACCTCGTCTAGAGGAGCAAGCTGCGTGGAGAAGGGTTCGACCACTGCCGTCTCGGTGATTTGCGTCGATATTTGGCAGCTTTAAGAAGGGGAGTACGATGTGTCCGTCAGCTATGAGCTGGTGCAGGACAACGCAGTCCTCGTGCAGGTGGGGTTCGAAAGAGCACTCCAGGTCTGCCGTGGCGTTATATCCATCGGGCAGTTTGCCAAAGCGACTGGAGCCAAACAAGTCTTCCGCATGTCGTCGGGAGAAAAGTTTTTGGTGGTAGCATTCTTTCCCAGAGCATTTCACAAAAGTAGCAAACGGGTTTGCTCCATGCGACAAGAGGACGTCGATTAACCTCAGGCCTGTTGCGCGGAGTGCCTCCCTGTCTTTCTGGTCGTAAATGTTTTGGCTCGACACGGCCGCGGCGTGATGCAAGGGATACCATTCGGCGTCTGGTAGATTTCTACTATCCAACTGATGGAAGAACCCACCCTGGATCTTCCAGGGTTCTTTATCGTTCTTCTCGAATCGAATGTTGGCATCAACACCCGCCGATAACAGAATATCAAGCACTTCGGGCTGCTTCTTGTTAATTGCACCAAAAATTGCATCGGCGTGCATCGTCGCTCCATGCTCAACTAAGAGACGGGTCATTTCGACATCACCAGCGGCATAGGAAAGACAACTTCGTCCCGCCACATCTGTAGCATCGACATCTGCTCCACTCAGGACGAGTTGACGGGCGGCGTCCTTGTGGAAAAGTCCGAGGCCACGTTCCGCGCCCAAGGCTATATGCAGTGGTGTCTGGCCTCCCGAGTTCTTGACCTCGAGATTTGCGCCCTTGCTGATCAGGTACGGCAGAGCTTGGGCGACGTGCCACCAGTGGTATCCTTTGGCGAGCGAGTGAAGAGCACTATCTTTCGGCGAATCGAGTTCGTATCCACCGTCAACCTGCTTGTATTCTCCGTGCAGCTCATCAATGTCAACGACGAAGTCCTCTACAAGAAGACGGACCATGTCCAACATGGGCATCTCCTGGTGGACTGCTTGTAGTAAGAATGACTGGCGATAATCGTTGCCGTTGTAGTTGGATACGTCATGGGTCCAAGTCCTATTGTGGCCGAACACAGGCTGGGCTCCATCGCCTGGAGTAGGCCAAATGCCCTTGTCGACTTGTTCCTGAGCCACGAGCAAACCAATCCGCTTGACCAGAGAAGTAAAGCCTCCTTTCACGAGGGTTCCCAAGTTGGTAAGCCCTTGGTTCATGTGAGGGGCAAGGAAGTCAACGCCCAGATTGGCTAAATCTTCCACCACATCGTACTCGCGACGTCTGAGTCGCGTGATGAACAAGTTTTCATTTGCTCTCCCTGGCTCAATGACTCCCGGCTCACTGAGTGCCTTGCGCAGGTCTTGACGTCGGTGAGGGATCAGCTTCTCGTCGAAAGCCGGCGCTCTCGGCCCAAATCGCAACGGAGGTTCCGAACTTTTCAATGGTCGCTTCTTGCTTGCATCAGACAGGCACTTCAGCGCATAGTCCCGACAGTCGGATGTTGTGTCGGTTATTGACCCATATCCTTCAGAACGCATTGCGAAAGAAATTCCATCGGTCAGATCACCGCCATGGTCCAAGACCATTTCAATAATTTCCTCGAGCCTTGCAGTGTCGTCTGTGGGATCGGCATGGTACCTGCCGTTGCAGCCGCCCCCCATATACGGGCGCGTGAGGTCTTCCTTTGTAAGGCCGCCACAAGCTCCATTCTCCGCTTCATGAGGGGTCTTCCTGCGCCAGAGTTCGAGTTCGCCCTCGAATCCAGTGATTGCGGATCGTAAATTCCTCCCCTTGACGTCTGCTCCGGCGTTGAAGAGCATGGAGACTATCTCTGGTCGTCCTGAGAGACAAGCATAGTAGAGTGGTGTGGTTCCGTTGGCTTCAGCGTTGACTCCGGTAATTGCGCTGCTGCTCGTTCTTTTGAGCCAGGCTCCCTGGGTCATCAGGCTGCTAGGTGGCTGATCTGAGTCTAGTCTATGAAGAGCGTCGAGAAGCATGCCAACGATATTGCCTTTTCGAGATCTAGCGGCGAGGTGAAGCGGCGTCAACCCTTCGAACGTCTCAATCGTGGGGTCGGCACCAGCTTCGAGCAGCTTCTTGGTGAGATACTCCGACACAGTGACAGCTAGATGCAACGGGGCAATGCCGTCCTTGTCCCGAACGTTGATGTCTTTCGTACAGGAAATAACCAGGTCAAGATGAGACTCGTCCTTGTCGCCGCGACTACCCTCAGCCTTAATGCAAAGCCTATGAAGCGGCATTCGACCACGGTTGTTGGGTCGATTGACATCAACGCCCAAGCTGAGGAGCATCTCCAATATGGCGAGAGTGTCTTTGGTATAGGAGTCGGTGTTGATCCGCCAGCATAACTCGTGCAGCAAAGTGTTGCCCTGGTAATCTATATCATGAATATCCAGGCCCAGACTCACAAGGAAATCGAAGCGGGAAGGACCAGGCTCTTGTTGACAGAAAGAGGCCTGTGGCCCTTTCTGTGACTTGATTACCTCGTGAAGCAAGGTTCTTCCCTCATAATCTCGAGATTCCAACAGAGCCCCGCGTTCCAAGAGGCTCGTGATAGCCTCTCGGTAGTCTTCTTCTGGTCTGAAGTCACGCCCGGAGATCGTGCGGAAGAGGAGTGTGGCGCCATTCTTGTTGTCCCTCGTGTTTATATCGGCACCTGCTTGGATCATGACGTTTATCGAATCAAATACTGCTGAATCTCGCGAGAACATGACGTCAAGGGGCGTTTGTCCGGATTTGTTCCTCAGATTCAGGTCTGCACCAGCGCTTAGGAGCGCTTCAATGACATCCGGCTTTGAGTTGTGCGATTGCAACAAGATGTGCAGGGGCCCGTTGCCGTCCTTGTCGACAATGGTACAGTCGGCTCCGTATTCGATGAGCTTGAGGGTCGTTTCCTCGTGATAGCCATCAAGCGAGAGAAGAAGTGGAGTTTTTCCATCGGAAGTTGCCCTTTTGTTAATGTCCGCCATGCCAGTTTCCACCAGTATAGACAAGCATTCAACCGACACGTCCTTATGAAGAGCAGTGCAACCATCGTTATTGGCGACATTGACATCAACACCTGCGTCGAGCAGAATCCTGAACCAAACGGGGTTACTAGTCGTTAAGTGCAGAAGAGAATTTCCGGAAGGCGACCGGTCATGGATATCGGCCCCTTTGTCGACGAACAACTCTAGCAGGCTCTTTAGCTCTTCTGGCTCGGCTTTCGGGGCCCTTCTTCCCTGGAAACCTTCGAGTGCGGAATATAATGCTGTAAGGCCAACGACCCTGGATTGGCCGTCGTCGTCGTCGTCATTGAAACGGAATGGCAGCATGGCCCCTGCCCCAGCAAATTCGTCATAAAACTCGCACCGTATCGTAGGATCGGCCCCCTCATTCAGCAGAAGCCTCATGGTCTTCATGTGTGACCACCGGCTTGCCATGAACAGGGGTGTCCCGCCATGGACCTTGCGGTTGATGTCGACCCCGGGGTGCTGGAGGATCCGTTGGACTAGATCGTGTCGGCCCGCTCCAGCAGACCAGGCCAGGGCTTTATGAACAGATTCGTCATCCTTGAGGAAAGGCAGAAATGCCTCCAGGGCCTCGAGATGCCCGTTTTGACAAGCATACTACATACAGAGTCAGCAAAACCAAGACAGTTGACGCATGTACGCAGGCTGCAACGGTAACGTTACTTACCATCAGAGGCGTATGTCCAGTTGAACGCGGTGCGTTTCCGCACCAATTTCCTGGATGCTCCTTAGTCTTCCTCGTCAATGGGTCCACTCCGGCGCCCAAGAGGACTTTGATAACCCCATGATGGTTTTTCGAGGCGGCCTCATGTAAAGGCTTGCGGCCGCCGTTAGTCTCTTCCTGGTCGGGATTCGCGCCAGCATCTATCAAGACCTGAACCATGTCGGCCATCCCGCTTGAGGCAGCCCACCACAAGGGGGTCTTTCCGTGAACATCCACTGCATCTACGTTGACCACGGGAGACAAGAGCAGGTGTCTTGCGTATGCAGTGAGCCCATGCATCCCTGCGACGTGCAGCGGTGTTATCCCAGAGTCAGCATTGCCTATGGTGAACCACTGAAGTTTGGTCCAGGTCTCTATGGAGTCTGGATCGCGCATCAGCTTTTCCAGCACCAGGTTGACGTCGGTCTGATCGTGGCCTGCGGCTGTCGATCTAGCAACATGGACATGCCAGTTGTTCAGTGCGTAAGCTAAGAAAGGATATTTGAACTTCAGTTTGATGTCTTTGGTGTCTTGTGCTTCTTTAACTTCGTCAAAGACACCGGACAGCAAGTAAACCAGGCATGCAGAGCCTAGACTAGCGTGTGTCTCCCCAAAAAGAAGCACGGGGTAGCCACCATCTTCAGGCGATCTGGTCGTGCCCTTTAGGTACTCTGTGAAGGAGTGGTGAATGACACAGACGGTCTCGTCGGGCAGGATCTCCAAGAGCGGGCCGCATGCAGCCCTGACAAGGTCCTTGGTTGACCTCATGTCTCGATCGGTGTCGTTGTTGTATGTCACATTTATCATCTCGGCTATCTCGAGGAGTCTGAGCGGGCGTGTCGCATGGGTTACCCACTGCAGAATCAGACGTTGGATAGCGTCAGGGACTCCAGATCTGCGGGAGTGTTCGTGGAGCAAGTCGGTGTACATCTGGTTCATGTCGGCTGGCAAAGAGTCGAGAACTGCCTTGATATTGGCCCCCGGCTCTAGGAAAGCGTCCATGGCCAGCTTAGCATATAGGAAGAGACCATTCGCCCGGCCAGGGATGGCCTCTTGGATCAGTTGTTGATCATCATGGCAGATATTCGTATTCTCCAATCCCCAGCGTACAAAGGTCGAAATGTCGGCATCGACCTTGTTCTCTTGGAGACGAATCTGGGTACACTTTGCGTGTCGCAAAGGACCCTCGACAGCAGGGACTGGGCGGCTCGTAATCAGTACTTTGACCTTTGGAGGATTCCAGCTCCCAAGCTCAGCTAAAGCTTGCAGGAAGGCATCATTGCCGCTGTCCATTTCATCGAGAGCGTCCGCGACACAATATACCCTGCCGGGGAGTCCAGAAAGCGCGAGTCGAAGATCCTCCCACAAGTCTTGCATCGACATGGTGGCAAGTGCTCGAGTTTTGTCGCCATATCCCTCTTTTACGGCGTAGCCTTTCAACTTCTTTTGGAGAGGCGGGCTGTACACCAAGACTTGATCCAGCCAATCTCTGAGAAGTGCAACCGGTTCATGATTTGCGTCGATAATTTGCCGGAAGAAGAAGTACAGTACTGGACTTCCTTGATCGTTGGCTGATATCTCCTTGATGATGCTTGCCGCCAACACCGATTTCCCTGATCCTGGAATCCCCTTGATCCAGAGCAGTCCGGTGTCTCCGCTCTGCAGCCAATCGTTGTAGGAATGACTGGTCGTCAGCCAGTCGCCGGTACCTGGGGCGTGCGAACCAAGGTGTTTGCGGTACTCGCTGCTTTCGAGGTCGTACGAAGTGGGCTTGAGCCAGGCTCTGAGCTTTTGAATGACCTCAGGTGACTCTGGCAAGATCTGTTCGGGATTGTAGTTGCTAACATCGTCGCGGTCAATAATGACAGCCTCGTCATCGCTTTGGGAAGACATTGTTTGTTCGTGCACAAGTCAGTTAGAGGCGCCTCAGGCGCCTGTCCCAAGACAACAATTGGTGATGCTTGGGCTAGGCAAGCTGTAATTTTGTCGACTGAGTAAAATTGATCGAAAAATCTGGGTATAAAAGCACCCAGGAGAGGATCAAATAGAATTAACGAAGTTCACTTTGACTCATCTCATCAGCAAGGCAAACAGGCAGCCACATGTCCAAGGCGGGGTTAGGTCCCAACCTGCAACCTGCATGTGGGCAAGCGAGCTGTACCGGGCGGCTTAGCTGTTGATCCCACCGCGGCTGCCTAGTGGGATCGCCGTGCAATAAACCACTGTCTTGGCTGCAGCGCTCCCACAATTCATTCTCAGAGATGTAGAAGATGATGTTACAGAAATCTTTCGAAGTCTTTGCAGACAAATGTGATTTTTTCAGCACACAGATTGGGCAAGAAACTATTGGGTTGAAAGGATAGATTATAGAACTAATCGTTGGAAGCTACCACATGTGTGGTCAAGTAAATGATACAGAAGACTAAAAAAAAGAAAAGAAAAAGAAAAGAAAAGGAGACTAAAGAGTGAGAGATTCAGAGGGGGAGGGATAGAGACAAGAGAAAGGTGTCTTCAATTAAGAGCAGAACGAATATTACAGTTTTCACTAAGTGCTTATGTGTCTAAAAGTAGCCTTGCAAGTGCAGTTAAGTTAATTTACATTTATATAGCTAACTACAAAACCAACAGTACGGACTGCGTTACAGGCATTACACGCCGTGGGCGGTCTTTACCCGACACGGAATATATCGCGGTGAGACAGCGAGTGATCAAGTTGCAGTTCGAGGCGGAACCATGCCCGCGAATAGGGAAGAACAAGAAAGAGGCCACCAGTACGCATAATAAATGCTCAAATTGATAGAACCGTCTGGTTGTAATTTCCCACAAGAAGGGCAGCTATCTAGGCTATTTATGTTCTGCCCTCTCAGCCCGAAGCCAAGTGAGATGCTGTGCGGCACAGCACCTGCTTCAACTGCCCCTCAGTATTGGGGGCCTGTTGGTCAGTCTTCGTTGTATTTGATTTCGCTCGCCAAGTGCTCCCCCCTCTCCCCCAATTTCCGCTAGCCGGACATCAACGTTGTCTCCTTCAGGTTTTCAAGCTTGTCTCCCATAATGTCACCGATTCTGCTCTTGACAGCCGTCGTCTCGGTCGGCTGGCTCGTGTGGAGCCTCTGGTCCCAGGTTTTGCCTGCCAGACGGCTACCAGGCATACCACTTGTCGAGTTCGACGGTGACAACTCGAGACAGCGGTACACAAGTGATGCCGCAAGCCTAATGGGAAATGGTTATGGCATGGTCAGAGCCTTCAATGCCTTCTGTCTCTAGAGCTCTATAATTGATGTATGAATCATCTTGACAGCATACAAGACATGGCCGACCTCTTTGCATACGGGATTTCTTGAATCCTAACCGACCACGAGTCTTCTTGCCTGTCAAGTACTTTGAGGAACTCAGGAATGCGCCGCAGGAAACGCCGAGTCTTCCCGGTATTTTGAATCGTGTTCGCACAACCTACCAGGGGGAGGGGGGGTTTTTGTTTAGGTGCTGCAAGCAAGTTAATGGAATATTAATATAAAAGTAACATACTATCAATGTTTTAACAATATTTTTTTTTATATGCCTTGCATTAACATGGTTTACCACCTCATATTTAATATCACCTTATGTCCAATTTTTATCAAGTTTGCCAACTTTAGCCATCCATAGCACCTATTTAATGCAAATAATTTAATTAAATTTAGCACTAATTAATGCCAACTACTCTTAATTATTTATTTTTAATTAATTTCATTAATTTAAAGGGGTTAATATGGTTGCATTAAAGTTTAAAGTAATTAACTTTTAATAAGCAGGTTTATTTTTAATATAAATTGCATCCTTATTTTTTGCATTAATCTTATATTACTTTACTTATTTAAACATTTAATGCGTTAAAAATTAAGAACCATAAATATCTCCCTTATTAAATAAATCTTAAATCCTTTTAGCTATTAAAGTTATTTAAGATTTTAAAAAAAATCATAAGAAACCCTTAAATATTACTTATATTATATGAATTTATTACATTCTTAAATAAACCTTATGCAAAAAAGTAAATAACCAATAAAATAATAAAGAATCATGCATTAAATAATATAAACTTAACCCAATTAAAAAACAAATGCTTATTTAATATATTATTAAGTAAAATACTTAAAAATTCCCCCTGTAACTTTTTAATATAAAAAATATAGCCAACCTTTTATTAACATTACGTAATGCTAAACTTATTAATAAGTACTAAGCTTAACGCTTTATAAATTAATAACTCAGCCTTAAGATTAAGTTTAATTATTCTTATAATTATTAAAAGGCCCTTTATAAAGATTTAAAGATTATTAAAAACTAATTTAAACTACTTTATAATATAATAGCTAAGTATTAAATTATTAATAATAACCTTTATAACTTTAATAAGATTAGCTTTATAATAAATATAATTATTATATTAATAGTTATTATATGCATTAATAAATATGAAAAGGCTAAATTAATTTAGCTTAGTAATTAGAAATGGGTAATTGCTATTAAATGCATTAATGCAAGCAGGTTGTAAATTTCATTATTTATAATTATTTAAGGCGCTTATTACCTTATTAACTAGGTAATAAAGTTAAGTTTTTTAAATAATTAAGTTATTAAGCTTACTTTTAATAAATAAATAAATAATAAAATTAATTTAAAATGAATTTAGTATTTTAATAAGCATATTAAGCTAAAGAAAGATGTTAATTATTAAATATTAATTATAAATAATTATAAAAGCTATATATTAATTAAGTTTAATTAATATTGCAAGGATAATAAGATTATTATTATTAATATATTGTTATATTTATCTTACTTACTTTAATTACTAAATATCGCGTTATATTTACCTTTAAAACGCGCATATAATAATGAGATTAACCTCTTTATTTAAGCCTTAATTAACTATATTACTAAATTTAAATTCTTTTTTATGTTTAAGGCAGCTTATAATAAGACTTTTATGGTAGAAAATATTAAATCTGTATTTAAAGAAGCTGGGATTTCTTCTTAGGACCTTAATTTTATAATTTCTAAACTTAATATTTATTTATAAACTTTAATATAATCCCTGTTTATTTCTCCTTAAAATAAAAGTTTTAAATATTATTAAATACTTAATAAATTATTTAGCAATTAAGTTTTATTAAGGGTAGGATCTTTATTTATTAAAAAAGCTTTTTTATATTAATTTTAAAGGCTATTAATTAAATAGCAAAGAGCGTATAAGTAATGGTGCATAAATTAATTATTTTAAAGGATTAAGTTTATATTTTTAAGGAGGTTAATATAGCATTTATAAAATATTAAAAGGCTAAAAGAACTTAAATGCAATTTAAAAAAGCACTTAATATTAAGAAATCTTAAGCTTTTATTTAAGAGAAATAAAAGGGAAAGCGGTTAGCTAATAAAATAAGTAATAGTGCTAAGGAGTTAATTTATAGCGAATTAATTAAAAGATAATATAATAATTATAATAAAATTAAATATAATATAAGAACTTATAAGAAAGATAAAGAAGGGTTTAGTTAATTAAATTTTAATTATATTATAGTAAATTTAGCTTAATTGGCATTAATTAATATAAATATATTTATTTTATTAATTTATAGCGGATTATGTTTTTAATAATATAATTAGTATTATTTAATGTTAAATATATATTTCCTATTAAAAATTAATTAGTTTAAATTAATATTATAATTATATTAATTCCTTTAAATTAATGAAATTAATTAAAAATAAGTAATTAAAAGTAGTTAGCATTAATTAATGCTAAATTTAATTAAATTATTTGCATTAAATGGGTGCTATAAATGGCTAAAGTTGGCAAACTTAATGAAAATTAAACATAAGGTGATATTAAACATAAGGTGGTAAACCACGTTATTTATATATTATTAATATTGTTGGCGGGTGCAGGGAATTACGTAAGAAATGGTATCGTGCTGAATTTTGGCTGGCTATAAAAAGCTAGCTTTTACGCTTATTCTAAACATTCTTTTAAGAAATTAACTCTTTTCTTTTTTTATATATTTAATGCTTTAATTAAGCTTTTCTTATTTTTAAGAATTTCTAAAATATTTATCTTTTTCCTTTTTCTAGCTTCCTTTTATTCTTATCTTCCCTCTTTATTATATTAAAGCTCCTCCTTAAGTTATCCTTAAAAGGGTTTAGCAGAACTTATTCTTTATTTATTTAAATAGCTTGTTTTTATTAGTAATTTAGCCTAGGCGTGATTTTAATCTTATGCATCTTTAATTAATAATAAGAAAAATAAAAAGTTAGCTATAAGCTAATTATTTACTAATTCTATTTCTTTTTTTATTTTTATATTAAATATTATTAAATTATTTTATATTTTAGCTTAAAGCTTTAATTAAAGCTTATATTTATTTTTAACTTATTATAAAAAAGAATTAAAAATAATTAAATTTATAATAATATTATAAGTATTTTAAAATTATTTTCTAATCTTAAAGTACCTTTTATACTTTTAATATTTAAATAAAATATTATCTTAATCTTATATTAATATATTATTAAGCTTTAAATTTATTCTAAATTTCTTACTAAAAATTATATTTAAAATATAGCAATAATATAAACTTAAGATTAAAATAATAAATTTAAATTTTATAAATATTACTTAATATTAATTAAAAATGCTTTAAACTCTTAATTAATATTCGTTATTATTATTATAACCCTAAGTTTAAAATAAAGAAGGCTATAATATAAAATTAAGGCGCCTACCTTACTTGCTTATGGATTTAATAAGTAATATTATATTATATATTCTTATATTAATTAAACTATATGGAAAGCTTAAACTTAAAATATAACCTTATTTAAGCTTTAATTAAACTTAAATTTAAATTGCTAAG